ACGCGCCCACGTGTTTTGCCGCGTGTGTCGCAGAACGCGTCGCGCTCGCCCCGTTCTCCTCTTCGCCAGTAGCGTTCTTTCTTGTATACACTATCTAGCTATGTACCTAGGGATTTTGTTTTTCGCTCTATGCCCATATAGCGTGATGTAAGGGCCTTCGGACATCTGAGTTGCGCCGAATAAGGGCCTAAGACCCTGATTTTCAAGAAAAAATGAGTTCATATATCGACCCTTTTTTAGAGGTCCAACTATAGCTAATGTAGTGGAAGGGAATGAAGTATCGTAGGACGGTGGTCTAGGCAGAACATGCGGGCGCGACGCGTTCTGCGACACACGCGGCAAAACACGTGGGCGCGTTAGCCGAGCCCCCAGCTCCGAGGCCGCCGCGCCGTCGCTCAACCCCCTCCCGCTCCCTCCCGCTCTTATCACTTTATGGGCATCGTTGGAGAGCTATTCTTGAGCGCTTTACAGCGCCGCTCACGGGACGGGAGGGACGGGAGGAGGGAGGAATCGGCAGCCCTCGGGAGACGGGCCTCCCGGAGAGGGCTGTAGAGTTGGGAAGTCGCAGTGTGTGCGGTTAGGAATGCGCGCACTGTAGTTAGGAATGCGGCGGGTGGGGTTGGAAATGCGCGGGGTGTGTGGAAATGAACCCCGAATTTTGAAACAAACTGACCGCCATACCGCGCCACCGTTGCCGTCGGCAGCGCATCGGCCGCACCACGTGGCCTCGCCGACCTGCCCGCTGGCACGGTTACGGAGCTTACTACTTGCCCTCTTCTTCGAATTGCACGATGCCAAACTGGCTATGCTCGCATATTGGCAAAGTGCACACGACGATCGATGAGTAGTCTTGCGCTCCACGGAGAGATAACCCCGGGGTTTGTATCGAGCCGGGGCGAAGCCCTAACAGACCGAAATATAATGCGCCACTTGCCGTGACGCCGTTCGTCTAATCACTTACCAGACGAGTTGGCACATGCGGAGTACGGCAAGTGCCTTCGATAGACTACGGCAAGGCATGATCCATCTTTGGATGCTGTAATTGGCTCTACGTATGCTTGTGCAATTTTGTAGGTTCGCGGATCAGAGTCAAACTGCAAGCCAGCCAAAGGGATCCAAAGGGCCCATTTCAAAACTTATCTGGTTGCCCAATGTACAAACTCTGACACTCAGAAACAGCCTCTTGCGTATATCCCTCGAGGCGATAAAAATATTCAAAGACTCGTAGATGGCCGTCATAGATGCGTCAAATTCGGTATTTTACTTCGCGGACAACGCTTACAATACTCCCTTCTCGTCTGCTGACGAGCTCAGGGCCTCTCCGTGCTGATCAGCCACAAGTCGAGAATGTTTTTTCTCTTTCGGCCACCCACTTACGATAGACATCGCAGGCTGCAAGAGTCAGCACTCGTGGATGCTCTAGCTTCAGTTGTGGGCGTGTCCGGCATGGCCGGCACCGCCTGGGAAAATTAACGCGCAGTTTCCCGACGGGAACGATCTCGCCTTATTCTCCTCGTGTCTCTTCCTTCTGACTTGCACTTGTCTTTGTTCTTTGCGTGCGTGTACGGCAGTTAGTCCGATGCGTATGTACACCTACCCGATCGCGAGCTGTGAAGTGAGTTGGCAGTCCCTGCCTGACTTCTCCGACTCGGTCCGGCTTTCACCTACCGCTCTTTAACCTCCGGTCTCCAATACCACCAAGAATGCGATGCGCGGATACGGACGGTTGCTTTGACGCGGCCATGGCCCTTGGGGGAGGGACAGACTAACTGCGCGCGCGGGGTGCGGGTGCACAGGCTGGCGGACCTTATCGGGCTGGCGATCTTGACTTCCGCCATGACTCACAGCCTCGCACCGTCCGGCCGGACCCTCGGGCGCTTCCACTCACCCACTCCGACCTCCCACGAGGTTGTATATAAAGAGAAGATCGGCGTCCCATTGCCAAAAGTATCTGGGCCACACCTCCAAAAACTTTAACGTTCTCTCCCTCTATAAGACCTTCATCCCTTCCACTACCGGGCTCTTTCATGACGGTCACCCACACTGCGCTCATCTCCAAGTTCAAGATGAGCCATGAAGGACGACGCTCACCCGTACACGATTACCACTCATCCATGCCGCCACCCTCATCCTCTTCATCATCTTCCGGACGGTCCAAGTCGGAGGAGGAAATTTTTCGCAACTTTGACCGCGCCTTCGCCTCCCGCTACCTCAAGATGGTCGTTGCGCAACGACATCATCAGCAGGCGGTCGCTAACGGCGAGCTGACGCTTATGAAACCTCGGTGCGTTTTGTATCCCCAATCATCCAGTCTCCTCATCTGACATTCCTCTCAGCATGCAGGTGTACTCTCCACCGACGGCCAGTCATGTCACCGCTCTCTTTGAGCTCCCCGGCCTCAAGAACTCCGACATCAACGTCAATGTCACTCGCGACGGGAAACTCACGGTATCAGGAGAACGACGCGCTCCCGATTACCCGTCCGACGTCCAACGTCGCGGCGAACTATACCCGGTGCAAGAGTTCAAGTATGGGCGTTTCGAGCGCAGCATTAGCATACCGCCCGGTATCGAGGTACGTGCATTTGTCAGCCCACAGTTCGAGTCTACATTGTTGTATGCGTCAAGGGCCGGCCTGCCCTGGTGGCTCAGCCGTGCCTGTGCAGGTCAATATGGCCGGAACATCCGGCCTGTTGCACATCGCGCGCAACAGTTCTACGCTCGGCAGCCTTTCCGTTCTTGACTCGTATGGTGTGCTGACTAAAGTACCTAGTCGCGACACATCACCGCCAGTCTCAATGAGGGCATACTCAGTCTCTCATGGCCGCGCGTAGCCCCGGCAGAGCTGCGTGGTGGGCCAAACTCACCACCTGTCACGTCTGTACAAGCCCTCATACATTAGCCTCCTGTTTCTTCTATTTGTCCCCGTTCTGTACTGATATCGGATTGACCTTCCTCGATTGCACGCTTCCTTCCCTTGCTTTGACACTGCTCTGCACTGTATGATGACTACACACCCCTTTCCTCCCATCGCATCCCAGTCACGTCCACACTTTGACGCACACGATTGACGCGTGTACATGTCCCTCGCACGTTTGTACTTCTACTCTGTACAGTACAGTCTCAGAACCAGTTTTGACCAGACATTGGCCTTCGTACAGGATTTCTAGTTAATCTGATAACATACATCCCCTCTCAGCATAATGTGCTTGAGCGCTGTTATTCGTTCTTCTTTCCATCGCAGTTTCATCGCGCAGCCTATAGACTCACGGAATGCTCACTATCACGGACATTAGATTAGGGCATACATTGTAGATCAGACACCTCTCTCAAACATATAATCTAGTTGTTACAGGATTGGACTATATGCAGATTACCATTGGCAAGTCTTATGGCCGTTGCTGCTACCGGCCGCACTACCATCGTCTCTCGGCGTACATGTGAGCACAACCATCGTGATAGTCTGACACTGCCACAGCGCTGCGCTCGGCCGTATCAGACAACGATGCGCACATTTTGTGCTGAGTGCTTAGCCGGAGCATTGGGCTGTCTAAGCGCGTACATGCTCACATCCATATGAACAGTTCAGAATGAGTTGGGATTAATAGAGCTACCTGATACATAAAAAGTTGTTACATGCTCGGAGTCGAGCTGTCCGATCAGCGCCCAGCGCCCAGAGCCCTATAGCACGCTCTCAACCGGAGAGCATTCAGAGCCGGGGGTAGGCTCTACGTTCTTGCTACATCCCCATGTACTATCAGAATACAGTACGAGAATGCATGAGATGCAACCACTCGCTCGCTTCCTATGTACAGCGCATCACCATTCTGAGCTCAGCGCCTAAAATCGGAGTCAGGCATACCACAGTCCTGATATCGATCAACCAATGGTTGATGGATTTCATTAGGCATCCCTAGCCCTCCAGATGGACTCCTGCTGAAAACTTGGTATTGGCACGTCCTCCGAGTCCATCCCGAGCGCTCAGGCGACTTTATGCTCGTGAGCAGCAGTGCCCCCACTTACCCCTTGTCGTGGACTTGCAGACATCTGGGCAATGTTCCGTAGGTACTCCGTTACATTGATTCCGGGCATGACAGATGAGAAGCAGAGGCGGTCTCGAGTTCAACAGCCCTCGGCGTTCCTTCGTACGATCCGAGATGATGATACCACTACATGGACGACGAGCAAGACAGTCCAAGGGCCCACGTACTTATGTCTGGGCCAATGTCAATGTCCCTCGGCCTTCTTTCGAGAATCAACATCAAGCCTGTAGGTGGCATACAGCGGCGACGTCAATCGGATATTTAGAGCGAGCTGTGCACAATACTTATCCGTGGGACGGACTTGTGTCGGTCAGAAGGACTCGGACGCCTGAAGAGTTGTGCGTAAGAACCGGTGGGGTCGGTCAAGTCGCCGCAGGCCGATTCATTCCGAGTGCATATATGACTGTATGATCAACTGTGGCTGGCGGTGACATTGCAACGAGGGCAACCTCGGCGATCTCTACGCATCGGTTTTACAAGCTGCGTATACAATCCAACGAGGTGCTGTACGCACGTAATGAAGGATGTGTCGATCTATATCTTGTATATTCTCGGTATGGTGCGGTGCGGTCGCATCTGCGTACTAAGGATGCTTATCCACATGTCCTCGCGAGGCGCAGGGCCATTTTTCGAGTCATATGCAGAGCTCAGGCCTGCTTGCAACCATGAGGCTAGTACACGCAAAGGGGCGTTGTACAGAAGTCGCGCGGCGGCCGCTTCCCACGAGGGGTAGGTGAGTTCCACTTGGAGCGGGCATTGGCGTGATGAATCGAATCGCCAGTGAGAGCCTCAAAAGAAACCGAACATGGTGAGTTAGAAGGCAGGAGGCCGGATGAACCCGCAAGATCATTCAAGCCGCCCCTCGGTTTCCGGATACGGCCAACGTGGCCTTCTGGTCCCAGGTGCCTGTTATAGTGAAGCCCTCACAAAGACAGGACGACAGACAGACACTCAACGAAAACCGAATGTAGAATACCGAAACGTCGGGGCGATCGTGTGTGCAACCCTACAACCGCTAGACCTTGTGGTGTAATTCACCCTGTTACTGCACAGGAACGTTCCCTGGCACGAAGGTCTACTTCTGCCGCGCCACATTCGAGATCTTCAGGGGAGAGGATTCGCGGACAGATGCATTCATCTTGCGAAATCTGCGGGGAGGTCACGCGGACGACGCGAAGATCGCTGGGCTTGAACACCTTAGGGCAACGATCCCGGACCCGAGCCGGCATCGGGTGCGCCGAAGAAGTTGTACTACTTCTGGGTGCAGCCTTGAAGCGGAGAGCAGCCAGATGCCGTCGGGGACTCGCGCCACAGAGCACTGCTGTAGCTCCGATGGCGACGTGTCCATACGTGATTGGTGGACAGGGCCGTCAGCATAGAACCCCTCTGCACTCCGCAGCGGGATTCGCAGGAAGTCATACCATTGAGACAGGCAGAATGTTCCTTTAGGACAGCCCCGGCGGACGGAGCAAGCGTCAGTCGGCAGCCAAAGCAGACTCTCTTCCCGCCGGCGCTTGCGGAGATGACGAGTCGCCTTCCTAATCGTGAGCGCCACTCTATGGCCTCCGCACGTGAAAGAAGTGCAATCTACGTCGTCTCTAGACTGATTCGCGAGCGGCCGAGCCATAACATGCGTATGGGAGTCCGGCTATTACGCTGGTTCATAGCGGTAAACACAAACATTGGGACATTGTTCACTGCTTCAGCGGCCCATCTTCACGCCACGGTTTGCATTGCGCAGCATAATATGCCGTAGCACAATCCATATAATGGGATAAAATACACAGCAAGGGGGCCGTATCTGGCCGTAAAGTGTTAGATCTAGTCCGCGAGTCGTGCAACCGCTGCGCACCTCTAGCGCTATGCGCCTAACTCCTGTGCTACCACCCTTTGCCAATAGCCCTTCATGTCCTACGCATGCCCGGAGTTTCTTCCGCAATCAAGCTTTACTTTGCGGGCTGTGTAACGTAGGGTGCGTTAACCGCAATGAAGTGGTACGCGACCACGGTGATCATGGCCAGTGAGCCCAGCGTGTTGGCGATGAAATAGAGTTGGTCGTTCGTGATCATACTAATACAGAGCAGGCATTCACATTGAGCTAACCCAAATTCCTGAGTATATCTCTCGCACATACCTCAGGGGATGGGGATGAGGGAAGGAGTGACAGACGCGAGTTGATAGTCGTGTTCAAGCAGCCGTGGCGGCGTGGCCACGCTGTCCGCCTCTGACGGCCCGAACCTCCGAGACGCCATGAGCGCTCACGTGGGATTCCTGCCGTCATCGTCGCGTTTCGACGCGCCCAAAGCAAGTTGTTCCCGTCCCTCACCGTCACTTCTCCGTTCCGAGGCCAGGATGAAGTCCGCGCGTGCCTTACGCTCAGCGCTTAGGATGGTGGCAGTCCATGAGAAGCGGTCTTTGGTCTATGCATCGCTCTCTGCTGTCCGCCATGTACCGCGCGCAGGCCCGCGAGCAACTACGTCATGTCTATCACCCCGCCTATTCACAACGACTGCGCGAATGCCGCAGGAGCAACAGACCACTTTCCCTGACCCTGATAGACCTGACATATGGTACCACCTGTTTGAGCCCCCCACACCTGCTTCTGGAACACACCACGTCTTTGCTGTCTCGCTCATTTCGACCCCGCCACCCATTGCGAACTCTGCCTCTATCATAGGCTGGCTTCCCGCTGAACATCCGTCTGGTCAACAAGAAGCCGGTGTGAGTGATTTTGTGGAGAATCGTGAGTTCAAAATGCGCTGTATTAGTGCAAATGGCGATGTATGATTTCAGCAACGTTCCGCAATATATTGCATGAGGGCATTAAACAAGGTCTGGCTGAAGGAGTAGACGATATCCAGATTCAAGGGGCCATACAATTGCGTGAAGGGTGGATGCACATCAATGGTAGGGCTCTACGTATGCTATCTGCGCTCGTATTGATTGGCCTCATTCAGATCAGCGCAATGTGCCAGCGCTTGGGCGCATCGGTGACCCTGATGACATTCTCGGCTCTGTGCGGGTTGAGGAAGGGAAGGTAAGCTCCGGACTCACTATGCTCATTGCCTACGACTAAAACGGGCACTGTATCTCAGATCAAAGCCGAGACGTACGAAGCTATGCCTGCATATCGACTTTGTACCTCGGATGGTGTTGTACAACTGACCGAGGGGCTTGCTGGTAAACTACGGCAGATCTTAGAAGAGCGCATTCGCAGAGAGACGCGATGAGTCGCGAATGAGTGCATATAGGGATTTAGAATACCGTGACATTCCTGATAATATTACAGTAATCTCAAACATATCGAGTCGAGTGGGTGTACGTATATGGGTCCAAGTGTACTATAACGCGCGCACGTGCCAGACGCGCTCACTGAGTCCGTGGAGACTTGATTAAGCCGCGTCTTGCTCTCGTGCCACTACCATCCCCGAATATAACTTGCAGTGCACCGCACCTTTATTGCCCCAACTTAACTCAAACGTTTGACGATCTTAGACGCCATATCACTTGGATGATAGCGACATTGCTCTAATAACATCCCGGTTCCATCATGGGCAATGCACAATCCGGATACCCGCTTCTGAGAAACGTTGGGGCGCTGGATTCTTTCGTGTCCGAGATAGGCTCGGATATTGTATATGAGAAAAGGTGTGTGTTACTGCAGTATTTCGCACAATACCGTCATTCATATATACAGTCTGGGCACATCGCGATTCCTCAAGACTGTGCGCTGCCGTCATCGTAACGGATATCTCATTGTCAAGATATATATCAAGCCGGACCCAGGAGTATCCCTGCGGAAGGTGCAAAGACGCTTGAAGGGTGCGTCGGGGATGAACGGCCAGTAGCTCCGCTGAGACATGCTGCAGTCGAGCGAGAGGCGCTTCTCGATATACCGAACGTCTACAGCTACCAGACATTCGTGGAGACCGAGAGAGCTGGATACCTCATTCGGCAATGGATTGCGAGTAGCTTGTACGACCGTATTAGGTGCGTCATCCCGTTCAGGTTCACAACCAGAGCTGACCCTACCGCCAGCACGCGCCCATTTTTGAGTTCCATCGAGAGGAAGTGGATCGCCTTCCAAATCCTCACGGCACTACGAGATGCGCGGGCTCACAAAGTTGCCCATGGAGACGTGAAATCTGAGAACATACTCGTCACATCCTGGAACTGGGTTTACCTGTCCGACTTTGCGCCACACAAGCCGACATACCTCCCACTCGATGATCCCAGTGATTTCTCCTTCTATTTCGACACATCCGGTAGGCGCACGTGCTATATTGCGCCTGAGCGCTTCTACGATGCATCCAGTCCGCCTCAAGACGGAAAGGCAGAAAAGGACGAGGATTGGAGAGAGGACGGGAAGCGCGAGGCTCGCGTTACAGAGGCTATGGATGTTTTCAGTGCCGGATGCGTGATGGCAGAGCTTTTCAGGGAGGGGACGCCGTTATTCACACTCAGCCAACTATTCAAGTACCGTGAGGGCGAGCTTGCAGTAGAAGGTCTTCTGACTTCGATAGACGATACCGGAGTTCAAGTGAGGAGGTTCAAACATGTCGGACCCTTGCGTTCATAGCTAACAACGTAATAGGATCTCATTAAAGATATGATTGCACTGGATCCCAATGCAAGACCGACGTTCGAAGCACTCTTGCACCATGCTCGCGGCACCGTCTTTCCAGAGGTCTTCTACTCATTCCTACACGGCTATGTGGCGACTATCAATGAGCTACCAGCCCGTTCGCCCTTCACGCCACCGCCACCAACTTCTATTACCCCCACGCTGTCCAATATATCATCTACACCTGCTACACCTGCTACTCCGATCAAACCCTCGACATCGTTGCCACAGCAACAACAAGATCTCCACACGAACGCAGCACTCCCTAGTGACGCGGATGCGCGGATGGAAAGGATATGGGCCGACCATGAGAGCGTTGAAGCGTACCTTGTTGAGGCGGCCGGCGAAGATACTGTCATGGACGTTCGCGTGGAGTATGCGCCGGCCGAGACGCTGTCAAGACCCCTCGAGGTAAACGTTACATCATACGCTTTATTGCTTGCGCTGACACGTCAGCGTAGGACATCTTCCCCGTAGAGTTGAACATCCCGAATCGTGACTCGAAACTTCTGAGGCCGGTATCTTCTCGCAGGCGCGCAGCGACTGAAGGTGAGATACGCACGCTTCGTTCAACCACCGGTAACTGACTTAGAGGCCATGCAGACGGTCCTGCTCTCATCATTCTTGCCCTCGTATGTTCAAACGTACGGAATTGCATCCAACCGTCCAGCAAACTTCGCGCACTCGATACGTTCCTGGCTCTCGCGGTGCATTTGACTGACGAGGCGAAGCTGGATCGCATGATCCCGTACATCGTCGAACTCCTTCGCGACGAAGCTGCATCAGTACGAGCAGCTGCCTTGCGAACACTCATCCAAGTCGTGCGTGTATTCCGTTCGTTTCATGTTCATCAACGTTAACAGCGAGTTAGCTCATGCTCGTGACTGTAATCACCCCTTCGAATGCATCTATCTTTCCGGAGTACATCTTCCCGAATATACAGGGGCTTGTACAAGACCCTGAAGTCTCTGTTCGGGCCATCTATGCTCAATGTGTAGTGCCGCTGGCTACGACGGCGGTGCGCTATCTGGAGATGGGACAAGCACTGAAGGCGCACGGAACTTTCAAGCTTTCGGAAGACACTGTAGAATACGATGAAGCACAACTACTGGAGGTGGGTGCTTGCATGGGCACTTCGAGCAGGCGGCATTCATATCAGGCTATCTAGGTGTCCTACGACGCTGCGTTGCAAGATCTTCAAGCCACGATACAGGAACATCTGACGGCCCTTCTCGTGGACTCATCCAGCGTTGTTCGGCGTGCCGTCTTACACGACATCTCGGCGCTCTGTATCTTCCTGGGACGCCAACCCACGAACGATGTCTTACTTAGCCACATGATAACTTATCTGAACGATCGAGACTGGATGCTGCGTTACGCCTTCTTCGACGCCATCGTCGACGTCGCCGCTTGCGCCGGAGGGCGTAGCCTGGAGGAGTACATTCTGCCGCTTATGATCCAGGCCTTGTCTGGTACGATGTTTTCCCATGATCAATGCTGAATGAGAATATTGACGTACTCGCAGACGTAGAAGAAACTGTTGTCGCGCGCGTGCTCGCCGCATTGACGAGTCTATGCGAGCTAGGCCTGTTCCAGAAGATGAGAATATGGGAACTCATGAGCGCCACATTGGGATTCCTATACCACCCCAATGTCTGGATCCGACAAGGTACGCGACGGCCGCCTGTTGCTGTTCGCTTTGGTGTTGTCTGACAACGGATCATCTGTCCTGCAGGCGCCGCCGCATTCATTTCTGCGTCAGCGAAGCACCTGCCTACAAGCGATGTATGGTGCATCCTTTACCCATCGCTCCGTCATTTCCTTCGGTCGGATATCAGACAAATCGACGAGATGAGCCTCCTGACAGCCATGAAGCCGCCCGTACGTATCTCAACCGTCAGATTCGTGGAGCGGAGACTCACGGACCAGCATTTAGATCAGTAGACAGGTGTTTGACGCCGCGGTCCAATGGGCTATGAAGGCAGAACGCACCCAGTTTTGGCGTAGTCACCGACGAGCGAACTCAAAGCTCGAGTCGCCACAAAGCAGTGTCGCAACGCTAAAGAAAGCTACAACGTCCGGAGCCACACGAGGCAAGTCCGAGGAAGATGAAGCCCAGCTTGCGCGCCTGAGGCAACTGGGTATGACCAGCTCGGACGAGAGCAAGTTGATGGCCATGCGAGACTACATTCTCAAACTCGCTACTGCTACGTCGAGCTTCTCGATGCGTCTTCGTGTAGAGGATGAGGCGGAAGTCATCAAGACGACGGCAGATGTTGAGCTGCAGAAGCTCAGGGTCGTTCCGCAAACTGTATTCCTCAAGACGCGCTCGTCTGCCCCGGAGACGCCCAGCCGAACACCTTCCCGCGCGTTCTCTCGTCGGTCAACTGCGGATGGTATACGACCTCTAACTCTCGCTGAGACACCGCGCGGCTCCCGTGCACCGAGCGTTGATTACGGCTCGAGTGGTGCGCCATTCGAGGATCTACGGCGCAGACTGTCAGCATTCAATGGCTCCGGGACCTCGTTACCGCTCTCACCCGTTCCACGGCCTCCATCTGTTGTATCTGCTCAGTTCTCCCCACGCCCACCCAGTGCGACCAGCACCGCAGACCTACCGCCAGCCTTCGACTCGCAACCGGCGCGTCCGCCGAGCCCACCCGAGTCGGTGCTTTCGGCTACCAACTCAACGGCTCAGCACCGCCAGCTTCAGCGCTTGCAAGTTGGCAGCACGGATACGAAGGCTGCACCTGCTATTGGCTCGAGCAGGGCCAATGCGACGGGATTGCTTGAAGCCACTGCTCGCATAAGATCAGATGGTAGTCCGGAGAGGTCGGGAAGAACATCGCCGGTTTCTGCTACGGGCACGGTACGCGGCCAACGTAGGCCGTCGATAGTCCCTATCTCAACCTACGGCAAGTCTATCTTGTGCACTGGTAATGACAACATGCTGAATGTATGCGGTAGATGGACAAGAGCCCGGGGTCAACAACTTGCTCGAGCACATGTACCTCGACAGTAATCGCGAGTACCAGAACGACTTTGGCCCCCGCGTTCACGAAGGGCCCATCCGCCGGCGCAACGCCGTCCGGCATTCCTTCGCCTCGCGGGACGGCAGCTCACGGCGCCCGGAGGCCTCGCTGATCGCACACCTCAATGCGCATTCCGACGCCATCAACGGCATAGCCGTATCTCCCGACCACGTCTTCTACGTGACAGCCTCGGACGACAAGACGGTCAAAGTCTGGGATACTGCGAGATTGGAGCGCAACGTCACGAGCAAACCTCGGCACACGTACACGCAACATCATGCGAGGGTCAAAGCCGTGTGCATGCTCGAGGCGTTGCATTGCTTTGCCAGCGCGGGCGAAGACGGGAGCGTACATGTCGTGCGGGTGCATGTCACGGCCAATAGCACGTTGCCGAAGTACAGCAAGCTTAGCACGGTGCGCGAGTACCGACTGGAACGCGCAGGTGAACACGTCACTTGTATGGCTCATTTTGCGACGGATACCGGATCAAATCTGGTGTATACGACTACGCACGGCGCGTTGGGTATACTCGATCTACGTACGATGCGCGTGATGCAAGCGCTGGAGCAGCCGGTACACAACGGACCTATCAGCGCCCTATGCCTAGATCGCAAACGAGCATGGGCGCTGACGGGTACAGCGGCGGGCGTGTTGACGCTTTGGGATATCCGCTTCGGGTTGAGGCTGAAGAGCTGGAAGACCGCTGCTGCTGCGAGTGGTGCGAATGCGAAGGTGTATCAGTGCGCTGCGCATCCTACGCGAGGGAAGGGAAGATGGGTGATCGTCGCTGTGGAGGTTGTGCGGTCTGGGAATGGGATTGTGGAGGAAGGCGTGCCGAGTAGACTGGTGGAAGTTTGGGATATCGAAAACTCAACGCTGGTGGAGACGTATGAGACACGAACCGCGCCGCTAGCTGGATCTGCTGAGGTGCCTCACGAGCCGACTGTAACGCAAGACGCGGAGCCGAGTGCTGCCGCAGCCATTGCCGCGCTTGTGCGAGCACGACAGCAGGGCACGTCGAGCATCGCTAGAAGAGCGTCCGCCCCTTTCGAGCCCGGTTCGGCGGGACCCAGTCCTTCGCCTGACGTACGCGCTCTACTTGTTGGAGGAGAGTTCGGTGGGCATGGGGTCAACAAAGGTGCACTGGGCTCGGAGGGAGCGAGAGGCTTCATGATCACGGGCTCGGAAGATAGGCGCCTCAGGCTGTGGGATCTGGGAAGGATCGACCGCACGTCTGTACTCAGTGGCGCAGACAGCATCGACAAACCATCGTACTCGTAAGTAACACGCGCCCTCCTCTTCATAGATGCGCGTACTCAATGTTTCATAGGACCGAACCCGTCGGCGATAGTGGGTCGACTGTCTTCGTTGAAACATGGGCGCCTGCAGCACAGACAAGCAGCCAGCAGAACCGTCCACCACAGCGAATGGCGCTGCTCAACGGCAACCAGCAGAATCTGTTGCGGCCTCATCAAGACACTATTACTGCCGTCGCGTGCATTGACTCGCCATTTAAAGGAGGTATAATTAGCGGAGATCGGTCCGGTGTGGTCAAGGTCTGGCGTGTGGAGGCCGGTTCTGATAATAGCTAGCATATTCTTTTTGCTACGGACTTTCGTGTACACTATCCCTTGTCATTAAACCATATATCCTAGACGATCAATGATATTTCCGTATCGCGTGACACGTATACTCGGCGAAACGAGACGTGGTGGTGGGACTTTCTGGACGCGAACGGATCGGCGGAAATTGCCGAACTTGTTCTGTGACTCTTTCGATGCAGATGCAGAGGCAGGCGTATCGATTCCGCGGTCCCTTGAGCAGCACAAGTCACTTGCTCTCGCTCTCGAACCTACGCCGGCATCCGTCCGCGCTCTGCTATCGCCGCCTGCTCTCCGCCGTCATGTCCACCGACGCCAGTGCCACGTCTGCGCCGCACCCCGTCGCGTCGAGCTCCCAGGGCGTGCAGATCCCTGCCCTCGACTCGGCGCACGCTGCTGCCGATGGCGCACAGCAGCAGAAACCTAACAAAAAGGCCAAGAAACAAGAGGCGGCGTCGCAGTACCCGCTCGAGGTGCGTGATGCGTCGTGCGCTGTCGCGATCCCGTGCTGAGCGCCTATCGTAGTTGAGCCCGAAGCCGGAATACTTTGACCACAGGATCAGGATGTGGGATCAGCTCAAGGCGGAGCACGAGGCATTTGTATCTGGTATGTCATGCCCGATCTTGTATATTCGGAAGCTAAAGCGAGTTGGCAGCACAAGCGCGCCAGGAGATCACCATTACCATGCCCGACGGCGCTGAGCGCAAGGGCACCAGCTGGGAGACCTCGCCTATGGAGATCGCTCTCCAGATCTCAAAGAGTCTCGCGGACCGTCTCGTGATTGCAAAGGTGGGCTCTGTTCATGCGCGATTGAGAACTAAGCGCTAAATGCATGACTAGGTTGATGGCAAGCTCTGGGACCTCGGACGCCCACTGGAAGGCAGTTGCAAGCTCGAACTTCTTGACTTTGAACACCCCGAGGGTATGTCTATCTCTTCTATCGACACGACGAGTCTTTGACTGACAGCGTCCTGCAGGCAAGAAGGTCTTCTGGCATTCATCCGCCCACGTCCTTGGCGAGGCAGCAGAGAAGCACTACGGTTGCCATCTATGCCTCGGTCCGCCGACGGACGAAGGTTTCTTCTACGAGATGGGCACCCAAGAGAGGTTAGTGCTCATGACTCGTCTGTGAGTGTACGACAAGTGACGAGTCATCCCTAGGCCTGTCACCAATGCCGATTATCCCGCGCTCGAGAAGCTCGCCGACGGTGCCATCAAGGAGAAGCAAAAGTTCGAGCGCTTGGTCGTCTCGAAGGAGAAGCTCCTTGAGATGTTCCACGTACGCGTCCCAGTATCTTGTCATGCCATTCGCGGCGATACTAATGACGGGTATAGTACAACTCGTACAAGAAGTACCTTATTGAGAGCAAGATCCCAGATGGCGAGTCGACGACGGTATACCGCTGCGGCCCTATGATCGATCTCTGCGTCGGCCCACATATACCCCACACGGGTAAAATCAAGGCGTTCATGGTCACGAAGGTACGCGGTATTCATCACTCCCTCGTGCATCTAGCTGATAACACTTCTCAGAACTCCTCGTCGTACTTCTTGGGTGATGCGAAGAATGACAGCCTACAGCGCATCTATGGTATCTCCTTCCCCGACAAGAAGCAGATGACCGAATACAAGGCGTTCCTTGAGGAGGCCGCAAAGCGAGACCACCGCAAGATCGCGAAGGAGCAAGAACTGTTCTTCTTTAACGATATGAGTCCAGGAAGCGCATTCTGGCTACCTCACGGCACGCGCATCTATAACACACTGACTGAGATGATGCGCGTGCGTACTATACTACCTTCACAAGCATATATACTCACGGCCTTGACAGGGCGAATACTACAAGCGCGGCTACCAAGAAGGTTAGACGCAAGTACCTACTGAGTGGACTCGTACTGACTGAATCTCAGTCATCTCGCCCAACATGTTCCACTCTAAGCTCTGGGAAACGTCCGGTCACTGGCAGAACTACAAGGACGACATGTTCGTTCTCGACATCGAAAAAGAGAAATGGGGTCTCAAACCCATGAACTGCCCCGGTCACTGCTTGATCTTCGATTCGCGCGACCGCTCATACAAGGAGCTTCCTATTCGTATGGCCGAATTCGGTATCATCCACCGTAACGAGGCGTCTGGCGCGCTCACTGGTCTCACCCGTGTACGGAGGTTCGTGCAGGACGACACGCACATCTTCTGTATGCCGAGCCAGATCGAGAACGAAATCGTGAACTTGTTCCATTTCATGCAGGACACGTACGGGTTGTTCGGATTCGAGTTCCACCTTGAGCTTTCGACGAGACCGGAGAACTACCTGGGCGAGATCGCCACTTGGGAACAGGCTGAGTCGGTATGTGCACCCAATCAGTCCGAACGCTACTTGCATGTGGACTGACGGCGTCTGTGCAGCAACTGAGTAAAGCCCTCGACGCGCACTACCCCGGCAAGTGGGAGCTCAACCCTGGAGACGGTGCCTTCTACGGTCCCAAGATCGACATCACGATCCGCGACGCCCTCAAGCGCTCCTTCCAATGCGCTACGATCCAGCTCGACTTCCAGCTCCCCGAGCGCTTCAACCTCAAGTACCGCGGCGCCGACGAGAGCGTGATCAACCGGCCCGTCATTATCCACCGTGCGATCCTCGGCTCGCTCGAGCGCTTCATCGCCATCATCACGGAGCATTTCGCCGGGAAGTGGCCGTTCTGGTTGAGTCCGAGACAGGTGCTGGTTATCCCGGTCACGGGTGTTATCAATGGGTACGCGCAGAAGGTCGCGGATGAGCTTTCGGCGTTGGGCATCTACACGGACGTTGATCTTGGACCCGACACGCTCAACAAGAAGATCCGCAATGGAGAGATTGCGCAGTACAACTTCCTCCTCGGTACGTTCACTCTCCTACTGCTTTCTACTTCGCTGTACCAAGATTAACTCGCTCTTAGTTGTCGGTGAGCAGGAGGAGACCTCGCGCTCTGTCAACGTGCGCAACCGCGACGATGTCGGCACCAAGGCGCGCGGGACCGTCATCCCGCTCGACACGATCGCTAAGCAGCTTGAAACGCTTAAGAAGACGCGCAGCCTGGATAACAAGCTGCCTGAGATCAAGCCGCTTTAACTTATCGCTTGTATCGCTCGGGTCCTTTTGATGATAAAATGCTGTAGAATATATTCGCTGCTTTCGCTTGTTCATTCTTCGCGTGGGATATACTGATACATGTCACATCGCCAACAAGTCAATCTTATCACCACGTTCCTCGAACGTCTCCTTCCAATACACCATATCTTCCACCGACGAGCAGAGTCTGAGCGCGGCGGCATCATCGAGAGGCGGGCGGGGGGTGTTCGGCAGTGAAACGACCTTCAACGCGGGCATTCCCGCTTCCATGCGAGCCATGATGATCTCGTGAATGTGGGCCAGTAAGTCCGGGTCAGGATCTGAGAACTTGGACTGGATCCCTAACGTCTGCAAACGCGGAAACGGCGTTTGGTCTTCATCGGAGTGATAAAGCCTCCCGGGTTTCAGCGCGTCAAGAAAAACGTCGTATTCCCCGCCCGAAGGTAGCCCCTTTATCCAGTACGTCTCGACTTCTGGGAATGCACACCAGAGCCCGCGCAGCTCTTCCTCAAATGGGTAGTACTCGGCGGTGCCAGCAATGTCCACTTGCCGAATCGCTATAGTTGTGATGTGACCGACATTCTTGTCTTGCAGACTCGTCGACGCGGGCCCAAGGGCCTCCGAAAGGCCTGTTAAGATGCCGATTCTCCCGCTTCCAAAATCCAATTTCGGGGGTATCTCGGATGGATGGGAAGGCGGTAAGGTGAAGAAATCGAAGTCGTCATCGTCCACCCAGAGTAGCGACGGCTGGTGTTCTCTGTAGATGATGTCCAGACACTCCTGTAAGAGCTCGTCCGACCATTCCAGTATGGATAATGCGAATTGTTTTGGCGACATCTCAAGATTCAGGAGAAGATGCGAGGCTATGCGGTTCGTACTTTCTGTCCCATCATGGTCATAGAAGTGGAATCTTTGCAACCGAGGCAGCTTGATCCTGTGCTCTGCTCGGCGCGTGTCGTTGATCTCGGTGAGATCAACCGACAGCAAATCTAAGCTTGACAAGCGAGAGTTGGTTCGTAGGATCTCGAGAAGGGCTTCCATCGGGGCCGTGATCGAGGACATGGACAGACTGTTGAGATTGCGGCAAACAGGATACAAGAAGATCTGGTCTAGACGAAGCGACCCAAGCTTAGGTGCGACAAGTGTCTCTGGTAAACGCCTCAATTGGCTCTCGCTCGTCTTGTGGTCGACCTCGAGAGCCAATTTTTCTAATGATGCGAGACGTCCACATAGAGTTCTCTCGAGCAGTGATATCCCGTTGGTAGATAAGTTGCGGACGTAGATGGATCTGATACGCGATGTGTTGACGACTGCCTTTTTTGCCCAACAATCTTCATCCACTCCTTCGTCATGATAGATGTCGACAGGCGTTTGTCCGGAGCGAGCCAAAAATTCACTGCCCGCAAAAGGTATAAAGCCGATATAGGGGGCCCAGAAGGACGGCGTCCCGAGACTGAGCACTCGCCATGCGTGGCAAACATGAGATGCCACGACTGCAGCTCCGAGTCGTAATATTGGAAACGAAGGATCCGTATAGGACCATGATCCACGCTTCTCTAGATCATACGCCTGATATCGCTTTTGTGGAGGTACCGCGGCGAGGGCATAATGTATGATCTCGGAGAAGAGCTCCGGGATCAAGAGGCGGGAGATTGGGAGAGTGGCATTGAAAGCTACCTGGGGGTGGACGCAACACATCGTCAGGCATTGCCGCTATATATATGACGCTCGCAGGCGTACCGGATCCATACTAGGCATAGAGCTTGCCAACGCCGAATGGAAGATGATTCGAACAGTAAGTAGAGGGTGGTTAAGAGCAGATGGTGGTCAAGAAGCAGGTGCGTCTGGAATCCGCTCGCAGCCTCATGCGATCACAAGGAAGGCACCACTGCCACCACAAAGGACGTGTGTGCTGCTGTCGGCTAACAGCAGACCATTGAGAGCACTCTGACCGCGGGGAGCCCGAATGGTACTTGGAATGGAAACAAGGAGAGAATGAGCAGAGTTTTTCGACATATGGCTAGTTGCATGAAATATGATTCTCCATATGCAGGCCTTTGTGTCGCATCGAACGACCATGGAAGGTTCGGCGCAAGTCACGTCGAGCGCGCGTCGAGTCGCGTCGCGGCACCCACGCGTGCACGCGAGCGCGCCTTGCCCCTCGACCACGACTTAACTGCTTACGATGGCTGACATGGAAGTTGACCCTCCCGCCCCGGCGCCCGCGAAGAAGGACGATGACAAGAAGAAACGATTTGAAGTCAAGAAAGTACGTTTATCACTGTGGCGAATATCCGCTCAACCTGCTGACTGGGTGGCGTAGTGGAACGCCGTGGCGCTCTGGGCCTGGGGTACTCGATCTCCTACTCTTTCATACGTCCGACGATTAACAGCTTCTCAGACATTGTTGTCGATAACTGTGCCATTTGCCGGAACCATATCATGGACTTGTGTACGTGATCTCGCTCGCTATGCGGAGCGTCGCCACTCACCGGTAATAGGCATCGATTGTCAGGCCAACCAGGTCTCTGCCACCAGTGAAGAGTGTAATGCTGCATGGGGTATCTGTAATGTGAGCTTGATGGCTCTCCAGGGGTACAGAGCGTGATTGATACTAAATCTTCAAACTCCAGCACGCATTCCACTTCCACTGCATCTCTCGCTGGCTCAAGACGCGTAACGTCTGCCCTCTGGACAATCGCGAGTGGGAACTCCAGAAGTGCGTCTTCATCCAGTCAACATTCCTGCGATTGGTACTCATTCATCGTATAGGTACGGTCGTTGAAGGGCTGCCTACTGTCCAACTATCTGGATGCCACTGTATTCATGTCGCTGTCGATTCGTCCCACGTTCTGTATGCTATCCTTGTCTTTCTTGAGCGATCTAGATGCCCCCACATCTAGAGTTTCGGCTACCCGGTGCGGTATCGCACCAGGCAGGATGCCACTGGGAGGGTGCCTTACTTGCACAGCTCGTCGCTTGACAGACCGGATTACTTCACTAGCAATGTCTAGCTTACGGTAACCAAACACGCATGCGAAAGAGAGAACATGGAGTGACATTGAGCAATTGATGTACAGCATAGACAAAGGCAACAAGCATGGGTGGGGCAGCATGGAGAGTGTGAGGGTATTCGGATCCACCGAGCACAAGCAATCAGAAACAGCCAGAAATATACAGGTAAATGCAAGCATGGGACGTGAAGATTCGTGAGCATCTAAGGGTCGTGAATGCGTATGAGCAAAGCCGTAAATTACAACAAGCAAGGAGATAGATGGCAGTCCAAACAGTGAGAAAGAAGGCAGCAGAGCAGATTACAGATGATAGATGGAGTTCAACGAGGACCGTACACGGAGCCAGCAGGCGAGCGCGGGCCGAACAATCCAGGTGCAGGTTGGGGCGGTGCGACGAGCGTCTCGCGCACTGATGGCACTGGCGTGTAGTCTCCAGGTTGAGCTGTGGACGGTGATTAGAAAAGGTTTCAGCTCAGCGGAAAGCGGGTGGCACTCACGATGCCAGGTAGCCCAGGACTCGCCACCGCCGCGCACTGGCGCTGGCGGGGCACTCGCGGCCGGTGGAGGTGGCGGAGGAGGGGGCATAGGCTGTTGTTCTGCGCGCCGAGCACGCCGAGCACGACCGGTTCCAGCTCCCGGGAAACGAGGTACGTTGCGCCATGCACCGCGGGCGGGCTCTTGTGGCGGCGGAGGCGGAGGCGGCGCCTGAGGTGCTTCAGGAGCAGGTTGGCCAGCGAGCGGACCAGTGAGAGGGCGTTCCCTGCATAGTCATGTTAGCTTGCGTGAGGTAGAGAAGAAACGAGTTGATGGACGTACCAGTCGGTGTTGAACTCGCCTCCGGGCTCGTACTTAGCACGGATGCACATGAGGGTACCGAGCTCGAATTGGGCAGCACGCTTCTTCTCGCGAAGATCACCGACCTCCTGAAGGAGAGTGCGGACTTCCTGAGCGAGGCTCTGCGAGAACTGGTCAAGGTAGTGCTGGACGTTGAACGGCACGCGCTCTTGTGCGGTCGCCTCAATTTGACCAAGGAGTTCGCGGTGCTTCTCCTCGATGAGGTTTGCGACGGCTGTAGCGGGGTCAGAGAAGGGAGCAACAAGAGTTTACAGATAAACCTACCGTTATTCAAGTCGTTGATAGCATTGGTCGCGGCATCGCCTTGGCTCCTGACGAGGTCGGTGAGACTCTGGAGTGCCTCATCTTGCGAAGTGCGGCAATCCTCGACCTCCTTCTGGATCTCGCTCTGGCCAGTCACGATCTCGCGCACGGTGGTCATAAGCTCGTCCCACTGCTCGCCCTTGTGGATGCGACGCTCTTCCTCGTCAGACCAGCGCTGTTCGGTGAGCTCGCGCTTTGCGACGAAGTCCTCGCGTTGCTGCTGAAGGATGTTCGTGATATCCTCGAGCTGAGCCCGTAGCGCCTCGTCGCGAGCACGTGCCTCTTCGGCCTCTGCTTCACGGCGCAACGCTTCCTCGTTCTGACGGGCAGCACGCTCCTGGTTGCACTCCTCACGGCAGCGCTCAAGTTCGGCTTCGAGCTCAGCGATACGAGCAAGACGCGCGTCGTCCAACTCCCTCGCCGTCTGATCCTTGTCCGCGCGCGCTTCCGCGATCTCACGCTGGTACTCCTCACGCTCGCGCGCCATTTGCTCACGCTCGGCTGCGACAATCTCCTTGATGTCAGCGGAGAAGATAGCTGCAGCTGCCCGGTTGGCATCGGTAAGTGACGCCATCGATGCGCGGCGGTCGGCTTCATCTTCCTCGAGGATGGATGGCTCGGTGCCGGAGCGAGCAGTGCGAATGTGCGAGGCGCCATGAAGAGGAGATGCGTCTCCTGGGGGAGGATAGAAGCTGACGCCCGGAGGAGGAACAGGATGGATGGATGTGGGCGGAGCGCCAGGGACTGGGGCACTACCGGAGGGAGTGAGGGGTACAGCGTGAGGGAGGTCAGCGCCCGAAGATGGCGGTGGCACATACACAGTGCTAGGCACACCCGAGGGATAACCGCTGGGCGAAACAGACGCTGGAGGGGCGCTAGGAATGAACACTCCCGGCACGCCGCCAAGTTCAGCGGCGACCGGTGCGGGTGCGGGTGGCGCAGCAGCGGGAGGTGGCGGTACTGGTGCAGCAGGAGACTCCGCTTCGTCTGAGTAATGCTCGACGTGGGTCTCCTCGCCAGGTCCCAGAGAAGGCTCAGTAATGCTAGGTTCGAAGATTGACCCGATATCGTCGCGTGGAATGTGCTGAGCGCGACGCGGCAGTGGCGGAAGGGCAGCGAGACGCTCCTCAAGATCGGCCCAGATACGGTTGTGACGCTCCTCAGTCTCCTCTTGACGACGGCGCTCTGCCTCTTCAAAGATTGCACGGCGCTCTGCTTCTGCGGCAGAGAACTCATCTTCCGCCCGCCGATCGACATCCTCCACGTGCTGGTCGAGCTCATCAATACGGCGGTCCTTCTCCTCAAGATGCCTGTCGGTATCCGCAATATGCGCTTCGAGATCGGCAAGACGCTGACGAAGTTCTGCAGCTTCTTGTTCCAGATTGGCAAGACGAGCGCGAGCCATAGGATCGGTGATGCCAGTGGCTGCGGCCTCTTCAGCTTCACGGCGTTGGGCCTCTAGATCATCCGCACGGTGGCGCAGGGTAGAAGCACGACGACGAAGAGCATCGGGATCCTCTGGGTCGAAGTCAGACTCTTCCGTGAGGCTGGGCGCAGTATGGCGGGCAGGGTAGGGTGAAACTCCAGAGTCGGGACCCAGCTCACTGCGCGGATGAGCTTCGCTCGGTGCACCCGCTCCAGGAGGTACGGCGTCGGAACGTGGTCGACCACCTGGAGGCTCTTCCCCGCGCGGAAGGCCCGTGTCTGGATCCACATCAGGTGCAAGTTCGCTACGAGCGCGACCCGGTCCAGACGGCGCAGTACCAGGGCGACGTGAAGGAACCATGCCAGGCAACTCCGCGCCAACGCGAGGGCGACCATCCTCGTCGTACTGAGGGTAGTGGGGTGCACCACGTCCATAATCAAGGTCTCCCGCTTCACTGAGAGTGGGCGTCATGCTCCGTGCATAACCAACATGCGTGCCCGCAGGTACATGGACAGCAGGATGCATGCGCGCGGCTCGACCACCTGGTGAGCCGGGTCGTGGAGCTTGACTAGGCCTGTAGGAAATTCGAGGCTCGCCGCGGTCAGAATGGTCCCCTTCGTCAAACGAAGGCTCTGTGCGTCCCGGGGTATAGGGTCGATCACGATCTAGAAGACATCATGTTATTTTGTAGTATGAATGACGTCCTGGGGATAGCACTTACACTCTGGCGACGAGCGACGTCGGGCGGGGGGAGGACGGGTCACGATACGCTCAGGATGTTGCTCATCCTGAGGATATTCTTCGTGTCCGATGTGTTGACCGCCTCCAGGTACTCCAGGTATTTCAACAACCGTTGGATGTTGTGGGACCGAGCTCGAGACGCCTGTCAAGGGAATGGTGGTAGGGGCTTGACCCGGAACGATGATCGTGGGCCCGTGAGATGGCGAGTGCCTGCGAGATGGCGAGTAAGAGCGGGATCGTCTAGACCGCGACCGCGACCGCGAGCGAGAACTGGGCGATCGAGTGGCCGAGCGACCGCGGCGCCTACCACCTTCAGTGGTGAGTGGCACCTGCCCAATGTGTGCACCAAATGGAGGAACGGGATATCCCACTGTCTGCGGTATGCCCATTTGTGGTGGCTGCAAGACAACTGTCGGGGGTTGCTGTACGCCTGGATGAGTGCCCACGTAATGCGACGTCCGGGGTGAGTGTGAACGTGAGCGGCTGAGTGATCTAGACCGACTGCGTTGGTGTCTGCGTCGCTCTTCACGCACACGCTGGTCCTCTCGCTCGTCTTCTGCACGCTGACGGTCACGCTGATTGCGATAGCGCTCCTCACTAAGTCTACGTGCTTCGCGCCTCTGCTCGCGCGCGAGCCTCTCATCGCGCGAAGTACGGGAAGAAGGGCTGTACGACCGGTCGCCACTACGATAGCCGTGGCGTCGTCGCCCTCCATAACGGTCACGTGAGTAAGAGCGGTCAGATGACGGCGTGCGTGAGCGTCGAGGACGACGACTGGGCCGAGAGCTTGACCGTGTTCTATGAACGTGTCCAATGCCTGTTGGAGGATACATGCCCGTTGGGTACTGGCCTGGCAACATCGTCGGCGGCATTGTCGGCGGAATCACAATCGGTCCGTGCGGAGAATGCGAGCGCGAACGCGATCTGCTTGAGCGCCGAGTTGGTTGTGTGTATACGGGCACAGGTACGGGTCCCATAGGCATGCCTGTTGGCGCCCCGGGCGGGTAGAGAATCGTTGGCGCCTGCGGTGCGGGAGGGAACTGTTGCTGTATGGGTGGTGTCCGACTACGACTGCGGCTCCTTGAGTGGCTCCTTCGCGGGCTTCTATAGCGTGAACGTGAGCGCGAGCGCGAGCGCGAAGAGGAGCGTGAGTGTGTCGGTTGCAAGATCACTGTAGGCCCAGCTTGGCCAGGGTAGCCAGAGGGCACCATCCCTCCAGGAGCTATCACTCCACCTGGACCAGGCATCATTGGTCCACTTGGTATGTACTGCACACCTCCTGGCCCTATGATCTGACCTCCGGGTCCCATCTGCGGCGGCTGAACAATAATTGTTGGTTGCTGGCCGGGCACTTGACCGGGTATCGGCGACTGCTGAACAGGAATACCAGGAGCGACGCCTGTACCGGGATGATCAGGCCACCCCGGAAACCCTGGTTGATAGATTTGAGTCGGGGCACCAGGCTGAGCTACAGACGGAGCTGCTGTAGGCGGGCGTGACGGTATAGCTGCAGCTGGTGCATCTTCCGGCGCGACAGTAGGCGGCCGCGAGGGGCGTATGCGTTCGGACTCGGATATGGACGGATTAGCGATTGTCATGCGTCCAAGTGACTGTGGCGGCACAGGTGAGCCCGAGTGTGATCGCGACGGTCCATGGATGACGATTGGTGGCGCTTGTTGAGGCGGTAAAGGATTGACGACTACGACACCGGGCGCCTGCTGTTGTATTTGCCCGTCGGGGGGAGGTACAAATCTAGGCGGTGACGTACTTCCCGACCTTCCCGACCGCATTGATTCAGTATCGGTGCGCGACGATGGAACGAACACAGAGGGCTGCTGCTCGTGGATGACTATAGGCGCCGTGGGTTGCAATGGTGGGCCGCCGGTCGGGAACATACCGCCCACGGGAGGAGGTCCAGGCTGGCCGGGCACGTAGGTCGGGTATCCTGGACCTGGCATGACTTGCGAACCGGGAATCCTACTCGACTCTGACCCCGAGTCATCCGACGAAGGTATAAAGGGCTGATCAGGCCGCCCTGCAGTGGGTTGATACCCAGGGAACGCCCCGGGAGGGTAGACACCAGGTTGATATCCAGGGTACGCGCCACCAGGACCAGGAGGACCGAGTACTACAGGACCTGCGCCTGTTGGAGCTGGCACAGGCATACCCGGGCCGGCTACAGATGATCATCAGTGCATACCCAAATAAAACAATTGTAGTACACATACGTTGGAAGCCTGGAACTTGGCGCTGCAATGCATTGATAGATGCTAGGATGGCGTTCATCTCGTTTTGTCGGTCCAGGCGATCACGCCCAAACCAGTCGTTGAGATCGCCCATGTAGCGGATGATATCTTGCTGTTGCTCGACTGAAGCGCGCATCATCGAGTCTGAGTCCTGTGGGTCATGTTAATGATTAAACATCTCTCTGGTCAAACTCGCGACGAACCCTCAATAAACCGAGCATGTCGTTGAAGATAGGTGGCATCTGGAAGAGTGTCTATGGGGCATATTAGCGTGTATGGACTGGACGCATGAGATTAAACTTACTGGGCCCGTGGGCAAAGGCCCTCCGAATCCTCCTGGGACGCCAGGGCCTCCTGGCCCACCAGGACCACCAGGACCGCCAGGGACGCCAGGGACGCCAGGAACTCCGACAGGCGCGCCGCTACTGGGGCCGCCATCACCGGCTGGCACGTTAGCCATATCACTGGGCTGTCCATCGGGACGGCTTGTCCCAGGACGCTGAGGTCTCCGTGAGTGAAAAGGGAATATGCGAGACATATATCAACATACACTTTCATACCAACGTTGTGGTCTACGACCGCCGGGAGCACTACTCGGCCTATCGTGCAAGTTCTACGAGACAATTAGCCATCTTCGCTGATTGCAGAGTGCACGAAATGTACTCACCGAGGGCACCACAGGCTCCGCTGGAGGTCGTGGCCGAGTGCCTCCAATGTACCCATCAGTACCAGGCCGTCTCTGCCGTCTGTGGTCGACGACTTCTTGAAGCATATCAATGCTCTCACCAGTTGGCGGGCGGGTTGCTCCGTCACCATACTCTGTTGGCGGCTGTGTCGTCACGGGTGGGCCAGTATATATTGTCGGCGTCGGCGGAGGGGCGGGAGCAGGCTCGTCTGTGCGTACTGTACCACGCGGTGGCCTTCCTGGACCCGGACGACCAGGCCCATGACGAGGAGGGTGCCGAATATACACGGTCTCGGGATCGCGTTGAAGGACGACAAGCGGCGCGGTGGCTGCACGACTGGGGGGCTCAGGAAGCGTCGGCGTGATACTACGAGGACGGGGTCCTCTGTACGGCCTGTAGTCGATGGTGACGAGGTCGGGAGGGGGCACAACCTCACGCCGAGTGGTCGCGTCACTGACAGTGCTGTCTCGACGCAGAAGGACACTAAGGGCGTCGTCGGTAGCAGGCCTCATCGGTGTAGGCGCAATAGTTGTGGGCAACTCTTCTGTCGGTTCCCCGAGCAAGCCGCGGAGACGGGTGAGGAGACTAGGCTGATCCGTCTCGCCGCTCACATAGCTTTCGCGTGGCTGGTCTGCTGTAGGCGGGAAAGGGAAACCGCTGGGAGCCGTTGAGCGCGGACGAGCGCCGAGAGCGCGCAGGAGTTCTTCAAGTCGTCCAAGACGGTCGGCTAGACCTGCCGGTTCGCCGCCCGGTGGCCATCGTCCACGAAGCTCATCGAGAATGTGGTTCGTGCTGAGCTGACCATCCCAGAGGGCATCAGTCTTGTCCTTCACGCCGGAGAGCATATTGCGCAAGTCGTCAATGTCGTTGAGAGTGACACCATCCGGAGGCGTACGTGGCATTGCCGTCTCGTCAGATTCGGTCGAGCGACTACTGGCTGAGGGCGAGACGTGTGTGACCCGCGTAGGTTCGGCATGCATCTCGATTGGGGAGGCGCGTCGCGGAGCAGTGGGAGTTGTCAAAGCCGAAGACGTGCGGGACAGATACGCGCCCTCGCTCGCCTCGCTGGCGGATATCTCGGGCAACTCGCTGCTCTCGAGGACGCTACTGCTGATCTCGGTAGACGGTGGCGTGATGAGTATATCGCTCTCCAGAACGCTACTCTCCTGGTCGCGGCCAAGAAGACTGTCGTCGCTGTGGTGGCTGCTGAGATAACTGAGACCATCATCCGACAGCGTAAGGGCGCTGCCGGGGCTGAGCGGACGCGTCGGCGGAGGACTGAGCTCTTGTGGGACTGGTGCGCCGCGGTGTGTAGGGCTCGGTGCAATAGGGCTGCTACCACCGACTGAACGCGCAAGTTTGACCGGCTCAGGCTGCGGCATAGCTGGACGCTCGTTCAAGTTCGTCTCGAGGTCGCGGATCTGGTTCTGGATGGCGTCCATATGGTCGTGTAGGCGTCCAGCATCCTCAGCGCGGTCTCCTTCGATGCGACCTAGGTAGTCGAGTAAGACGCTCAGGTCCGGGCCAGAGGGCACGGGTGCTGGTGCCGGTGCGGGCGCCGGCGCTGGTACTTCCGCGAGGCTGGGTGTCCGCGCGCCTGCGGTAGAAGTCCGCGTGCTCGCGCTGAACATGCTAGGCGTAGGCCCACGAGAGCCAAATGAAACAAGCGACGCAGTTGGCGTGCGTGAAGCTGGAAGCGGGATGTTCGCAGGCGACAGCTGAGAATGTAATCAGTGCTTTGTTGACAACACCTTCAGAAAATATTACGTACCGCACGCGGCGTGGCACTACCACGACTCAAACTACTTGGCGGGCGCACATCGCTCAAAGCCACGACGCTCGGTGTACGCGTACTCGGCGCCCCGCCATACGAGCTCACACTCCTCTGCGTGCCCAACAAGCTCGGCATCGTCCTAACGTCCGCCAAATCTGATACATCTTCCTCAGGCTCGCTCTCCTCGTACTCTCCCTCGCTCTCCTCCGGCTCCTCCTCAGACACATACGACACCTCCTCCTCCGGCTCTTCGTGTATGATGGCCGGCGGGGGCGGGGCAGGCGGCTCGGGGTGCTCTTCCTCGACCTCCAAGCTGTAGTCAACCAGACTCCGGCTGTCGAAAACGCTGCTGCTCATGCTGATTGAGCTCACGCTGCTGACGCTACGCATGAGCGTCGCGCTCGGCGACATACTGAGCGTCAACGGTGTGCCTTCACTTGACACCACCGTCGGGCTGGGTGCGCTCAACATCAAGCTACGACTGCTAACCGCACTCGGTGCCGAAGCGGAGCCCGTAAGACTGACGGAGATACTCGGGCTGATGGCGCTGCTGGCGCTGATGCTCGGTACGGGGCTGCTGAGTGGCGCGGGCGATGGCGGAGCGATAGTCGTTGTGCTGGGCCTGAGAGAGCTCGCGCTACTGATGCTCGTGCTCATACTCTCCGGAATCGGGCTAAGCCGCTGCACGCTGGGGCTCGTCACCGCGCTCGCACTCGGGCGAAGGAAGCTCGTGTCGAAGCTGCGGTCGGGGCCTTCGGGTAACGCAACGCTCGCGACACTCGGGCTAGCATGCAGAATAGAGCTCTCGTAACTCTCGTCCGTCTCGCTCTCCCAGTGACCATAGCTACTCGGCGTACGCGCACGACGACGACGACGCGGAGTAGGCGGCTCAGGCGAAGGTGCGCTGAGTGAGACGCTGGTGGTGCTTGGCGTCGGCGTTGGCAATAAGCTGCTCGAAGGTGGCGCCGGCGAGCTCCCCATCGTCGCACTGCTAGGTGTGGGAGAAGCAGTCGGCAGAAGACGCGTGCTGCTCTCGATCGAGCGCGGCATCGGGCTCGACATCCCGCTGAGTGTCGGGCTGGGCGGTGCGAGACTGTCCTCGTACGAGCTGCTCGGCAATGGGATATCGGCCGGGTCGAACGACAGCGTGCTCTGCGTCCTGCTCCTCGCAAACCGGCTGCTGGGGGTGACATCGCTTGCGATACTTGGGCTCGGTGGGCGGGGCACCACAACTGGTACACTCGGGCGTGGCTCGGCGAGAACTGGAATCGGCACGGGAACAGGCACGATGACTGGCGTAGGTACGGCGGGTGCAGGCCCGGGAGTAGGCGTCGGGCTTCGTGTGGTTTGCACAGCCTCTTCAGCGCGACGCTGGCAACGACACTCGGCGGTGCCGTATTCGGTGCTGATCTCGCTAGCGCAACGCGGGCACGTAGCGAAGCCACTACGCTCGCTTTCGCTCTCGAGCTCATCGGTGTCGCACTTGCGCGCCGTCTCGTAGTCGTCGCCAGCCTGAGAGCTTCCCTCGGCCGTCTCGTAGTCGGGAATGGAGGGCAGCGAAGAGATGGATCCATGTGGCGAGCGCGGCGTCAAGAACTGTGTGCTAGGCGATATAGCGCGAGGACGCGAGACAGAGATAGAGACAGTCGTGATCCGCGGACCAGGCGTGGCAGTCGAAGTCGCGGACGACGGGTCCGACGACGAGGCGAAGACGCTAGAGGACGCCTCGGTCGGCTCGCGCGGGGCAGGCGTCTGGTATGATCCAGAGCCACTCGATTCAAGGCCAGACGCGTATGAGTCGCGAGTGCCGCTACCAGTACCGGAGGTATACGAGTCGCGATTGTTGCTGCTGCTCCCTGTTCCGGATGCGTACGAGTCGCGTGGGTTGATGATTGGCGCCCGCGCAACGGTGCTCTCGCCAGGATCAATAATCGAATCACGGGCGCTGCTGCCCGAACCCGAGCCCGAGCCAGCATACGACTCGCGGGTGTACGACCCGGTACCGGAGTACGAGCCAGAGTCGCGGGTGTAGCTGCCAGACCCGTACGAGAGTGAGTCGCGCGAGTAGGCTTCAAGGCTGCTGAGGGTGTTGCGCTGCGTCTGCGTGTCGTAGGTGTAGCTCCCAGTCGAGTCCCTCGTGAAGCTTCCACTTCCGCTGCCGCTGCCGCTTTCCGTAGTATATTGGCTCCTACGCCTCGTCGCGCCCTGGCGTCTGAGCGGCACAGGGGTAGCATCCGTACTCGTGACGGTGTCCTCGAACTCGGTTGCGCTGGTTTGGCTACCGCCAGCGGCCGTCTCGTACTCGCCTCCGGAGTCTCCACGGTCTTTGAGTCCGCGAGAGGTAGAGGGCGGAGTCGTCATACTGTAGAATGTCTCGCTGCCGCTGCCATTGCCGTTACCGCGGCCGGGTGTAGGAGAGAAGAACCGGTCTGCGGTGCCCGTCGTGCTTGTCGGCGTACGTCCAGGGCTGGAGGGACCGCGCGAACGTGCTCGGCGCTCAGGCGGAGGAGTGACAACCACATTACGGCTACAAGACATGTCAGCAGGAACTGGTATTATGCAACTTGGTTCTGCTAACCCGAGAGTCGGCCCGCTGGAGATTGTGACGGGAGCCGCCTCACCCACAGGCAGGCGATCTTCCATACCCGCGCCAACTAGACTTAGACCGAAGCCTAATCCAGGTGTAGCACCACGCGCACTGCATGAGTATCAGCCATCATGCTTCCAACCATATTGACAATGTTACGCTTACCGCCTCAGAGCATTATCAAACTCGGCATCCAAATCCGTCATACTGCTCGTTCTCCTCAAGCTCGAGCTCCTGCTGGGCGCAATAACCCTCGGGTCGCCCGGCATTGCCCCAGTAAGCGTGCTCAGATCATCCCTCGTGCCGGTGTACAGCGGCTGAATAGGCGCTTGACCAGGGACGACCGTTGCACCTGAACCCGAGCCCGACCCTGTACTGGAGAAGGGTACAGATGAAGCCGCCGAGGTGTAAGCCGTCGTCGTTTCACCCGCGGGCGCTGTATACGCCGGTGCACCGCTCCGAGACGAGAGGGAGCCAGAGAGAGATTGGAAGTCTGAGATATCGGGGAGCGTCTCAACGTTGACACCAGGAGGAAGGTAAGAAGTGCTCCTGTAGATGTTGTTAGAGATGATAGAGCATGGGATGCGGCTTTGTGGATTTACCTGCTGCCGGCTGAAGACGCTGATGCAGCCGAAAGTGCGCTCGACTGGTGGCTTGCGATGGTGCGGATACTGCCAACCGGGCTCGAGTTCACACTGCGGTCCGGGATCGTAACACTGTGATCGAGGGCTTCCCTGTAGCAAGTCGTTAACTCCAGTTCGTTACTAGAAAACAGCAATACTTACCAGATCGCGCTGACCCAGCGGACGCGTTCGCGTGCACTTTCCGCGCCAAGTCGCTCGACACCGTCTGCGTACAAGAGCTGGAAGGGACACAGCTTCTCCATCAGATCCGCCTCGCCAACTGCTCCTTCGTCTGCCTGCCGCTGCGCCGCGATTGTGCCAACATCGTCGCGTGCGGAAGGGTGCAGAGGCGACGGTACCGAGCGAACCTCAGTGCAGTTCAGCAAGTCAAGTGTGACTACACCGCGGCCACCGCCAGGAGCGATCCAGCTCAGCAAAAGCATGTGCGGGTACAGAAGCGCCTGGCAGCGCTGCCATCTGTACGGCGGCGGAGTGTGCACGTTAAGATACCAAAGCAATCCAATACGCAACGGCTGCAATCTTGAGTTAGCATAATACTCGAAACCGATTGATGTTGCTCAATTACCTCTTGCCCAGCCTTCGTGAACTGTCCTAATTCGTTTAAATCCAATGGGGGCGGTACAAGACCGCTGCCTTCGGTGCGTGGTGTCTCGTCACCTGCGCTCTCGATACTGCGCCTCCCTCCCCGACGGCGCATGCCAAACTCTGCGCTGGGATTCCTCGCCAGTTGCGTAGGGCGAGAAATTGAGGTGGCTGTGTCCGCCGGTGTGCGATCCTTCCATGCTGCGACAATATTGCGTACGGAGGTGAGAGGCGAACGTCCGCCTGCGGGTGTGCGGCGCAGAGAGCTCGTGCGCACAGGCGTCAAAGACGAGCTGCCGGAGGGAGTAAGCGAGCTGAAAGTCGCGCTGCGGCTGTCGTAGCCGGTGTTCGTCCCCGTATATCCAGTTCCAGAAGCGGTATATCCAGTTCCTGATTGCGAAGCCGAGCCGGTATATGCAGAGTATGCTGAGGGAGAGCGAGTGTCATATCCGGTATTTGTGACAGAGGCCGATTGCGTGTAAGGCGTGCCCGAGTATGAGCCGGAGTTTGTCGTTGCAGATTTATTCGGGCTGCTCGAGCGCGAGCGGAAGGCGTAAGGGCTGGGCGAGCGCGGTCCCGCAGGTGACGGCGCGAATGGGCTCGGTCCCTTTTCCTCGAAAAATGCGATCAAATCGCCAGCGCGGCGCGCCGGTGGCACGTTGGACGGCCCCGGATCCGTTGCGCCGCGGACGTGCTGCGAGTTGGGGCGGGAGCCCGTGCGGGCGTAGGACGTCGGGCGCGAGTTAGACTCTGTGCGTTCTGTGATCGTCGACAATCGCAGACCGACGTCCCGGAAGACGGCGCCGATAGGGCCGAGCGAGGCGCTGCTCAGGCTCTGACTCTGGCTGCTCGGCGTCCCCGTGCTCGGAGTGCCCGTCCCCGTCCCACTTTGGGAACTTGGCGTACGGGAGCGGTTCGAGGCCGACCATTCCGTCAACGCATCCTCCGTCGCCGCCAATTCATCGTCAACCGCGCTCAAAGTTTCCTCCACCTCGGCCTCCTCATCCTCGTCGCTGTATGATCCCTCGGTGTAAGATCGCCCTCGTGACGATGGCGAGTGATTCCGTCGGTGGTATGACCGCGAGACGTCAGAGCCGCTGTCAGTTGCTGTGGACAAGCACAAAATGTCAGCCACAGTTGAGCGCCAGCGCTGTCGCGGAAGCAACGCCTTGTATTGTGGTTGGAATGAGACCCTTACCGGACTGGGAACGTGACGCTGACGTCGGGGTGTAAGATCGTGTTCTTGTGTAATCGCTGCTAGATGTAAAGGACATTAGATTAGTAGGCCATGTACATCGTCCAGGTCGGGGGTCAAGCGCAAGAGGCGATCATCAACCTTCTTCCTTGCGCGTCGCCCGGCTGCCTCGAGGCGCATCAACGAAAGTCAACCGGCACGTGCAACGTGTTCATTTACGTCACGCGCTGATTGTGGATCCTGCGTCTTGCTTCGCTATCTTCAAGTTCATGTGCTCCCCTACCGGGGCACTCCTATGGGCTATTACAGATCTTCGAACGCGTAAGGCTACGAGAGCATATCTTAATATGAAAGTCACAGTCAGGCTTCGATAGTCAATCCCCAATACGACAGAAATGATATTCGCGCGCTTAGTACCGCGGCCGGTTCGATACGTGGTCGCCACACTGTGCCCGCGTTGTGTGTCCGCGTTCTGCTTCTCTCCACCACCAGTCGTGCCGCAATAGCTTTGTCTCGGACATATGAAAGTCTCCTTGAGCTACTGAACGACCAGTGGCTTGACTGTAAACGTGTCGCAAGTGAAACTGTCGGGTACTTGTTCTTTGCGCCCAAGCCATACAGGTGCGGAAAGTCACCGCGGTGATATAGACGCCCGCCCCAACACCCGCCTCACGCGTATCATGAACGTCACCCGACTCGCATGGCTACACGTGTCGGCATATTCTAGCTGCTTGCTCTTGGGAGCGGTTTGCGACGATAACCTGAACACGAGATATCCACGAACATCGACTCAAAGGAGTTTTTTCAAGGTTTTGGCGCTGTAAAAGGCCAATGCTGTCATGCGTCCATCTAGCTGACTGAGAGGGTGCCCCAAATGGCGATGAACGAAACCGCAGAAGACTACGATGTACGCTTCCAAGAACGAACGCCCGTACGTCTACCAATTACTGCCGGTCAACTGTCTCCACAGGGTTATGCTGACTACACACCATAGCAGTCAGCGCTTGTATACCGGACTTCGCCACGCATGATCAAACTACAATCTGCAGAAGACGGAATCGTTGCAAGGTATTCGGAACACATTCGCGAGCGCTACCTAGGTCTGAGCTCTCACTCGAGTCAGACATGCAACGACTAGAGCTCCACCAGCTCAATGGCGGTCACTGGCGGTCGACGACCAGTGTCATACTGCTGACACCAGCGCCTTGGAGAGCGTTCCTTTGAATATAAGAGGGCTTCAGAGCTGTAGATTATCCAACACCCCGCCAGTTTTCACAAACCTACTCAAGTTGTCGCGGTTCTCGATGAGCATGTCTTCAGAGCAGACCAACAACGCAAAGGACAGCGCTGTCTACACCACCTCTCATGGGGCTCCCGTTCGTGAGCCATATGCCGCACAGCGTATCGGGTTCAATGGCCCTCTGCTCCTTCAGGGTTGGTCACAGTGTACGGTGCCGAAAAACGCATGCATCTCACCGAGAGTCCAGACTTTCACCAAATCGATCTTCTCGCCCACTTCGACCGCGAGCGCATTCCGGAACGTGTTGTGCGTTACCTACGCTCAGTCTTTTGTATGTACGCACTACTCATTGATGTCTCCACACGCGCAGGTGCACGCAAAGGGCGCGGGTGCACACGGCTACTTTGAGGCCACGCACGACATCTCCGACCTGACTTGTGCAAAGCTGTTCACTCAAGTCGGCACCAAGACTCGCGCGACGGTCCGCTTCTCGACCATCGCAGGCGAAGCAGGCGCTGCGGATACCGATCGTGACCCACGCGGCTTTGCGATCAAGCTCCGTACGGAAGTGGGCAACCTTGACTTTGTGTTCAACAATACGCCAATCTTCTTCATCCGGGACCCGGCGAAGTTCCCTCATTTCATCGTACGTGCTCCACCTAGTATCTCAACGAGGCATATCCTCATGTTGTACTGTACAGCATACACAGAAGCGTAACCCCCAAACGCATCTCAAGGATGCGGACATGTTTTGGGTGAGCACCTTTGCCTTTTGATGGTGCACATACCTTTCACTGGATGCGGGTACGCACAATAGGACTTCTTATCGCAGAATCCCGAGACTGTCCATCAGGTGATGATCACCTTCTCCGACCGCGGCACGCCCGACGGCTATCATCAAATACATGGCTACTCTGGCCATACCTTCAAGTTTGTCAATGACAAGGGAGACTGGCAATACGTCCAAATCCACATCCGTGCCGACAACGGCTTCAAGACGCTCGATGCCGGGAAGGCGAGCGAACTGCAGGGTTCCAACCCTGACTATGGAATCGAGTCCCTCTTCAAAGCCATCGAGAGTGGGGACCACCCTTCTTGGACTGTCTACGTTGTCAGTATCCCACCCTCTGTGAGACCGTACTCCGACTCACTTTCGAGCAGCAAACGATGACACCTGCTCAAGCCGAGCAGTTCCGCTACAATATTCTCGACCTGACGAAGGTCTGGCCGCACTCGGAGTTCCCCTTGCGCCCAGTGGGGAAGCTTGTGCTCAACGAGAACGCACAAAACTACTTCGCAGAGATTGAGCAGGTTGCATTCTCGCCTTCTCATCTTGTTCCAGGCATCGAACCTTCAGCGGACCCCATGCTTCAGTCACGCCTGTTCTCGTACCCTGATGCCCATCGTCACCGTCTAGGGACCAACTACCAGCAGCTCCCGGTCAATGCGCCGATCGCACCCGTGGCCAACTTCCAACGCGATGGTGCGATGGCGTTCAATAACCGTACGTGCCAACTATGGTCATCATAACGTCCATTCATCGCTGACTATCTGCGCAGAGGGTGCTCGCCCGAACTATCAGAGCTCCTTATCTCCATTGTCATATCCAGGCAAGGCCTGCGATGCCAAGGAACTCAAGCACGAGACGCTCACCGGCGTCGCTCGCAACGACCTGAGCGTGGTCACGGAGCTCGACTTCGAGCAGCCGCGCGTGCTCTACCAGAAGGTGATGGATCAAATGGCGCGCGAGCACCTTGTCGACAACCTCGCTGGGCATATGAAGAATATCAAGGAGAAGAAGATCGCCTCTCGTCAGCTCAGCGTCTTCGCGGCCGTCGACCAGGGCTTTGCTGATGAGCTCGCCGCGAAGCTCGGATTGGACAGCGTCGGGCCGCTTCAGGTTGCGCCGGCGGCGGCGATGCACCAGGTGAAGCACGGCATTGACACCGCAGCGCGTGGCCAGGTTTAGTTATTGCGTCAGGATATGTAGCTTGAGATACCAAGTACAACATGGCCCATGGGGGACGATGAATGGATCATGGCACAACTTGCACAAGTTCCCCGCAGTTTACGGCAATGCATGACCCTGTCTGTAGATCCTCGCGCGCGCGTGATCTCACTCCCTTAGCCAGCTCAATGCCGAACTCAATGCCAAGGTCACTGCCTCCGCCTCGAAGGTTTTGCGAAGAGTTGACCACTCGGGTAACTCAGTCTCCGCTAATAGGCGCCAGTTTGGCGATGGGGTCGCGCGGATGTGTGAAAAGTCTTGGACGTCTGTATGCTTGCTCTGAAGTGCAAGTTCGTCAGGTTTAGGTACATAGTAGGTGAGCCATCTGGCTTGACTGACCGTGGGCGCCGTCTGGCTGTCTGCGAACGGGTTGAGGGAGGTCGGATAAGCACCAAACGCGACATTGGAGCAGTGCTCAATGACCGGATTGGATGATACGTTCAGAAAGACCCTGACGTTCTTGGACGAGTGCATACGATACTAGTGTTCTGTCAGTGTTAGAGCTTGATGACGTGTTGTCTGGTTCTCACCTGATGACATCCCACGACCAAGATAGATCGATACATGTTGAGCAAAAGTATACTACCAGCCACTTCCGGTAGCAGTAATACGCTGTCTCGTACGTCGCGAATGTGCAAAGCCGTCAGTCTTTCCTCGCTACCATCGCGGGGTAGAAGGTCGACTAGACAGTGGTCCAAATCGGCGATCGTCAGATCGTGTTGACCAGACTGTGATGGCGGCACATCTGCCCACGTCAACTTAGAGGAGGAGTGGTTGGACAATGCGCGGAAAGTCGTGGTAGTATCCGGCTTTGCTTCTACCAGCGCGGGCGGAGCAGCAGGTGTAGGCGTGGTCTTTGGGGCAGCGGCTTTGCGTTTGAATGCGAACTTGGGCTTGGCAGCGGCAGCTGGGCGAAGAGAGTCGAGTGTGGCTTCCAATTGCCCCATTTGCTAGAAGCATCCAGCTTACTATTTCGGGTATGTTCATTCGCGTCTGATGGGACGCACAAGCTCGCACTGCCGCTTGTCGTACGAAGGTAGGAGGGCGGTATTGTCTACAAGGCTCCTGCGCAGCTTGGCAACGTCTTGCGTTACAGCTTGAACCCGTGCGTCCGTCTTCGACGTCTTCAACGCTTCCAGACGAGTCTCCAGGTCGGCACGCGTGGCCTGGAAAGAAGTATAGAACGCCTCATATAGCTCTTTATTTGACGCCTCTGGCGTAGGATCAGACATCGTAGCGCAGCGGACCGTCTGGTGGCAGGATGTCTGGCGCGAGTAGATGGTAGTTCTCAACGAAGGGCCACCGGGCGTCTGAGGGCGCGACGCGACGCGAGGTTTGGACCTACAAATGTCCTTTTGCTTCACGTTGTGCACATGCGTTTACAGCTCGTTCTCATGACATCATATCAACGCGTCCTATGACCAGATCACTCGGACAGTAGTCTTTACGCCTTGCAACAGGACGGGGAGAGCGGCACACGACGAGCAACATTGATGTTCAAGCATTGGCTTTCATTCACTTCATTCGTACAACAGCTACCGTACAACCACTCCAACGCGTCTTGATAGTTGGTAGTGCGAGCTCCTGATCATGTTGTGGAGCGTCGCGCACTCGAGCGAAGCAGTATAGAGGTCGGGTCAAGGGTGTGGCGACGACGCTCTACTGAGCAAGCTCAGCGGTCTTGAGACTCGCTTACTCTGCAGCAAGGAAGATAAGATCAGATCCTGAACTCAACGGATGCAAGTCCGAATATACGCACTGGAGCGAGCCCGCATTTTTCGGCGCTTGCGACGGAGACGGCGGGAGCGCTTCTTCTTCCACTTCTCTCTCATGCTGTCCAACTGTCAGGATCCGAGTGTACCACGGAAAAACGAACGGACATACGTTAACTCTGGTGGTGAGAGAGCGAATTGAGGCACGAAGACGACTTCGACGCTCGCGATATGCGCGAGCCAACCCTAACGGCGCGTGACCTAGGGTTAACAGTTCCGACGTGCGCTCGCGCGCCTGCGCCGGCTTGCCGGCTCCGCCCTTCTCGCTTCTCTCCGAAACTGCGTCATGAGCTCGAATAAACGGCAGAGGGTGCCTGCTGGCCTGCACGCCGAGCTCTCGGACTATGCGCATGCCTTGAGGGCCTTGCGGACAAACAATGCACTCGATGTCACCTCACAGCTAATAAGCTCGACGAATGCCCGCTCTGACGATGCCGCCTTCGAGTCTGATCCTGAGTTGTCCGATGAGCCATCTCGCGAACAGCCAGTCGCGTCCGGGTCAACTCCATCCAAAGCGAAGAAGCGAACGAAGAAGGAGCAGTCCACTTCAAAGAAGTCCATAGACGCAGGAAATACCTGGAGTCGATGGCCGCTTCCTCCGGAAGAGCTGAAGGAGTCAGAATGGGACTTTGCTGAAGAGGTGCAAGCAATTGCCAGGCAGAGCGCGGCTGCGCACGCAAAGCTGATGCGTGAATCATACGAAGCCGAAACGCAAGACGACGCTGTCCTGTCAGAGGAAGAGGACTTCGACGCCTTGGACCATTCTGCACTCGTGAACATGACTTCGGACCAGCTAGAGCGCATACTGGCTGCTCTAGTGAGCTTCGCGCCTGCTGCCGCTGAACAATGGGCGAATCGCTTCAGTGGTATCTCCTGGGAGGCAGTATTACATATCGTCAGCGCATCTGGAGTCATGGATACTTCGTTCGTCTCTCTTCCTCTCTTCTCCGGGATAGCATCCGTCTGACGAGTGTCAGGGTCATCGAACGAGCGCAGACTCGTTTGGAAACTTTGTATGGACCTGCGGAGCTACCAGGTTGGCTCCACTATTTGCATTGCCATGACCAAGACTAATACTATCCGCACAGTCGCATCAAGAGCAGCGCTTCTCCAGACCGATGCACACGCCGTGGATGAGTTCGAGTATGGGTTTGACTACCTCACACTGCCATATCCAAAACTTAGACACGGGGCCGCAAATACCAGTAAAGACGAGGACGGTGAGAGCCTTCGATATGTCAGTCTCTGTCATTCGAGCTCAACAATCCTCATAGACGCAAAGACTGGGGGTAAGAAGAAACGCGGACGTGCACGCGACGACTCCGCTCGAGAAGATGGGAGTGGCAGCGACTCGGACGTGCCTCTGGCAGTACGATTGCGAACGCGAAAGCGTTCAGAACGAAGCGTGTCTGGGACGACACCACAACTCCAGCCTCCGGAGGCGATGGAAGTTGACGGAGCTACTACGCAAACGGTCTCGGGTCGCAGAAGGAGTGCGAGACTGGCGACACCCGGAGTATAATCGACCGTATGGCAGTCTATGGTCTTTTTACTGGGCTTTCTGGCTCTTTACGTACTCTTCACTGATTCTGTCCATCTGTATAGCAACGCAGCATCCATGTATCATAGACAATAGCAGTATCCACTTCCACGCGTACAGCAATCTGCGCCATTCAAGAAAGTGGTTGTGAAGTGCTTAACTAGACACGAACAGGGCGGATGAGCAGAGGCAGTTGTGGCCCAGCCTCGGGGTTGCTCATGAGCGCAGGACGTGTAACAATCATCGTCTTCGGCACAATGTCCGCCGCTGGGAGGGCCATCTCGACCTCGAATGCGCGTATGATCGCGAAGAGAAGCGCCTTCATCTCGACGATGTTGAAGCCTGGATGCGACAAGTTCGGTGCAGGAAGATGGTGAGCTAGTGAGGAAAACGCACGGAATCCAGGGCATGAGTGCGGGCCGGCCATGAATGTGAGCATGTTGCTCCAGACACCGGGGATGTCCTTGACGGCGTCGGGGATATGCTCCCACCTTTCAGGCCTGGGAAACGATCAGATGGCATATTGGAGGCATGCACTGTAGGAAGTGCTTACCGAAACTCGTGCGCGTCCTCGCCCCATACCTCAGGAGAGCGGTTCAAGATGTTCACCGGGATGGAGAAGATATCGCCTTTGCGCACGCTGTTCCGCCATCAGCGTCACCCTGTCATGTGTGGTTCTTGGGACATACTGGATCTCGTGCCTCACCGCACCGCTTCTATCAACGTACGGCTCCCTGAGCGGCACAACATCGTCTTGCATCGCAACCCTCTCAGACGAGAAGATAGGCGCGTGAATGCGCATGGCTTCACGAACGACCCATTCGAGGTAGGTGAGACTATTGAGCTCAGATTCTGATGGGGTGGAGGTGTCGTGCGTGAAGATCTCGTCGCGGAGTTTGTTCTGGACACGTTGGTTGGTGGCCAGAGCTAAGAGGGTCCACGCCACAGACGTGCTGTAGGGTTCAGTGAGCAAACCATGCCGAGGAATGTGTAAGAGCTCCTTACCTCGTGGTCTCATGTCCGGCAACGAGCACGGTGGGGACCTCTATAGTCTTCATCAGTAACTCTGTTGAAGTGCAAGTACAGGTCGTATACTCACGCGCGAGAATGTCTTCATCCGTCAACCTCGCATGCTGCGGCACATCACTTGACATATTCGCGCGTATAAGCAGCGACAGGAGATCGTTTCCCGCGAAGTGCTTCTTCTCGAGGCCGTGCGCTTCGTCGCCGCCTGCCGCCGCGAGAACGGCAGTTTTCTTCTCCTGAACGAGCTTCATGCCGATCTCGCGAATCGTGGCATTCGCATTGCGCGTGGCGCGGACGCGTGTAGTAGGCTGCAAGGCAAGAGTAAGTGAGGATGCCACAAAGCGAGAGGGCGAGAGTTAAACGTACCAGCGAGCCCAGCGCAGGGATAGTAAGCTGTATGATAGTCGCAGCATCAAGCTCAGCGCTCGCAATAACGCGCACCGCCTCGTTCAGCTCGTTCGGATGATTGTCTGGCGCATGCATCGAGTCGATCGCGTATCCGAAGCCGGCGATGCCCATGATATCGAGAGTGACCTTATTGAGCCACGCAAAGGCGTCGAGACGCACAAAGCCGTCTTTGCGGGAGGTGTTGGAGCAGAGGTCAGACCACATCGATACCATCTCATTGGACTTCTCTATGAAGAGGGTCGCGAAGCGCTTGATCTGAAGGGGGCCGAAGGCGGGATTCTACAGGCCAGACTTAGCGTATATTCTGATGAGCACCCAGTATGGCACCCTACCACGACACGGCGTTGACGTTTATGGGCCTCACCCTCAACAGCGAGAAGTCCGTTGCCCAAGATCTCGCCCAGCTGACGCCGAACATACGGCGACTTCTGGTACAAATGGACGTTGTTAAGAATATGCCTGAGTGCCGTGACGTCCGTTGTCAAGATCATCGGTTGCTAGATCATCCTCATCAGCCCCAGTTAGCACCGAAGGGTGATTCAGGTAGAGCTCACACTGAGAAGGCCAAAGAACCTGAACGTGGAACCGTACTCTCGGAGCCATTCCATCTGCAGATGCACGGCCGCGGCGTCGGGCATACTGCGCATGGAGCCATAAAGCCAGGACTGGTTCTTTGGGCCAGGTAGAAGTCGACTCGGGTTGTTGTACCAAGAAAGCGTCGAGCGGGCGATGAATGCAAGGGCGCCGGCCGCGCCGAGGATGGCGATGAACTCGGGCGAGCTGAAGAGGGAAGTGTCGATTTCGAGAAACATGTTGAGTTGTGTTTGTGCTGAGCCATTGATCGAGCTGAGATTCTTATGTACCAGAAGGACGCGCAAGTTATTCGTTGACTGCCTTGGAGAGACTCGGAGACCCGCGAGTAGAGGGCGACTGGAGATCTCGGTGCGCCGAATTGATGAGGCGAAGGTGATGACATGTCGGCTGCGGTTGACTTCCGCCGGATTTCCTGTGGGCTTCGGGTGTGCATGTATAAATGATCGTTATACTGGATACACACGGCTTGTGTCAGATGAAAGCATCGTCGCATGAAACCTGCGCAAATGCAAACATGCAAATACGCAATTATACCATAGCCTTAGCAGCAAACAACAGAGCAAGAAAGCGAAGTACACAGAGAAAAGCAAAGCGAAGAAAGACTCAAGACCGGGAGATATTCTGGTATGCCAGCGATGCAGATTCGTACTTCTTCTGAAACAGCCGTCCGCGCTCTTCGACCATAAATCTACACTCATCCCGTCAGTAGAGGAGCTTTGGCTTGGATATGGCACATACTCGAAGAGCTTGTTCACGTAGTCTCTCAATAAGCCGACGCTCTCTGGGTCCATGGTTGAGCTGGCGACCATCTGCGGCAGACTCACTAGAACGCCAGTATCATGAGCCGCCGGTTCTACACGCGTTTATACGAGAGTGCGCACCTAGCATCCGCAACAGGTGTTCTGCGCCGTAGATCTCGCTCATCTCCTTCTCCTTGCCCACGGATACAGTCGGACCGGTGATATACTTCTTCCGTACATCTGCGTACTGGACGCGCTCGAAGCGGTACAACAAGGTGCTTCCCAGTGCGCGGTCAAAGTACAATTGTAGCCCATTCACGATTGTTGGCAGCAACACCTGCGGATCGCGTAGATTCCTACAGCGCGTCAACGACGGAAGCAGCCTAGCTGATGATAGCACACGTACGATGTCGCCTGCGTCTGCACGACCCAGCTCTTAAACTCCTGCAATATCTCGCCTACAGTTGGCTCCCTCGGCAGCGTCACCAACTGCGTATTCTTTGTGACCGCCTCCCAATCATCCACCAGCAACACCTTCAACACCTCAGGCACGTTCAACCTCAACTCGGGCTTCCTCGCCCCGTCGTCGTCGTCCCTCGCCCGCTTCGTTCCCCGTGTGCCTTCTTTGCGCCGGGCGGCTGATGCGGACCCTGCGCCGCCGCCGGGTTTGGCTGAGCCGCCGCCGCCGGATTTAGAAGGGCCGGCGGAGGACGAGTCGCGGGTGTGGGCTTGTTGCTGTTCGCGCAGTGACTTTTGGAGGGCGAGGTTGCCCTCCGTCATCTTCAACATTCGGATAGGAGGAACCCATTCGTCCCATCTAGTATCCCATTTAATATCTGGGCGAGAAGGAAGGGCAGGAGACGTACGTCTGTTTCCAGCCCTTGTAGTGTACAAAGTAGTGCGGGCCGAGAGTGCCCAGCTTGGTCGTATTCTCGTTCCAGTCTTCGACTTTGAGCACTTTGGCCTCGTAGATCAACGGTCCGTGGTAGCACAGTACAGCTTCATTCACTGAGAACGTCGGGGAAGACATGACGTATCAAGCACTGGTGGCGGTGGTGGTCAAGACCGAGTTTAGCGATACACTCTGACGCTCAGAGGCACAGAGTGATAATTAGGTGGTGGTCGAAGTTGAACGCGTCGTCGCGCCACACTTAAGCTCAACGCGTCAAACGTGCACTCGCGATGACGGGCAAAGGTATATGTATCGCAGTCAAAGTACACATTATAGGTCCAAATTACAAAGCGTTCTACAGGAGCTGAGCGGGATAGCATAGGGCGATAGGTAAGAGTGAAATCCATCCAGTCCGTATATCGTCAGTCAGGTCGTCGGTCAGATCAAGGTCGTAAAGATACAAGAGCTTGGCGCAGCCATCCTCATCTATTGGTTCTTCTTCTCCTCCGTGTGAACAGCGCCAACTCCACTCGGATTGGGCACCGTATCCGTACTGTCCTCGAACTTGCCGAAGTTGGCTTTCCCACCAAGCACCGGGCTCGGCGGCGTGCTCAGATCCTCGACATCCGTCGTAGGATCCAACGTCGGGCTCGTCCGTTGACTCGCCAGCGCCGAGTTCGCCTCCGCCAGCTCTTTCCGTAGCGCCTCGAGTTCGCGCTCGAACTTGCGCCCGAACACTTCGATGTAGAAGCCCGCGCCGTTCCATACGGAGACGGAGAAGATGATGATGAGGTAGGCTGCCGATGAGAAGGCCGAGTCGTAGAGCAGGAAGATGCAGGGGACTTCGGTCAGGACGGCGTAGACTATTCAAATATGTCAGTAAGACGCAGATAGTGGTGGAAATGTGAGGGCACGCACTGAACTGGCCGAACATGAAGTACAGCTCTCTCCGTTCGGGTTTGACCTTCGCGAGGATTTTGCCAATCGCACCGCGTTGATGGTTCAGCAGGAAGGTCAATGAGGTCGTGCGTTGACCAGACTCGATCTTTTTCCTCCGGTCGATCAAGATGAGCTTCCAATACAGCGCTTGCCATACAAAGTCTGCGGGGGCATCAGAATGGGCCCGTGAAGATAGATATGGACAGAAGCGTACACAGGACCGAGCTGATCGCGAGCGCTTTCGTTGCGTGCATTGTGGGGAGGTCGTTCAAAGCGGGGAACCGTTGTTCCGCTCCAGGATAGAAGTGGCTGCGAACATGGATGAGGACAACAACCCTCTGCGGTATGCGCAACAGTGCTTACCGGATGACCGTAAACACCAGCGGTGGATAGAAGTGTATGAACATGCTCGTGACCTTGTCGTGGTCATGAAACACCAAACTGTTTCTCCAAGTGATAATCGCGCTGGCTAGACTCCCATGACTCAAGCAATAACATGCCAAGAACAGTGCCGAAGAGCCGGGTGCAATCCAGAGGTAGATGATGTTGAGGACGTTGACGTAGTAGCAGAGGTCGAAGAGGAAGTAGTGCCAGTTTTGTCGCTTGTATGCCCAGAAACGGTAGGGTATCATGTAGAAAAGTTGCACGGTGTATGATATGTGCAGGTATCTGTGGCGCGTGGTTGAGTTCGTGCTAGGTGCAAGACGAGATTCGCGAGATGCACGTACTCTGGTGCGCATCCGAATAACAGTGCGGTGAACAGCAACAAGTTGACGCCGTAGAAGAAACTGATCTTCTCGCGCATCCTGACAACCTTTGCACTCTGCCATGCCGTCGATATCCTGGCCAGTCTTTCCGACGCCTGCAATCCATCAGCGGCCCCGCACCCCGCACACGCGGCATGACGCACGTACCTTTACGCGCAACCTCTGCACCTCCTTGTCGAAGTTCTCGCTCAGCATCTCAGGCGTCGGCGTCTTCATCTGTCCCCGCCTGAAATCGTCAAAAGCGGACTCGGCGCGCTTCTTGAGCTTGTCGGTGCGCATCTTGAGTTGATCGGTCCGCTTGGCGAGGTCGCGAGAGATCAGGTCGATCCGCGCGTCAAAGTATGTCTCCAGAGTATCTATAGGGTACATCAGATCATATAGTATGACAGATTAGAGTAGACTTACCGAGAAGAGTAAACGCATTAAGATCCTGGCCCTCGCCATCGCGTATGAACTTTTCGAACGGCAACGAGAAGAAACCCATATTTCCGTTCTCTATGCGCCCTGACGGCGAAGGTGGTCCCGAAGACGGACGAGACATGGCGCAGTATTTATTTGGCCTGCAGTTCAGCGAGAAGCAACCACACAATGGTATAGGGCGGTTATGTGGTTTGTGGTGGTACAAGTGAAGGTTGCGAGGAGGCGCACATCAGGCTAACGTGGTTTCGTTGACGCGACGACGCGTCTCCACGTGAAAGTCTCGACGCGTCCATCGACGTCGACGCGCCACATCCACCAAGGCCGTCTTTTCTGCTCGACCACCATCTTCTGCTGCACTTTCGAGCTCTGACGTTGAGCGTGAAGGGGTGTCACTCATTGGAAGACCAGCTCTGTGAGAAGCTCAGGTCTTCTGCGCGTGTGGCACGTATACCTGTGACGTTCAAGTTCATCTTGCTTCGGGTTCGGTGCCTGGGAGTCGAATCGCGGGACCGAGCACTTCCCCGCTCCGTCACCCCTGTCAAATGCTCGCTCTTTCACAACCATCGAGAGTAAAGAAGGCATATGCCATTACATCTCTAATTACACCATTCTGAGACTAGATGCGTCATATAAGCTCTCTGATAGTGACAACATCTACAATCATACCCTGCGTATAAATGTCTGTCATTTGTACTCCGTCCCAACATCGCACCCAAGTTTCCCCCATTCATGAGTGACCCTGATCTCCTGCAGGGACAGCTGCTGCATGACTTGTAATCGGCGCCCAAGAGACGCTCCGCGCGAGCGCACCCACTGTATTGTTGGATTGCGGATAAGGGATGAATGGAAACGAGAGCGACTCGAGCTTCGACAATCCATGTTCTCCGCGGATCTTGAGGACCTCGCAAACCTCTTCCAGAGGGTCTGTGCTGATCCGCGCGGTGACGCGGAGTCCAAGATTGTGGAGGCGAGGTAACGGCAACCGCTTGTCATTTCCGGACGTGGCTGGAATGAGGCACTTCCAAAGACAATCACAACTATTAAGGCGTGAATCATCGTGCCAGTCTGAATCAGAGGGGGATCTCAGGTAATTATTCACCCAATACGTCTCGACGTTGCGTAAAGCACACATCAGCGTGCGCAGGGAGGACCTGACATCACCGCCGTAATCGACGACGCAAGTATTTGTTTCCAAAAACGTGATGTTGGAGAGCTGTTCGTGCAAATCAAGGCGCGGAAGTTCCGCAAAAATCCAGTCCAGATCAGGATAGGCGAGAATGGCATGTCCTGCTTTCGTGTCGACCATATCGGGCGAGAATGGCGACGGCGGCACAACCGGTAAACGATAAAACTGGAGGTCCTCCGCGATGAAAAGGATATTAGGGACAAGATGGCGATGTGTGTGATGAAGACACAGAGAAACGAGCTTCTCAGTCCACCCGACTTGCAGAGAGACTGCGAGGTCAATAGGGTCGCTGGACAGCATCTCGAGAATCTGCTCGAAGCATCGTGGGGCTGTATCTCTGAACTGGCTATCGAAAAGGTCAAGAAGGCGAAGCTCTGGAAGCTCAAACGGCGAGCCCAGTGATGCGCCCGGTTGGTCCAGCGCTCCGACGTCAGAGCCCAGTGATGCGCCCGGTTGGTCCAGCGCTCCGACGTCAAGCGTCACGTATTCGCAGTCGTCTAAAGACACAGTTTCGAGTAGCGGGCTGTGCCTCAGGATTTCGTAGATACTCGCTATGGATACGGTCATATGCGCGATATACAAGTCTTCGAGTCTTGGCGCCTTGATCGCAACGAGCAGACTTGAGCTCACATTGTACAAGCGCAGGTCGACAACCTGCGGTAATTCAAGCGCGTAAGCTTCGTGGGGGGGATGAACAGCTTCCAAAGAACCCCAAAAGACATTTTCGAGGTGCAACTCGATGAGGTTTCGGAGATCTCCACTGAGTGCCCTTTGTATACTCTCCCTATCAGTGAATGTATTTGCCAAGGACACCCAGGAGAGTCTTCTGAGACGTGTGGACTGGATCAAGTGATCAACTGGCCAAGTCGACCTTGAGATCCTGGGGTTCCAATATATATCTAATTGAGCTTCTCCGGAACGTTCCAGGAAGGTCTTGACAGCAGGAGCTATATAACCGATCTGCCGCGCCCAGAGTGTCGGTGTACCGATACAAAGCGCTCACCATGTCGCGCAGACGTGCGAAATCGCAACAGCAGCCCCAAGCGTATATACACCGGGTCCGATATTCGAACGAGTTCTATCCGGTTCCAAAGGCATGTAGATGTCGAGGGCAAAGTGTGCGATGGTTGAAAACAGCTCCGGAATCGACATGACGCGAGTGACTGGCTGAGCAGCATTGAAGGCCGCCTACGAGCACGTCAGACAAGTAAGCTCAAGTCGCTGGTATCGCCACTCACTGAGAGGTCGTATGACATGGTTATATAGATGATGGCGCGTGCACCGTCTTCTGTGTGCGGTGGTGATAGTCGAAGCCAAGTCACGTCTTGAGCTTGACTCCGGGTGGCAGGCCACGCCATGCTCTCGCCGCTTTGTGGCTCTCGCTCGTTTGTCTCAGAATTCCCTATCTCATGCATGCGTTACAGTGACGCGGGATATAATCTGATGGCAACCATGTCGAAGAGAGCTAAAATACGAGACCAGAGAACCATAAACGATATCGCAAGAGTCAACTATGGTGTCGGCCGACCGGTGCGGTCCCCGGCCGGTAACTCCGATGCCCTACAGATAAGTGTATGCACCGCGATCTGACTGGTTGTCTTGATCAAACTATTGTATCATTCTGTACGTGGACCGCGCTTTCATGTCCGTGTATACATGTGAGCACTGACACGCTGATTCCTGTTTCATCTACGCACGATCATCATCACCGGCCTTCAGAAGTCTGACTCCTCCTCAGACTCTGACATTTCCTCCAGCCCTGGTATCCCCGCCTCATCATCGACAGAGGTAGATCAACCATAAGTTAAGTTGTCGACATCATCATCTCCCCAGTGAATCGTCTTTACCAGCGACAGCAGTCGGCTGGAAGGGGCATCGTCGTTTGGAGGCCGTGCAGTCCGAGGAAGAGAGAGAGCATCCGGTGCCGCCAGCCCGTGGCTCAGACCAAAACACGATGGATTGACGTCAAAAGCTGAGCGGGCTCGTTCGTTGATAACCCGAGTCCGAGATAGCGAAGGCGCGTGAATGGTGTTTGCTCAAGCGCACTGGTGGTTGAACCCGGCATCAGGGCGTCGATGAAGCAGTCGTACACGAGGGTGCTTTCTCGCCGATATCCCATACGAACGTTTTGATCGATAACCCAAAACGTCTCGATCTGGGGAAGCGCACAGAAGAGCGAGCGCGTATCCACATCCGATACGGCCGCAGCATAGCAGGTATGCAGCACTAGTGTCACGATATAGGAAAATGCGCCATCCGTTGGTGTTGCTACGCGCGGAAGCGCAGACCAGACCCAATGTAGGTGCTCGATCGTTTGCTGTGATTTCGAACTCAGTGATGCGAGCACGTCCTGGCAATCGAAGTCCGGGGCCTTCTCGAAGGGTATATCATCTTCGAGGGCATAGAATTGAAGAGGGGGCTTAATGTAGAGACAAGCTGGTATCCCGCGCGCTAGTGCATGGCGAAGACCAATCGTCAGTAGACTATCCGTCCACTGTGTTTCTGTCTGGATTTTTAAGCTTCTGGTTTGCATGACGAGCATGTTCAAGAGCTGTTCGCAAAGCTCCGCGGCTTTGAATCGGGGAGCAGTGTATATGTAGACATCGTGAAGGTGAGGAAGTGTGATAGTGAGAGGCGATATCTGGTGTCGCCCGATGTCGATTTCGATAACACCTAGATCCAGGTCCAATGTCTCCAGTAAAGGTGCTAGCTGCAATATGTTCACCACACTCGATAAGGATAGTGGAGTTTGGCGAATTGACAGCGATTTCAATGCGGGCGCATTAAAGCGCAATAGAGTCTGTCCAAGAGAGACAGAATACAAGCGTAGGAGCGCGAGCTGCGGGACATCAAGAATATCCAGTTGTCTCGGTGCAAAGTCCCGCCTCCAGTATATGCCGTAGAAGTCGAGCGAACGGAGATTCGGCAAGGCACCCGAGAGGATGCCGTGCAAAATCGCCGCATTTCCATGTGTCTCTGGAGGCTCACCGGAGGACCCTCCCCAACGGAGGCTTCTTACGCAAGAGGGCTGAATGGAAGGAATGGAGGAAGGCCCAAGCGAGGCGAGCGACGGATTCCAGGAGGCCCAGTGGATATCGAGTTCGGCTTTGCTCGAGCGTGCAAGGAACTCTCTGGTAGCAGTCGGCAACTTTCCGATCTGCCGAGCCCAGAGTGTCGGTGTGCTGAGGCAAAGAAGTCGACATGCGTAACTGACATGCGAGACCACCACTGCGGCGCCGAGTCTCTGCTGAACCAGAGGAGGATAGACGTCCAGCGCGCAATGTACAATGAAAGCGAAAAGCTCTGGAATGGATATCAAGCGGGCGATGGGCAGGTTTGCATTAGCAACGGCCTGAGTCGCACTCAGTTTCGGCCATCCGATCAACATGTTTCAGACGTACTAGTGCTTCCACTGGCATGGCTTTGTGTGACACACGATAGAGTCTATATGATGGGATGGATCGTGGTGGCGGAGAGCAAGCCGCGAGATGGTCCCACGACGTCGACGCGCGCGCCACAGGTCCACCTGCGGTTTATATGACGTTGGGGCATTGGCGTCGACTTGCGTGTCCTCAGTTTACCAGACGTAGCTGCCCTACGAGGATGGCAAGGGCATGTCTCACTCTCACGCAAAAGACCCAAGAAGAGCAACATATCTAGGTAGTAGTAGGTGCAAACGCCGACAATGTAAGTACTAGCTGCTCGTCTCCTTCATTACAACAAAAAGAAACAAATCCATGCCATATCAAGAACAAGAGTCCGGGTGTCTGGTATACTTACATCCCAATGCGGGCGTCTATGTGATTGGTATAGGTATACACTCATGCGGAGCTGTCGAGCACCTCGGGACGACCGATCTGCTTGACCTTGAAGCCGATGGAGCGGAGCGCGGGCGCGTCGAGAATCAGACGACCGTCGAACACGAATGCGGGCTTCTTCATTGTGTCGTAGACCTGCTTCCAGTCGAGGTCCTTGAACTCCTTCCACTCGGTCGCGACGACGATCGCCTCGGACTTCTTCGCCGCCTCAAGGGCAGAGGGAGCGAGGGTGACAGCCTTCTTGACTAGAAGGGCGTCAGCATCATGTTGTGTAAACAAGAATTGAAGGGAGCCTACTCTTCTCAAGCGGCCATGCGGGAAGTGCCTCGGAGAGGTCGAGCCAGATCTGCTCATGCGGCACCTCGGGGTCGTAGATCGTAACCTTCGCGCTCTCGAGCAAGAAGTCGCGAACAAGGGTGATGGAAGGCGACTCGCGGGTGTCACCGGTATCCGCCTTGAATGCGAATCCAAGGACCGCGATGGTTTTGTTGGTGATAGTGCTGAAGAGCGTCTTGACGACATCACGCGAGAAGCGGCTCTTCTGGTAGTCGTTCATGGTGATCACCTGGCGCCAGTACGCCGCGACCTCGGGCAAGTTGACACTCTCGGAGATGTAGACCAAATTGAGGATATCCTTCTGGAAGCAAGAGCCACCGAAGCCGACGGAGGCCTTGAGGAACTTGGGACCGATACGCGAATCACGGCCCATGGCGTGTGCGAGCTCCTCGACGTTCGCGCCGGTGATCTCGCAAAGCGCCGAGAGCGAGTTGATGGACGAGATACGCTGGGCAAGCATGGCGTTGGCGGCGAGCTTGGAGAGCTCAGAGGACCAGAGGCCGACGGTAAGGATACGGTCGCGGCTGCGGAGGTATGTGCGTCAGCGCTAATCAGGGGCGCTATAAAGTTCTGAACAAGCACTCACGGGACCCAGTTGGCGTAGACGTCGGTGAGGGCCTGGCATGCGGCGATACCCTCCTTAGTCTGGAGGGAGCCGATGAGGACACGGTCGGGCGCGAAGAGGTCAGAGATGGCCGTGCCCTCTGCCAAGAACTCGGGGTTGGAGAGAATATCGAAGCGGCAGCCGGGCTTCGAGTTTGCCTCGAGGATGGTGCGCATCGACTCGGCCGTGCGGCAGGGCACGGTCGACTTTTCGACGACGATCTTCGAGCTCGTGGCAACCTCCGCGATGCGGCGCGTTGCGGACTCGACGTATCTTGAAGATAATCATGTTAGCGTGAGGATTCCGCATGAGATCAGCGAGGCAATTTACGCGAGGTCGGCAGCGTAGCCGGCGCCAACACCAGACTTCTTCGTCGGGGTGTTGACGGAGACGAAGATGAGGTCAGCCTCTGCGATGGCCTTGTCGACGTCGGTCGAGAAGAAGAGGTTGCGGCCGCGGGCCTGCTTGACAACGTCGACGAGGCCGGGCTCGTAGATGGGCAGCTTGAACTCGGGCGAGTTCCATGCGTCGACACGCGCCTGGTTCAGGTCGACGATCGTGACCTGGATGTTAGGGCACTTGAGCGCGATGACAGCGCAAGTCGGTCCGCCTGTACGCGTCGTGAGCTGGCGGTGTCCCGACTGCGCAATCTTTCAATCCTTACCGACGTAGCCAGCACCAACTGCGATATTATATCAGTACTTGAAGGTCTTTCACTATGAATATTTCACTCACTGCAGCAGATCTTCTTGACGGACATGGCAAGGGAGGAGATGGGGGTTCGGGTGCAAGCAACGGGCTTGTGATGGACTCTCAAGCGATCTGTGCTTATAACAACTGTTCGCATTTCGGCGCGCGGCCTCGTCCCTCCTCGTCCGTTCTTGGCGTTCGTCCGCCCGTCAAACACGACTCGTTTCACGCGTCCCTTTGTCGTACATAGTTGCCTACAAGCGCGCTAACTTTCCTTACTTCCCCGTCGGGATCGAACGGTGACAGGAGCCCGCGTAAGAAGCCTTCCTCTGAATGATCTCGCCGGCGCAGATGGCGTTGCAGATGTCCGCGAGCCGCGGCTTGCGCTCGAACGCGTCGAGCTGCGCTGGATCCATCACTTCCATCAGGCACTGGCCGCGTTCGCCATCCCGGCTCCTTTCTCGTCTCTGATGTATTCGTACAATTGGAGTGCGTGCACACATCCGGAGAAGAAGCCTCCGAGTGTATGCAGTACTCTGTACACCTCACAGAACACGCCTGAGCTTGGTGGGGGTCCTTCGATTTGAAGAAGATCTTCGTTATCTCGCGGCGAGGCGGCGGTATCCTCCGATCAATTGTGGAGCGTGACCGCGTCTAAGACGCGTCGCGTCGCGTCGCGACTGCGAGGCAGTGTTGCTCTCATCCACGACCATCGCGCCTACCCAGGCCTCTACCTACTATCCCACAAACTGAAACTAAGGCAGGATGGCTACGACGTATGCCGAAACGAGCTGGGTTACAAACAGCCAGACTTGCATCGTGCCGGGATGTAATAAACCTGCTCCGAACCAGTGCTCTGTTTGCCGATGCGTCAAATACTGGTACGTACGTGCTTCATGTAGAACGCTACCGTGAAAGGAGCGCTGACTCTCTATACAGCTCGCCTGAATGTCAGACGGCAGACTGGAAAACGCACAAGAAGCTCTGCAAGCAGTTCGAGAAGCAGCGTATCGATTCCATCCAGTCCAAACTCGACGGAATTACTGCTATCATAAAAAGGCAGGAGGACGAGGAGAAGAAGGCAGGGAAGAGACCGGATAAGAGAGTCTGCACGGGTTGCAACGTTCGCTTCAGGCGAGATTACCCTATAGACCAGGAGTGTCCGGATTGCGGATATGTTGCGTGCGAGAGTTGCTCTTGCCACCACAGTCGAGGCGAGTCGCACGTCTACATTGAATCACAGGGCTTTGAGACTAATTGCAACTTTGCGCAGGCACTTGCGAATGCCCCAACTCCAACTTCGGTGGTCCTTACTGCAACCGCCGTAGGTGTCCCAAGGGCGTTATCTACTAGCGGGGTCACTGACGATAGAGATATAGAGCCTGCGTGGTATCATGGTGGGCGCGGGGGACGCTACAGTGGCGACTACCATCCCGAGGGCTATAACCTCGGCCCGGAGACCGATCCCGATTTATATGAGGCTGAACCACGCACGTGCGATAACTGTGGCGAGCGCAAGTTCTGCTTGAGTCCAGCGGGTATCCAAGAGCTCAGTCGGATGTACTGAGCGCGCACGCTACAAACACTTCTGCTTCCTTGTACTTGTGCCTGAGACGTTGGACGGGACGCCATGTATTGTTTCTTGTTCGTCACACGAGATCGTTGCTCTGCAATTTGTATACTATCTAACCTGCTCTCCTATCGAAATCCGTACATCCAATTATGCTCTGTCTGGCGCGCAGCACGCTACTTGGCCCTTACAGTATATCGGTAGATCGACGATTAGATGCTGAAAGTCGAATCCATCAAAGGAAGCGCGGGCCGAGTGGCCTGGGAAAGAGTTTTGAGCAGAGACGCGCTCGCGCGCCTACGCGTTTCCAGTTGAGCAACCACCACCACCATCTACCCAGTGACCATGGATCGCGCGTCAACAGCACCACCATCGAAGAAACGCGCCCGGTCGCCGGAATCGCCCGTTTTGGAACGCGAGGACCGGAAGAGTAAATCGGACATTGAGAACGCGGATACTCGGGAGAGAAAGGACAAGAAGAGGCGGAGGAAGAGGCAGCGCAAGATGTCCGTCGTCGAGGAACGCGAGGGCGGCCCAAAACCATTATCGACCTCGTCGTCGCGCGCGTCGTTCACACGGTCGGTGACGTTTGACGGCGTCTCGGCGCCACCCAGCAAGACGAACGGGAAACAACCAGAATTCGTCCAAGGATCCTCATCTTCGACGCCTGCCTCGCCCCAGCAAGACACTGTGGCGCTTAAGGAAACAATGGATACGCAAAAGAAGGTACGACTATATATACTCCTTAATATAAATATCATTTCGCTGACTCACTTCATCAGTCGCTCGACGCACACGGCGCTCTCCTCGGCCTGATGCTACCCTCCCTGACCTGCCAAATATGTCTTGACCTGCTGCACAAGCCGTTTGCGCTGGCGCCCTGCGGTCACATGGCCTGCTACAACTGCCTCGTCATGTGGTTTACCACCCCGCCCGCCAACGACAACGTCCACGAGCTCCCTCAATTCCGCAAGAAAACCTGCCCGCACTGCCGCGCCGTCGTCCGCGAGCGCCCTGCCGAAGTGTGGGCCGTCAAAGAGATGGTCGCCAACGTCTCCCGGTCCGGTCTAGCGCCACAGTTCCCGCCACCACCCTCGAATAAGGAAGAGGAAGCCGCGGCGCCGGTCTTACCGGGCCAAGTCGCCGCCGTACGCGATGCGTGGGCGAATATATTCCCTCCATTACCTCGAACCGGTGCACCTGTACCCGGTATGGGCGCGGGTCAGGGTGAAGTGGCTGCGATGGGGATGTACGACGCCGAGGACCACGTCTACCGCTGCCTTGACTGCATGCACGAGATCTGGGAAGGCTCCTGCGCTCAGTGCGGACGTATATACCCTGGCCATGACGACGTGCTGGGTTTGGGATCGGATGACGAAGGCGAGGAAGATGTTGCGAATATATATGCCGCGCTGCATGCGGGTCATGTCCAAGGCTTCCATCCTGCACCGGGCTTCCACGCCGCGCCGTTCCTCAGTGACTCGGACGGTGAGGGCAGGTCGGAGGACGAGGAGAGTTATGATGGAAGCTTCATCGACGACGATGGTGCTCCCGCACCTCCGGGACCGCGTGCGCCGAGAGCGAGACGAGGGAGTACCATTAGTCTTTCGTCGGAATCGGAAGGCGAAAGCGAAGTCCGGGCGCTCGGCCGTGGGTGGCGTGTTGGGCGCAGTCCTGCACCTGGGCCGATCGCTATTTCCGATGAGGGGAGCGACGAAGACGACGATGTGTTGATGCGGTATCCTCGTCGTAGACCCGCGCCTCCGGCCCGTCGCTACAATCTCATCTCAGACGATGAAGCAGATGTTGTCATGTAAGCATCTGCAATCGTTCATATGTTCATCTCGTTGTATTAACTCTGTCCCGATGTAACAGTGAAGTTGACAGCCCGGCGAGCACCCATGCCGCTCTCGAAGATCCTGCTCCTTCGCGTCGATCGCGCAGATATTTATTCGAAGAAAGCGAGGAAGAGGAGGATAATCTCGAAGATGACGATGGCGCTATCGCTGGGCCTTCCCGTCGCCTTCGGCGCGTCTTTGATGAAGAAGATAGTGACGACGACGAAATGCACAACTCAGGAAGCGACGACGACGGCGCCGTACGCGGTGGATCGCGTCGATTGATGGATCTGATGGGCGCCGAAGAGGACGAGGATGGAGACAGCGATGATGAGCGGTTCGGTGGGAGGAGCGATGACGACGATGAGAGGCATGGTGGTGATTATGGGCAGTTCGAGGATGAAGATGAGGAGTACTAGAGTTGGTTGCGTTGCTGTACGGGCTGTGTTACCGGATGTGTGTCTTGAGCATGCTTATCTGTATCGCCTTGTACCGCATATGAGGATTTTACATGAGTCATGTTACATGGGACTTCGTGGATGCAGCGGATCAAAACTTAACGACACATAATATATACCTAACACATTCAGTATGGGGCACAGCCATGATGATGCGCTATAGAAGGCTCCTTTGAAAGCGCTTAGGCGCGATGTAGCCACTTGCCTCTTGCCCTCACCACGAAGCTTGACTATCTCACCACATTCATTTATTCAAGACTTGTCGTGAGATGCCAATATATACCCTGGTATGTATGGTACTGCTGGACTGTGACAGCAGCCTCTCATTCTTCTACTATGTAGGCAGATCAGAATGCCGCTCAACCGATATCTCGTATGATGTCGCTTCCTGAGCTCTTATCCGCCGTCGTGCACCACGCGCTGGACGTCTACCCACCCGAACTCGTACGCAAACGGAAGGGAGCGCCAGAAAGCTCGCTTGAGAGAGTTCGCAGACTCGGCGCCGCCGTCATCATCTCCCATGTCTGTTCTGCATGGAGAACGCGCTGCATCGCCACACCTACGGTGTGGGCGCGTCAGATCGGTCTAGTACCGCCCGCCACCGAAGAGTTCTTAGCTCGCTCCGGCGAAGCTCTGGTTGACATATACTGGCGTTCCTCGACTAATCCTGGAGAGTGGCCGGCCGGCGCTGTCATTGCGCCTATGCGCTTGAGACATCTCTTCTGGGAATGCTTGATGACGACGATGGGACCATCTAACCAGGATATCCTCTTCCTTCAAAGAGCATTTTCCGGGAGACTCTCAAATCTCGTCACCCTCGGACTATGCAGGGTCGATCTGGACGCCATCGGCTCTGCGTTTGATGGCGCGAACCCAATTAACCTGCCGCATCTCGTGCATCTCAGTCTGACCGATCTGTTTGCAACCGCACGCGCGGTGTTCAACGCCCCTCAGCTACATACATTTGCAATCACCCTATCAAAAGTCACTCTCACAAGCATTTTCGTCACGCTGAGGTCCACTGCTCTACTTGAAAGATTGACTGTCAACCGTTGTACAGTTATCTCCGGCGATGAGGAGGAATACCTCGGCAATGATGGCGTCGAGCTTCGACATCTTCGAAATATGACTGTAGTGTTCGGATACGATGATGGTCTTGGGGAGAACACTCTCTACATAATGCTTGCCTCGATACAAGCAACCCCTCAAGTCTATCGAGTCGCCTTGGATGGGGTGTGGACAAACCGCCTTCTCTCTGTGTGCCTTCGTGCAACATTTGAACACGATGCCCCCGCCATTTTGACTATCGAAGAACGAATACTCTTCTACTCCCGTGTGGGAGATGAGCGTACCCATCTCCCGCCAGAACTTGACGAAGAAGGCATCCGAGCTAGCCTTGCTTACCCATCCCTTCCATGGTTCGCCAGAACGCTCCCGGCGCTTGGGATGCGCGCATTTCTCTCCAATATCACAGTACTCGCCATGATGACCATCTGTGCCGCGTACCTGTATCACGATACTGAACATCTGCGCTCTGTCATGAGCGCCTTGCCCAATGTAGAGACCTATTGGGTTCTCAATTCGTCGTTCGGTCAACATCGGGACAACGATTACGATGACCAGGACGCCTTTAGCTTCTTTATTGGCGGGCTGGCCTTTGGTCTCGCCGCGAACGAGGATGAGCACACTCCATTCCCTCGCCTTCGCACCGTTGGAGTGTGCGCTGTCTCGGGTGGCGACGACTCTTGGCTGTTCAAGACCCTCTCCCAGGTTCTCGCGAGCCGCGACGCCGCGGGAGTGCCGCATTTAGAGGGCCTATCTTTTCCTTTCATGTCACGACCTCCAGATGATGTCGAGGATCAGTCTGTGACACATCTTACTTCACTGGTACAAGTCTATTGGAGCGATTCCAGGGATGATGTGAGCGCTGTAGTACCGTGAACATAGGTCCCCATGTACTTAGTACTTAGAAAGAAGACGTTTCCTTATAACGCAATGTCATGTTATCACAGTGCGCAAGATGGCGGTTTTGCAACCTGGTTGAACCCAAAAGCACGGTCAGACCGCAAGTTGACAGCTGCCCGCCAGCCAGAATACCCACTTCGGCATCCCCTTCGGATGTTGCCGGCACAGTTTGATCCGTCGCGAGTTGATCTTCGACGGCAGTCAACTACCTGCCACTTGAGCTCGACCACGACCTCCTCGCATTTGACATCTATCTGAACACTGCCTCTTCGATATGGAGACCGTAGAAGCGATCCAATTCAGATCTTGGAACGGTGTCGCTGGGATCCGCCTCTCGTCGCCAGCTCGAAGCGGCAATTTGATATACACGTTGTCGCGCCCATGCTTCTTCGCACAGTCATCGGACCTCCTACAGTCCTCCAGCGCTCAGCGCTCATGATCCATCAGAGGGGACGTCAGCCTCAGTCATGACCCGCACACTGTGGGTAAAAGCTTTATATGCTTCCTACGCAGACAGTCTGCCACTTCATCAGGCCTCTTCAGTCACTACTGACTCGTACCGACTTCAGACCGTGAGCCTATGTGAGCCGATACCAGGCTATACCGCATATCTGCCATTTGGCCATAACGCTTCCAAAGGTTATGTGAGGCATGCCAAATGCCGCTTTCGGCTTTGGGCTCGTGGATCACCCCGCCCAGCGGCGTTCCCGGAGACAAGCATATTCCGCCCGGTGTGCTCAAACGCTAAAATTTGCTCACCCCGCCTGAGTATGCGTACATTGCCCCGTCCAAGACCAGACGCATTTGTGTTCAGCAGGCCATCCCATGCGTATCGCGAAGCATTCCTCATCCATGCAGCCCAAGAATGCCCGGATCCATTTCATCAAGCTCCAGGCTTCAAGCGTTGCCATTCCGTCGGCCACTGCGGCTTCCATGACAGACGCGTTCGCGGGCGCGTGTTGTTAAGTCGCGCAGAATTGACGCTGTCTGATGATACACGTTGCTTCTGCGCCAGGTTTGGCATTGTTGTCTCCTCGCGAAGATGCACTCTTATGGGAAGAAGGTATAAGGATCGAGCGGGGAAGAAGCCATTTCGAATGCTCCCATTCCCGCTCGCTCGCTCGACACTGCTAGCCACGACCAATGGGTCCCACCCTAATTGGGCTCGACGATGTTGCTCCTGCGACGTTGGAGAACCTACGCGACATGTACGTAACCTGTTGATCTGGAAGACTACGGGTGTGACTGACATCTCGCTGTATAGCCAGGCCGGAAAGGTGCACCAACTGTTTCCGGCTCTGAACATGGATGGATTGATCTTCCATCCAGTACTTCTTCCTGGCTGCGTTGACGGTCCTTATATACGATCACGCGAATACCTTTGCGGAAGAGGTGTGTGGTTGATTATCCGTCAGAACTCTTCTAATACGTCGGTGCAGGTAGATCTCATATGGAAGAGGAAAAAGTCCTACGGTTCGTTCCTATCTGCGCCGCTTATTCTCGAAACTGACGTGATCCACAGTACTTTACCTATTTCTCACCGTCCGTGGCAGTCCCCTTCTTCGACGCTGATCAGTCATTGCTCACTACGATACAGGTGCGATACTACGCTCTAATCGCCGTAGCGATTGTGGCATTTGGTGAGCATATCGTCGCTCGCTTGTTTCGTCAGTATCATCCACTTCGTTAATTTTCTGATTGCATCGTACTAGGTTACTTTTCCACCGCCATGACACGCGAGAGGTATGTATGCGACGGTCATCTACGACGTGTGGCGATGTGTCTAACTGGGTCTACCCCCGCAGGTGCTCTCATTGGATGTTGTTTTTACCTTTGGGGATCACTATACCTTTGACGATCTTGCCAGGTATCTTGATGATCGTGAGGTGCGCAATCGACATCGCGCCTGCCTATCGATGGTTGCAGGTATCTGACCGACGCACAGAGTATATGCCCTATATAATCGCAACCTTTACGTTCTCGCCGGCTTGACCCTCACTCTTTGTCTCCAGACTGGAGCCGGGCTCTGGCAGTATACAGTCAAGGGCGCAACACCTGCCCCAGACCCTCTGGATAACTACGAGTGTGAGCACTTGCACCAGTACTGGTTTAAGACGTTGATAGCTCATTTTTGACAGACCATTGTATGTCGACAATATTTTCCGTGTGAACGTAACTTACGCGACATCTAGTTTGCATATATCTGCCTCCCAAACGCATCGGACATCTTTCTACTCTGTTCATCTCCCTGGAACTTGCCTTTGACTCTATAGTCTTTCTCTTGACCATCTCCCGTACTCTATACATGCATTATCTGGATAGGAAGGAGAGAGAAGATGGCGCTGGTTCGACACTTGTTCAAAACCTCATTCGGGACGGTGCCTTCTACTTCGCGTCAGTTTCTCCTTGGCAATGTAACAGCACCTTCCCTCACGATTGATCATCAGGGTCATCTTCTCCTTCAACCTCTCTTGGGTTCTGATGATCTCCCTGGCTCCGACCGGTCTTCGAGCCATTGCCTCTGTGTACGTCGTTTGTCCAGATTGGCGCTCTGTACCGTGCTTACAATCGCGATAGACCATCAGCATGGTGAGTTTCACTGCCTGCTCGATGCGATCCCGCTGAGCTGCGACGCAGTATTACGACGATAATGATCTGTCGTATCACGCTCAACCTTCGCACGACAGCTTACGGAGCCGCTGCTTATGATGAGCAAACGACCGGTTCTCTACAGCTTACTGAGATGCCACGACGGTCTCGATACCGCAGTAGTGCACGGCGCTCATCGCTGCCCTTTGCGTCGACAAGCGTCACGTCGACTCTGCGCATAGGGGTACAAGTACAAACACGTACGAAGATCGAACGTGCGAACACATACGGAACATTGGAGGGCTCAACTAGAACGCAACGTCCAAGAGTCGTACGGTACGACGATGCCGGTGATGGAGAGTCCTACCTAGGGTTAGGCGATGCCGCCGCACCGCCCGGCTCTTCCTCGCGGTATAGTAGCTCGCCGTCGTATGCCAGCGGAAGCGGCTGGCGTCTGAGCGAGCCGCCGTCTTTCGTTAGAGGTCAACTACGCGAGGCGGAGTATGGCCCTGCTCCTGAATCACCCATCTCTCCGAGTTCAAACATGACGACGTATGCGTTCGCGAGTGTAGGAGAGTCTTCTCCGCGCGATGAATCCTTCCACCATCTGCGCTCGACATCCAGCACGAGTATGTATGGCCCCTCGCATATGGAGTGGAAGAGGAAGTCTGATGCTACTTGGACCATGTAGCTATTTCATTGGCTGGGACTACAAGATTGCGTCTTGATTGTATACAGTAAAATCTACTCGCCGCGCACCTTCAACATGGCCTCGGTCTTCTTCGTACCATACACTCATTGTGATCTGTAGCGGACATCACTTTACTACTTTCTGAAGATAACCCTCCCTCGTCTCCGCCATGCGTATTTGCACCAATGCTTACTCTAAGTACTGACCTAGCGCATGATCGCATCGTGCCTGGAAATTGATATCCAACAATAACGATTGGGGCACGGGTCACGGCCGGAGTTGATGCACCGAAATCGCGCAGCAACCAGTAGCAACACCCTCTCTTGGACGCCCATCCACTACTGTACTTGTGCGCCATTAGGTCTGAGAGCTTGACAGCCCAAACGCGTCCCAAACGTGTCCGACAACGACGAGCGAACAATATATCATAGTCGTGAAGGCGTCTGTGCGGTTCGTCAAACCGTGCTGACGAGGACTTCGGATTTCCGCGGAGTACGCGCCGGCGGCCTGTGCAGTAATACTGAGTGAATTGAACAAGTACTATAACTTCCTAGGCCTCTCTTGCCGCTCATAGCCAGGATACTCTCCTCACTCTGCATTGACCATGCTCAGCGACAATCAACTCTCTATAGTGGACTCTGCGTACAGGGCGATCATCGCATGCGTAACACCCCATACTGGATTGAAACTCTGTGGCGCTCTAGCCGCATACGCCTCATTCTGGCTACTTCGCACCTGGTATAACCTCCGACGATGGCCAGGCAAAACGCTGCCTGGGCCCCCTATGGCCGGCGGCTTATTTTGGGGAAGTGCTGCTAGTCCTCGTCCCATCGATTGGGCATGCCTGTTCTTACACGAAGAGTGGTTCAAGACCTATGGAAGCACCCTGCGCATATGGGGTTTGCTAGGTGTAAGTGGTTGCAAACGTTCGATAGTTGTATGTGGACCTGAGACAACGTGGCATAGCGTCCTGCTATCTTTACGCTTGACCCGATCGCACTTCGGCATATGTTAGCGAGTCCTGCCTACGAGAAAGGCGAAGCCATTCGGCACCAGCTCGGAGAGCTTGTAGGACAAGGTGCGTCTTGACTTTTCAAACCGGGCCATCTTACGCTCATTGGTATATTGAACCCTCGACAGGGCTTTTGTTCAGCGAGGGCGCAGTTCACAAGAAGCAGGTAGGCATCTATAGACTATCCTGCTACAGCAATGACTGAGCGCTTGTTACACTCTAGCGTAGGGTCATGGTGCGGTCCTTGCAAACCGACTCAAATTCGCTAGAATTCCGATGATTTCCGTAGAACCCAGCCTTTGGGCCCCTACAAGTCCGGAGGTTCACGGAGACGTTCATAAGCAAGGGCAATGAAGTAAGACGTTGCGCATGCAGAGATCCTCTGATCTTCACTCACGGTTGAGTCAGATGCGTGACCTTTGGATGGACCTGTGCTCCCGGAACACTACACGCACAGATGGATTTATACGTATCGATGCGTTTGCCTGGCTTAACAAGGTGACTCTGGATATCATCGGACTCGCAGGTAACTTCGTCACCTTGTTGGGCGACCGGGTCCGAGCGCTGAGACCCCGCAGGCTTCGACTACGACATAGACTCCCTTCATGCGCCGGAAGACGCCCCGAATGCTCTCCATGAGGCCGTGCGGACACTGTTTTCTTTCTCGCTCACTATATCTGCAGTATTGCAACTGTTCATCCCTCCGCTCCGCAAGCTGGTGCGAATCATGTGACGCTCTGGTGCCCCCAGCGCTGACACCGACGATGAATAGCCCACCAAGCGCGTGCGCGAGACGGCCAAGGCGAAGACACAGATAACTGAAATAGGAATGCGGCTCATCTCAGAGAAGAAGGAAGCCATCTTGCGCGAGGCTTCATCGGGATCATCTCTTGAGAAGAAAGATATACAAGGAAATGATCTTTTGAGCCTACTCATTCGCGCGAACCTCGCCTCCGACCTCCCGGAGAACGCTCGCATGAGCGACGAAGATATACTCTCGCAAGTTCCCACGTTCCTAGTCGCTGGGGTGAGTGTACAGTAACTCAATCAAACACAGAGATATTGATCCTTCAACAGCACGAAAGTAAGTTGCTCAATCTTGAGGTCCGCCGCGGTTGGGCTCACCTGATTTGCTCTACATAATCACAGCGACCAGGCAAGTCATCATCTACACCGATCATACATCACCATTTGCTCATGTATACGTAGTACTGCTGTAGCATGGGCTCTATACACCATGTCCACTGAACGGGATGTACAACAGAAACTGCGCCAGGAACTCCTGGCTGTCTCTACAGACGCCCCGACGGATGCAGAACTTGATCATCTACCGTACCTCGATGCCGTTGTGCGCGAAACACTGCGTATCCATCCTCCAGTGTTCGGCACGGAGCGTGAGGCCGTACAAGATGACGTTGTTCCATTGAAGACACCCTATATCGGCACCGACGGAGTACCACATCATGAACTACTGTGCGCTCTCCGCGATACGTTTCACAAATACTATGCTCATCTGCAATGTACAGCGTCTCGAAAGGAGACCTCATCGCCATACCAATCATGGTCATGAACCGCTCTGTCGACTTCTGGGGCGAGGATGCCCATGAGTTCCGGTAGGCTCTAGTATGTCTTTGTTGCGACCTGTCTAATCATGCGGTTTATGACTAGCCCTGAACGATGGTTTGACCTTCCCGAGGCCGCCAAAGAGCTGCCGGGTGCATGGGCGAACCAGATGACTTTCCTCGGGGGTACCCATGCTTGCATTGGTTATCGTGAGTGTCCAACCTATGCACATTCTATGTGAATTGCTCACTAGACTACCTCCCGTACAGGCTTCTCAGTAGCAGAGTGAGTTTCAAGATCCGTGCATCGCTCATCGTTTGAATATGTGCTCATACCCTCCTCCCAGGATGAAGGCCCTCATTTTCACTATCGTGAGGTCTTTCGAGTTCCGGCTGGCCGTATCACCCGTCGATATCATGCGCAAGTCTATGATAGTCGGCCGGCCTGCGCTGAGTAGCAACCCGGCTGCTGGATCACAGTTGCCTCTGCTGATCCGACCAGTTCGCAATTGACCGGAGATTGTGGAGATAGTAGACTGAGGTCGTTAAGTGGACCCGATGGGATGCTCGTATTGATACAATGTCACAGTGGATACTATACAACTTCATATGATTGTCTTGCATCTCAACACGTCACCTAAGCCTTGGCACCAGCCTCAACTTCGTAGAGGTAAGTGCCAAGCAATTTGGTCTGCAGGCATAGGTTCAGTAAGAGCGAGAAGTTCGAGTATTGTACCACTCACGCCTTCGATGTAGTTGGAGATGTCGAGCTTTTCGTTAGTAGAGCTGAGAACCTCTCAGTAGTAGTTCGCGTATCTGTTTGGACTGCACGTACTGTGCACCATCATCACCACGACCCATAGGCAGTAACAAAACGTTGACACCAAGAGCCTCAGCAAAGGTCAGAGTAACAGGAATGGAGCCACCCTCGCGTGTGTAATCCGGCGTCTGCTTGTAGATGGTCTGCACGCACAGTCAGATAGAATCGCACAGATCTGACTACAAGCTATCATACCTCAGTGGCGCGGCGAGCTGCCTCGTAGCTCCAGTGCTTGTGATCCTCGACCCAGGGCTTCCCGCCGTGCAGGTACTCGACGTTCATCTTGTTTTTGCTACCGAGCTTCTTGAACTCCTCGTTGAGATACTTCTCGACAAGCGGCGTGACGTTCTCGGGCGTTTGAGGAGGGACCAGACGAATGCTGAACTTCCCGCCAACCTTGGCGGGGATGACTGTCTTCGCACCAACGCCGTAGAAGGCGCCCTCGATCCCATGCAGCGAGAGCGATGGAGAACGCATACGACCCATTAGCACCTCCGCCTTGTTGCCGCTTAGGGCGATAGCAGCACCGGCCGAAGTCTCGACGTCCTCGATCGAGTAGTCGAGCTTCTCGTAGATAGCCCTGGCCATATGTCAGCGCGAGTGAAGTCTAGTTTGTAACTGGATGCCTACTTCTCCTCCGCGTCGGCCGGTGCGACCATCTCATCGACGCCGGGTACGAGGATCTTGCCGGTTTGGTCGACCAGCTTGCTCATGAGCAGAACAAGGTCAGTCATGGGCTCGTGTACCATACGTCCGAACACGCCGGAGTGAAGGTCAGCGCCAGGGCCGGATACGTTAAGCTTGTAGTAGGCGATGCCTCGGAGACCGTAGGTCAAGCAGGGTGTACGCGTGTTGAGCCAGTAGTTGTCAGACTAGACCGTCTTAGTATGAGGGGGGAGTAAACGAAAGAGTATAAGCTCACGATGCAAACAGCGTCGACGCCCTTGAACCACGAGTCCGGCTTCTTGACTTCCTCGAGGATGAACTCGTCGAGACCCTCAGAACCACTCTCCTCCATGCCCTCGAAGCAGAACCGGATGTTCACGGGCAAGGGCTTCTGGAGCTTTGAGTGAGCCTCGAGGACGTTCACCCAGCCCATGATGGGACCCTTGTCATCGGTCGAGCCACGTCCGAACAGCTTTCCGGTCTCATCCTCGCGCGTGAGCTTGAAAGGCTCGTACTTCCAGCCATCCGATTTGAACGCCTATGATGCCATCACGGTTCAGCGTCTAAACGGGTCAGTGTGGATATCTCACACACCGGCTGAACGTCAAAGTGACCGTAGATGAGGAGAGTCTTCTTGCTCGGGTCATTGCCAATGCGACCAAGAACGAGAGGCGGGAGCTTGAGCTGCACGCCCTCCATCTCGTGGGTGCCGATATCGACGCGCTTCGTCTCGACGCCGTACTTCTTCAGCTCGGCGTCGAGGAAGTCGCCCATGCGAAACACATCCTCGCGACGCGCGGGATCGCCGGAAACACTGCAGTCATCTATCAGTACTCTGCCTGGCCATATATTGGGGCGACGTCGCACCCGGGAATCTCGACGGCCTTGGCAAGGCGGTCGATGAACGAGTCCTTGTTGCTGTCGATGTAATTCAGGAAGTCTGCCGGGGCCGCCATGATGTGCTCTGGAAAGAAGAGATTGACCTGCGAGATCGATGCAGCCGGCCGCTCTCAGGTTCAGGTCACCGGGAGGATCAAGAGACGCCGTGCCATATGCACGCCGATCTTCATCTAAACGCCGATCACAACTTCGACTGCGACCACCACGACCGCAATCCATCTGCCCTCCGTGCCAGTCAGAGCCTGGCAGAGTCTCGCTTTGATATACAGGTATGATAATGATTCAAACCTGAAGCTCTACATCCGACGGCTCATGCTGGCCGATGCAGCGATGGATGTACTGGTCCATGAAGCGGTTGACGACTCGTTCAGCATCGTTACCGATCTTCGAACGCTCTTGACCCCATTTTACACAGTTCAGCTCGTCTCAGACTCTACCCTGGCATCCCATTCATGGACAAAGACATGCGCTCTGCTTATACTACGCTCTTCTCGTAAATCGGAATCACCCGTAGTACTCCCTGCAAAGGCAGTGGAAGAGATCCAAAGCTTCGTCAACATCGGCGGTTCTCTACTTAGTTTTGGCCTCAGCGTTATGGCATCTCTCGCGCGACCAGCTGCGAATGAGTTACACTTGTGGGATGTGAACGCGTCTAAGTTTGCAGTGCTACTGCACAACAGCGATATAGCCCAGCCCAGCGTCACGAACTTCGGAAACGGGCAATTGGTCAACGGAGGTCCTGATCTCGATTCATCGTCTGCTGCACGTATCCTGAAAGGCTCTCTCACAACTTTGGGCCTATTGGAACCGTCACCCCACACTCACAAAGATGGCCTGCCTGCCGTGCCGCGGCATCCGCTGCCTCAATTTCTTCTATCGTCTCCACGCCATTCACAAGCTGTACACACCGTACTTGAAGCCTTGGGAGCATCTAGCCAACTCTCCGACACATTTACCTTTCAAGACTCCGCGGATACGTTCAAATTCGTGCCTTGTGCTGCGACAGACTGCACACAGCTTGTGAATGACAGACGGGAGCTCGCGCCACCTAGCGATGCTCGTGCGGCCAGAGAGGTTCTGGTTTTGCCACCAGGGTCTCACCCGCCTCGTGATGCCACACCGCGATTCAACTTCGAGCAATACTTCGCCCAATTGGGCGATCATTCTTCCGCGTCCGACTGGGGGATGGGAGAGGTTTTGGTCTACGGCGAAGCAGTGAGCAGTACACAGACCATGCTGGACAAGTGAGCGTCATTCTTCGCCCCGCATGGCCTTCCCTCATGGTGTCACCAGGAACCCTAAGCTTCTCACATCTCTGCCAACGCCAATCGTATCGCTCGCATCTCACCAACTGGCTGGACGTGGCCGCGGCGCAAATACATGGCTTTCCCCCGAGGGCTGTTTGCAGTTCTCTCTTCTCCTACGCCTGCCCCTATCAAGACTTCCTGCGCAGCGTCTCGTATTCGTGCAGTATCTATTCGGTCTCGCGGTGGTCCGTGCGTGCAAGGACGAGCGTGCACTAGGTGGAAACAAAGGCGCGAATGTACGGCTCAAGTGGCCGAACGACATCTACTTGGATCTGGAGAGCGGTAAGAAGAAGATAGGAGGAATTCTAGTGAACACAAGCTTCACTGGAGGTCAGGTAGAGATCATCATAGGTACGGCTAGCGCTCGTCAACCTGGTCGTAAAGCTTACCGTGGGTAGGCTGTGGCGTCAATGTGTCCACGCCGGCGCCGATGGCTTCGCTTTCACTACTTTGTCCGGATGCGCAGCTCAGCTCGGAAACGATACTGGCGCTCATTCTCAACAAGTTTGAGAGCATGTGGGAAATGTTCGTCGAAAGTCGTGGCTCTTGGGCTCCGTTTGAGGAGGCCTATCTCGACGCTTGGATGCACTCGTACGCTCGTGATTCGCCTTCCTGCAACCGACCACTGACATGTACTCTCCAGTGACCAATCCGTCACCGTGGCCACGGTGTCGCCCCCTCAGCAAGTGCGCATCCTTGGCATAACCGCTGACCACGGCCTATTGCGTACTCTCCCAGAGAAAGGCGCCGGCGACTATATCGACCTGCAGCCCGATGGGAACAGCTTCGATTTGATGGAGGGCTTGATCAAGGCCAAGAAGTAGATGGTTCGTTTTCGGTGATTGTGCCGCAAAAACCGTTCGGGCGCGTGTACTGAGGCTTTGTCAAGTGCAGCTGTGCTCACCGAGTCGTCGACCACGGCCAACATGGAGTAGTGCACTCGTCGACGCGACACAAGCCTAGTTGGGCACAAGTCCCGCGGTTTGTTTTACTATCTCACGGAATCAATCCGAGCACTAGCGTGGACAATGTATGATTCCAAATTTACTTGTAAGCTTCGAATGCTCGAGCGCGCGATATCGGTGCGGCTCGTGGGTTCTTTCCGCTCCCCAGGTGCGCTTCAGCAGGACCCCGCCCAAGCCCGAGGGAGATCCCACGACTGCTACTTGGCGTCTGCGCCCGTCGTATTGCAGACTCTGCCACTCTGAGAGGGATGGCACTAAGCTGCCTGCGCCGGCGATGAAAGGCGGCGCTGATAGCAGCGAGCTCGCTAACGGTGACGACAACTGATCGGAGAAAAGGCAGATCGACTTCCGCTGCTCCGGCGGCTGTCATAAAGTCTTCCGAGCCCACCGAAAACCCCTATTCCGTACGCTTTCGTGTACGTATATCCCAGGAGGCTACTTCTGGCCCGTGGGGAGTAGGAAATTGCGCCTTCTTCTTTCAACTCTCGTCACGTCTTCCGCTCTCTACCTTACCACTGCGTGGCGCCTGCCCGCGCGCACTGAGCCTACTACGCTCCTCATGCTTCCTGTCTCTCGCAACATCGCCCGCTCGTTCTTGCCCTCAAACCAGGAACTTAGCTTCGTTGGATCGTCTCTGGATAAGGGGAAATACAAAGTCACCGGTTTTCTTGGTCGCGGCTCGTCGGGCGCCGTCATCTATCGTGTATCGGACGAAGAGGGAGAACATGCTGTGAAGCGCGTCGACACCAGGATCGACGCCCTTGAATGGTCGACGAAGAATGAACATATCCTCCATAGCTTCGTTTCCGAGCATCCCCATGTCATCTCATACCACGGCTTTTTCGTCGACTCGCAACATACCCATCTCCTTACCGCCGTATGCGAGGGCGGACGACTATGCGACTTCGTGGACGAGACCCCGCTTTTTTGGCGGAACGATGAGAACATACGCAGGGTCTTTCTGTCCATAGTCCGCGCCGTGCGATATTGCCATTCTCGTGGCATCGCGCATCGCGACATCAACCCCGAAAATGTGTTGGCGGTAGACAAATTTGGAGATACGTTTGTCTTGGCGGATTTTGGAAAGGCGACGACGGAGAAGAAGTCAAAACAGTTCGGACTAGGTTTGGCAGCGTATTCCGCTCCTGGTGAGTATCCCGATTTCTTCTTCCAAACGGCGTCTGACACCCGAGCAGAATGCTTGGCTGGCGAATCCCATACAGCTTACGACACGAGGATAGCGGACGTTTGGTCACTGGGCATCCTTCTTCTAAACATGGTGACCGGCGCAACACCATGGACCGCACCGCGGACCTCCCACGCCGCTTACACCAGCTTCCTCTCAGAACCCATCCACCTGCAGCGAATTTTGCCCGTGAGCGGCGACCTCGTTGCACTGCTCGCACGCGTCCTCGACCCACGCCCGAGACGGCGCATGTCCATCGTTGAGCTCGAGCGCGCCGTTGTGGCTATGCGGTCATTTAGCATGAGCGACGCGGAGCTCGGGCTGGAGCACCGTTCGGCTGCGCGAGGGCGGGTGGAACTGCGCGCGCGTCTTTTGGGCGTTCCGTGGCAGGCTCCGCCGATCAGAAGCATCCACGACAGCGACAGCAGCGGCGATAGCCTGTGGTCCCGCTCAGGCTCCAGCACGACGTCGATTTGGAGCTCCCGGGATGGACATGGCGGTTCCACTCTGCGAAGATTATCTTCGCTCTCCCTCCGCTTGAGAAGCCGGCCGTCGTCTTTCACTATCAAGAGCCGATTGTCCACGATTGCCGCATAGGCCATACCCACGACGCGATATTCCCCATCTTTCCCATACGACGTACGATCTTACGATACCGCCTGTTGTATTTCTACTGCATGTACTGTACTACTTCTTGGATTATTATGGTAGACTCTGTCTCACAATGCGGCCATTTCATCAGCAACGATCATTCCGAATATATGAGGACTCGAAGTCTATAAAGAGAGAATTCCATACATGGGGGACACAAAGCATCGGAAGGCAAGACCGTCAAAGCGTCCTGGTAATGTTACATGCCATAGCTTACGAACAGGCGTTGGTGATTTTAATCCTTCCATCTTCAGAGCAATAATACGAGCCGTCAAGCGCTGCTGTTGACAGCTGGTGCCATCGGCCGCGACCCTCGTCCTGCGCGCTCGAATGTACCGTCCTTCAGCTCATATGCGGGGAGATAGCGCTGTTCATTCTGAGCTTCTCCGTTGCGTATGGGTGCACCGTGAACGCCGTTCGATGTATTCGGTGATGATCCGCTCTGCTGGGAGCGAGGGTCGGGTGATGGTGACCTCCCAATGCATACACGGGATGGGTCACCGGCGACCATTTGCAAGGTCGAGACGTTTGGTAGTGCGCTGTCGTGCATGCTACTTCCCGGACCACATGTGGTATCGGGGTCGGCAACGACATTGAGCGAGTGGACTGATGGTAACGCGTCACTCCCATGCTCGGCGCCGTTCACGGTCGAAAGAGTAGAGATTCCGTGACGCAGTGCAGGTGCGCGGCCGTTGAGATGAGGGGTATTGCCGTTTTGGGACATCTCCGGAGTAGTTGACTTGACGAGTAGGGCGGGGTTGCGGAATGTGTTGTACGTTGAACCAAGCGATGTATATCTATCCGGGGTTCGGTATGAGGTGGGTCGGATCTGAGGAAAGTGACTCACCCCTCGTCATAGAGACAGCAATAGGGGACATTGAGATGTCTGAGGAAGCGCCAGACATCGCCGTAGTCCCAGTTGATGATTGGATGAACGCGGTCGAAGCGTGGCCAGTCGGCATCGGTCGGGTCTACGAACGTGAGTTTACCTGCGTGATCATGGGGCCGTCAGCCCGTGTCATGGTCCAATATAGCATTATCTTTACCTCCGTTCGGGTCCGTTCTTCTTGTGCCGATCAAGATCGCCTGGACGTGGGGAAACTTGTCCTTGTACCTCGCGAGCGCCTGCCGCATACCCTCGCCGCCTTTCGCCTTCTTCTCAACATGCCCGTTCACAGTCGCCTTGACAGCGACAGTCTCTACTGGATCGGAAGAAGGTGGTGCGCAGTGGAAGATATCGAGCTTGTAGCGCTCTGCTGATGCGTCGATGAAGGCTTCCAATTCTCGGAATGGTGAAGGGACGGGGATATATAGGGCCGACACGGTGCCATTGAAGTTGGGACATTTACGTCTCAAGACCGCGCAGAACAGGTGTAACAGAACAGTGCCTATGGACATAATCAGATTAGGCTGAACTGGTACACGTCGCGACCCGTGTGAAAGTCAAAGGTGTAGAAGACTGTGGACTATAAATCCAGCAGTGCGCGACACGGCACCGTAGGGATATGATAGCATAACGCGCGCATGATCTGCCTGCGCAGACCGCCAATGGGAGCGTCCATAACAATCTCGTTGAAAGGCGAATGACGCGGGAAGGATGCGGTGCCGAATATCCTCGTGCACGTACAATCTTTGCCGCCATTGAAGCTGAGAGCAACCTTCTCCGGACTATGAAGTCCAAAGATCAGACTACTCCGATGCGTAGATAGATGGTTGGGCGCTTTGGACGTACCCATACGTATCTAGGGCATCCTCGATAACCTTCACAGCCTCCCGCACAGGTCCAGCTATGTCTTCATTGGATGCAGTCAAGTGGTAGACCTCTTTCGCCACTGTGTCAAAGTCCATTGAAAGCGTAGAGATGGAGGGGACGGGTACTGCTGGTGGGAGAGAGCAGATAGCTGTGGCCGAATGCGATGCCGAACCGCTGCATCTCCAAATCATTCCACGTGTTTCCCATTACCTCATCGAACGCGAACGTGACCGCGTCCGTGTGGCGAATGAGCCTCGCGACGCGCGACGGCCAGCTCTTCGCTTCCTGCGTCCACCACCAGCCGTGTCGGTCATCTCGAATCATCCAGTCTCTACCTGCTGCCTTCAAAAAGTCTCTCTCTTGCAAATATCCCTGCGCACAAGATGCCCGAAAAGACGTCAGCGGCTCAACCACAGCGCAGGTCGGCAAGGATCAAGTCTTCGCAGCATAAAGCCGGGCCCGCGCCGTCACAGGGTACGAGGCCGTCAAACTCAGTATAATGCTCCACTTACTGGCGACAGCTTCTAAGAGTAAGCCGCCTGCCAAGGCTGAGGCTAGCCGCAAAAAGCAGAAGGTCGCCGAGGCGCCGCCACTACCCAAACGGCGGCGTCGGCATGCCCGAGATGTCGAGATGAAGGGGTTGCCGTCCAGAGCTTCCCGTGGCTCTCTGAATCGCCTGCTGGAGATATCACTCGACATTCTCTTGGAGGTGAAGCGTTCTGTGTGTCAACGGCTCCTTTACTCACCTCGGGGTCTGTAGATCTTCACACATGTGATGCCGGGCGACTTGCTCAAAGTCGCATGTCTGAATAAGAGTTTCAGCGAGCTACTACTTTCACGGCGCTCGATTTCCATATGGCGCGCCTCGCTTGAGTGTGCTTATCCTAAAGGCTATCCGCCTAAACCAGACGAGTGGACCGAGATTGCCTGGGTTCAGCTTGTCTCTGGAGGTAGAATCTGTGGCGTGAGTGAAGAGTGGCACCTCCGTGATACACACCCATTAACTCATGACCACAGCTCTGCGGTGCGATGACCACTTTGGATATTCTATGGGCATTCCGTGTCAGGCTATGCGCATCCTGTAGGGACGAGCAGTAAGTTACGGTCGGCCGCGGTCAGGGTCAGATTGCTGATTTCTCATATTCACAGCGTTTATTATAGCACCTCCCAGTTTGTCGAACACAGGCTACGCGACGAACGAAAGGACATCCGCACTCTTATCCCAACATGTACCGGTACATTGGTCCACTCTCTGAGCATGAGGAGTTCCCTGACCTCGCCCGTTGTAGTCCAAAGCTATTATGGCCGTTCAACTTCATACATACTCGACGAAGATGTCCTTGCTTATCATGCCGAGCTTGAGGAGCTACACCAAGAGTGCTCAACAGAAGCTCTATTCCTCGTTAAACGGGACGAGCTCGACGCTGAAATGACGGAACACACGCGGTCTGCCTTAGCTGTACGTCTTCTCTATCAACATCCTCTGATACAGGAGACCCTGACGCCCCTCCATCAAGCACGCGGAACTTTGCGAGAAGAGCACTGAACGACTCAAGGACCAACAGGCCACAGACAAGGAGGCGGAAATCAAACATCGTGTAGCCCAGTATGCACTTCATCTTCGCTGATGGTCTTCTTTGATGACTTAAAGCTAGTGCGAAGGATATACGATCGTTTACTTGGCCTTGGCAAGTTCGAAGCCGCCGACTTGGAAGAGCCTATCATTCGGCGGCATAAGGACGTCAATAACCCGCGCCCTCTAACGAAAGAAGGTACGATACAACTAGCGCTTCAGTCTCGTACGGTTTTGACTGATGATACGTCAGGCTGGGAACGCTTGAAGCCAAAGTTTGTCGAACTCGCGAAGCAGGCCAAGAAATCCCGTCTCGAGCGCGAAAAGGTTGAGCGTCGACGTGCACGCGAGAAGCTCGTGGCAGTCGAATATCGCGCTTTGCTCGCGCGTGTCGCTCCCGAAACCAGCTCTCTCATGCCCACGATAGCCGAACTTCTTAAACTTCCCCAAATTTCTTCGGCAATTGTGGAGGACCAAGCCGTTACGGATGCTCTGAGAGGATCAGTGTCGAAGGCACTCTCCAATTCACTGCCGACGATCTCTGAGTCTATCAAAGTACGCGCCGACGCGTTCAGGAAGACTATACCTCATTCGTGGCCTGTCATGTCCTTCGATCAAGGCGTCCCTACGCAAACCGCCACAACGAAATCTGGTCAACAGAAACAGGTTGATCTTCATTCGTGTGTTGCTGGGCTCGACCTCGCTGCATACACCTTCTCGTGCGCCCGTGCTACGCCAACTGACAGCTATGATGACAAGTCATGCCGACATTCGGTCTTATATGGACTGGACGCTATGGCACACACTTGCCCCACCTTGACCGAAGTCACATTGAAACCAACAAAGTCGTATCACAAAGCAGTCTTGCGTATCCTCGACGCCCTGCAGCTTGCTCCGGACACGACCACAGTCTCTATGCTTGACAATTTGGACCCGGTTTTTGTTAACTCTTCGTCTGGGACGCACTGGTCCTCAGGGGGTTACAGTCTCATTGGTTGGAGACAGGCGGTGCGTCCGCGTCGTAAAACTCTATCATTTCTATACCCTGACGGGCTTACTACAGGTCGCACACATCGCGCATTCTGCTAGCAAGCCAAAGATGTCGCCTATCAGGTTGCTCACAGCGCCAGAACGTCGGTGGTACAGCAGCGAGACTGACGCAAACGGCGATCGTCTTTCCCATCTAACGTCCGATCCGGGGGATCGGCCACAATACGTCGAGCACTTGCCGGTGTGGGGCTGTTCGCACTGTTCTGCTCATTTGCAACCGGGTCTCAACAAGGCGCTCACGTACCCCACGTATAATAGTGTGTGGCAAATATACACAAGACCATGCGGATCTCTGCCCGATGACCACTGGAGATGGTTCACTATTCCTCAAGTCCGAGCCCACCTTGCCCAGTCGTGAGTACAATGATTGTCCACATATTCATATGTTTCCCTCTGACTCGTCGTCTTGTCAGGCATGACATAACAAGCCCTCGCGATGGGGCAGACTATTTTATGAATCGGAGGTTCTCGAGAGAGAAGCAAATTGGTTTTCCGCGTATTCCTGCTAATCTCAGTAACGGGCAAACGACTCAATCAGTATGAACCCATTTGTCTCGGCCGGCATGGTGTTGCAGAGACAGGCGTCTCTTGTATAATACAACCGGCTGTTATAATCTCTATGAATGTCATTAGTTCACGCCTTCGCCATATTTGATAGGTTGCAGCTAAAAAGATAGCTCAGACCTCAGAAGGCACTCGAACTACTATGACTATCGTCTGACGGAAAAGAATGCTCTCGCGAGTTGCCGTTCATTGATTTGGAAGGGGAAACGGTGCATGAAGCACCTTATTAAGTGCCGTAGACAAGTCACTTCAACCCTAGCCACCTGGACAAGTTCTGAAAGCACGCGAGATGGTGCGCGTCCACTATGAAGAGATACTCACATGACCGCGTTGCCCGTGTGAACGTGTGGTTGAGTGGCGCAGTCACACTCGGTTCAACGCGCGCGCGCGTTTTCGACCTTCGACTCCTACAATCATCTTCAGCTACTCCCACCATCATCTTCAATTGCTCTAGCTGAACCCATACTCACATACTTGTCCCTACCAACTCATCGAATAAAAGAACAAGTCGTTACTCCCGGGTGAAGATGGCGCCCTCGACCCCAAGTGGTGATCAGCCACGGCGCAAGTCGGTTAGGGTTAAAAGCGCACGAGGTCAGGCTAAGGCTATCGAAGGGAATTCGCAGCGTAAGTGCATGATACCAACCTTCTGCAAGAACGTGCGCTGAAGATTATTATCTACCAGAAGTACGTCAACCACCGTCAGATCATAAGCACGGACGTGGCCGCAAGAAACGGAAGGTGGTAGAGGCGTCACCACTGGACGAAGTGACCGATGCAGCCGGTGGCGACGAATCCGAACTGGATGAATTGCCGTCGAGGGCTTCTCGCGGCTCGCTGAGCCAATTACTCGATATGCCACTAGATATACTTCTTGAGGTGAGCACGCTTTCCCCATGAAGGTTCATCGATCATCGTTCGGCCACTCAATGATTCCTGACCAGATCTTCACACACGTCACACCCGGAGATCTGCTGAATGTGGCGCGTGTCAATAAGAGCTTTAGTGGACTGTTGCTCTCGCGGCGGTCGATCTCCCTGTGGCGCGCAACGTTTGATGCCGTTGGACCGGAGAATTATCCGCCGAAGCCAGACGACTGGACCGAGCTTGCATGGGTTCAACTTGTATCCGGCAGTAAGACTTGCAGTGTAAGTGAAGCTGCGTCCAGATCTATATCGTTTGCGTTGACGTGACTGCCTTAGGATTGCGGCTCTCGGACCACACTTGACGTCTTGTGGACCTTCCGTAAACGTCTATGCAGAGGGTGCAAGACCAAACGGTGAGTTAGGCCATAGAATGTTTTGACTATCGCTGAAGCAATATGCTATAGCTTGATAGACACTGCTTGGGACCGCAACTGGCACAAATTGGCAGATCGTTCTAAGGACCTACGGAAAATCCTTCCTTCGTTGCCAAGTGGGTGCTTCTCGACCTCCCGGTGAATCCTGTGCAAACTCAAGTTTTGTTCTAGGTCGATCAGGAGCGCAAAGTGGCCACCACTGCAACAATCCATATGTCTTGCACTCTGATGTTGCTGCATATCACCAAGAACTTGAAAAGCTACCACCCGCGGACGAGAACGAGGCTTTGTTTCTTCTTAAAAGGGAAGAGCTTTACGCTAGAATGCTTCGTCGCACACGGAAGGTCATGAAGGTAACGTTCATATGTTTTGAAAGTGTATCATAGACTCAATTGGTCTGCGAAGCACGCACGGCTCTGCGAACGAGCTGCAGAGCGCTTGAAGGAAGGGCAGGTTGCCAACAAAGAGGAGCGGACCATACTCCGCGTCACCCAGTGTGTCCCGTCCTTGTCATCACCCTCCACTTTCTCTGAAGTGCATTATGTGTAGGATATACGAGCGCTTGATACTCCATGGCTTTGGCCCTGCTGATCTGGAAGAGCCCTTCATCCGTGATCACAAAGATGTCAACAACCCTCGTACGTTGACGAAAGAAGGTACACCCCGTTTATTGCGTTTCACCGCAGCAAGGCGCTCACGTGATTCAGTATGGGAACGCCTGAAGCCGACATTCATCGATCTAGCGGAGAAGGCTAGGCAGATTCGCCTCGAACGCGAGAAGGTCGAGCGACGCACAGCACGTGAGAAGGCTGTGGCCATTGAGTACCGATCTTTTCTTGGACGCGTTGAGCCAAAGACTACATCTCTCATGCCTACAATGGACGAGCTGCTTCACCTCCCCCTAGTCTCTGCCGCAATCGCCGAAGATCAAGAAGCTACAGACGAACTCCACTGTACAGTGGCGGAAGCGCTCAAAGGATCCCTCTCTCAACTGACTGGGTGGATTACATCTCGCGCCGAGGCACTTCGAACGGCCGTGCCCGAGTCGTGGCCCGTGGCCAATCTATCTTCCTCTTCTACTCTATCGGCCAAACGTGCACCGCTTCACGACCTTGATCTCTACCCGTCTCTTGCCGACCTTGACCTAGCCGTGTACACGTTCACGTGTGGCCGTATCCTGCCGGAATCCCCTTACAACTACTGCGACGTCCAGAAACTTGCATCTGAGGTGCACTATGGATTGGACAGCCTCGCCCATCCTTGCTTGTTATCCAATTTGACCGAGTTCCGATGTGTGCCCCTACCGTCGCATCATCGTGCGGTACTCCGCATTCTCGAGATGTTGCAACTTGACCCAGCATCCACAACTGTTGACATGCTTGATGCGCTGAACCCAGTCTTCGTGGACCCTTCAAGAAGCCAAGCACATTGGGCCCAACCTTCATCACAAGGACACCAGTTGATGACCTGGCGCCAAACGGTGTGTAAGCTCCTATCACGGCAAGCTATATGTTGCTCATAGCTTAGGTTTCATTCTTCTGTGACTTCAAGGCCGGCAAGACGTCTCGGATCAGGCTGCTGACGTTACAGGAACGTGAATGGTTGGACGCCAAAATGATCAACGAAGGCGGTCTTCTCGCCACACTCTCGGACGGCAACCACTACTCCTTACCTGCAGAGTGTCTACCCGTCTGGGGATGTCTACACTGCCTTGTACATCTGGGCCCAAACCCACGGGATCCTATATCCCATCATCCTTATGACGCTGGATGGAGTACATATAAGAAATTGTGTGCGTCACAGCCGGACGACCCCTGGAGATGGTTGACCATTCCGGAACTATACTCCCATCTCGCTGAAGCGTAGGCCAAGCGATTTACACTGATAATATCCCTTTACTGACTGTACTTCAGTCACGACGTGACCGCCCCAGTTGAAGGGAAGGACTTTCATTTCAATAGGCATATTAGCCGTCGTATCCACACAGGTTTTCCGATGCTCCCAGTCGATATCTCTTCAAGAGCGACCTTACAAATTGCTTGAGTATCTAATACAACAGTGCTACATAGTCGAATGAATACAATGATTTTATACGCCGGTATCTTGCCCTTCAGAAATGAATACCTCGAGCACTCGCCGCGCGTCGAGGGAACAGGTCCGCAAAATTAGCCAACATCTGTAGCGGTGTACGCGTCCTTGTATCTCTTCTCTAGGTTCTGATGGTCTGTGTGCGAGCGATGGGAAAGAAGCTCCTGGTTTAGTGGCCCGGGGCCCTAGCGAGTGTACGCTGATGGCTTGGTCGAATCTCACGTGGCCGTGTTCGGCGCGCGAGCTGGTGAGCGTCTGAGCTCGTGCGCTCCCAACTCATGCAGAACGCTCACGGCTCGCATCTGACCACCGCCACCATTTCGCGATGTCGGGCAAGAAGGGCGCAGGAAGAAAGATCAATGCCTTAGAAACGAAAATCCATAAAGCCGCACTGACGGCTGGACGAGTGTGTGGAACTGCTTTCTTCACGCATCATGGAAAAGCTTATGCTCTTTGCAGCCTCTGACCCAGAAGGAAGTCGACGCGCTAGCACCAGATCCTGCATCCAGAATCAATGCTCTAAACTACCTCTCATCATCTGTTCGTGCACATGGCCCCTCTTTTTACTACATCACCTTGAACTTTTGCTAGGGTTTACTCCGACCACAACAAGATGCTAGCGGTTTGCTATGGAGAGCCGTCACGAAGCAGGAATTTGAGATGTGCGTCCTCGAGCACGGTGTGTTATACGTCAGCTAATCTGTATCTAGTAAGCAGAGTCTCAATGACGAGGAAAACATGGTCTTGAATTATATTCAGGCTTCCAGTACGCAGGGTGAGTCGGCCCTCTTCGTACCTTTGCATCGTCTTGAATGGTACTTAGGCATATGGACTAAGCATATCAAGTCGAAGACGGAGCTTCATCAAACCGTTGTCGACCGCTGTCTCAAATCCCTCACACAGAAGCAACTTGTCAAGGTCGTCAAAAGCGTCAAGTATCCTACCCGCAAAATCTACATGCTCGCCAACCTTGAGCCTTCCGTGGAGCTTACCGGCGGTCCTTGGTACACCGATAACGAACTCGACCTGGAATTCATCAAAGCTCTCACCCAGTCGTGCCTGAGTTTCATCCGCGGCCGCGTGAGTGCAATCCATATCACCAAGTTCCACGACACTCACAAACGTCGGATGTAGACTTTTCCTAAACCGCGTCCAGATGTGGTGGAAACCGCTCAGCCATTATTCGCTCCCAGTGCCGCTCCTCGATATCCCGATGCTCATACCATCAACGTCTGGATTGCTAAGAACAACATCACTCCGACCGAACTCACGGATGAGCACGTCGAGGCTATTCTGAGCGTCCTTGTGTTGGATGGGGAGATTGAACGCGTGAGTCTACACGCGCACATCTTTATGATGTCGCGCCTGAAATTCGCTCCCAGCTACCAGCTACCAGCGCCGCGGTGTTCGATCTGAACCCAGACGGGTCTGATTCAGACGAAGATGCAGATGACGACCACAAGTCTAAGAAACGCAAGAGGTCGTCTTCGTCCAGAAGCAAGAAGCGACGCCGGACGCACTCTGAGTCGGAGGACGAAGACGCATCTGGGTCCACCGACGAGGAAGAGCGCCATAGAAGGAAGAAGAGCAAGGCTAAGAAACGCAAGCGTACGCATTCTGACGACGATATCTCGGACGACCCGGAATCGAGCCCCGACGAGAGACGCAAGCGCCATAAGAAGCGCCGCAAGGAGGAATCCGATTCTGAAGATGGATCTGGCAGCGACTCTGACGATGCGCGCCGCCGTCGCCGCAAGCGTTCTAAATCGCGCAAATCGCGTTCGGATGATGAGGACGAATCCGATGATGACAGGAAGAGCCGGCGCAATAAACGCGCTGAATCACCCGCGTATGATCCATTTGGCGCAGTCGGCGGTGGGGGTAGTGTGTATCGTGCCGTGCGACCCGAACGCGTAGCTTTGGGATGGGCCGAAGCACCCTGCGGCGCCTGTCCGGTGTTCGAATTCTGTACAACACCGTCGACGGGCCCTGTAAATCCGCGCGACTGCGAGTACTATGGTGGATGGCTCGAGCGTGCAGTGGTGGCTCTCGATGCTTGAGCTCGATTCTTAGTGATGTATGTTATATTGCGGCGTAGTACGGCCCCTGATTACCCCCTGAACGCGGTCAATAGGCTAGCAAGATCAAGAATATGACTGCTGATAGCAAGCTAATTCATACACGATGTCGAGAGTCTTGAACTACACGAGAGAAACATTATGGCTGTTTGGATAAGTGCAAGAAAGGATATAGCGCACGACGGTAACACAAAGCGTAAAGGTAGGCAAAGGGGTGATGATGGAGCAGGAGGGATGTAGGCGATTAGGATGAGAGGCAGACTCTTGAACCGGAAGTATTTGGTACGGAGTGTGAGTCCATGGACGAACACAGGCAAAGCAATACGAGCAAAACGACAACGAACAGAAGAGGTAGAGTTCAGTCGGGCAAGACGGTACAGGCAAGAGTCTGCAATTATCGCGGATGAGGTTGCGAGTCTGTACATCGGACAATATCAGCATATTGCCAAACACCTATGTAATAGCCACAGAACCCAGGAGCGACGTGGACAGGGTAGTCGAAGGCGCGAGCTCAGACCTAGACGCACCGTTATAGTATTCTCCCCCGACGTCATCCGGTAGCGCAGTGCCCGGTAGACCATAGAATATCCCATGCGGCGGTGCGCCATGATTGCCGACGATGTCGGCTAGAGCATCGGCACCCGACATAGAGCCTCGGTGCTCTCGCTGCGGTGGGTATGAAGTTGGTTGCAGCTGCGGACCCAGTGGGGGGAATTCATTCCAGAATTGAGGGTAGCGGCCAGGAGGAGCGCGGTGGGCGGGGGCCGGTGGCTGCATGCGGTGCTCAGGAGGGAAGCCAGTTGAATACTGCGGCGGAAGACCGCTAGTACTCAGTCCACTGACGAAGCCATTCGAACTTGGCCCTGCACTGGACTGGTCTGACCCTGACCAGCGTTCGTACGACGATGAGGAACCAGCCGAAGGAAGTGACGAAGGGCCGAAGAACGCGCCTCCCGAGGGACCCTGTGGTAGCGTGGGGGAGGCGTGGTTCTGTTGCGATAATGTATGCCCATAGGCGAGGGACGATTGTCCGCGCGGCTCTACGCCGCTTGGGGAGTAGGGTTGCTCGGACTCGTCCGACACGAACACGTCGGCCGAGCGCTTCACAGAAAGCCTCTTGCGGTGCATCTGCGTAGTAATGTTCGAGGGTGCAGCGGGTATCGAACCCGCGATCGGGCCATGAAGAGCAATTCCAGCTTTCGACCCACGTAATAATTCCCAAGCACGACCTGCCGCTGGCCAGACAGTATCAAGTTTCATCAACACGTCCATGCATGTGATGAGACCGCGTTGAGCTTGAGGATCATCTGGATGAGCTTCCACTACATTCCCCACGTGAGACCAAGAACGTTTCTATAGCATGATATAAACTCACATGCATTAACGTGCATAATGCCGGCTGTGAAGACATTGTAGCACAGCCACACGGGTGCACGCCGAATGCAGAAGTGAGTTCGCCAGCCGGTAATGATGGATGCGATATGGTTGGCTGCACGAACGCAGAGATCGTAGTTGCGTTGCGAATGCGCCTTGGGAACGTGACCATTTTCCTTATCGTCATTCTTCCCTGATCCGGCTTTGTGGTCGTTCGTACCCATGCTTGAGGAGCGGTGAGCAGACGGAAAAGGCAAAGGTATTACGACGCTTACAAGGGTCGATGTAGCAGGATTACTGTAACCCAGTACGAGAGGTGGAGCGAAAGGATCTGCGGAGGAGGGAGTGTTGACGCCGTCGCCGCGGCTGTTGCATCAATCCGGAGGTGGGCAGGTAAATCCATGAACCATTTGTCGAGGGCTTCTTCGATGCGTGCACTCTCCGCGACACGCCCTGGGCCAGTGCGGATAGAGTAAAGTTGATGGATAACACGGCCAGTGATATTGGCAAGAGCGCGTGCTGCCGAATAACAAGAAAGGACGCGTCCAGGTACCGCATAGGTGGGTATGGGGTGACCTTCGTGGTCGTCCGGATCGAAGACGAGAGCCGTCGATGGCTTGGACCGCCATTCCTCCATCTCCTCGGGCTGTCAGATGGTGAGTGAAAGTCGAACGGATTCCAGGACAGGACGTACTTCTTGGGCGCTTGGAGGCTCTGCATCGTAGTCTCTCTCGTGTATGTAGACGGGTCGCCCAATATACGCGCTCACGTATTTATCCATGATCACACACGCAGACCATATCCTGCGGCGCTCCTCCAATTCGGTAGGCGTGAAGAGTCCAGCGTCCTTGCGGGACCACCGTTCCGCAGCCTTGTGCATGCCAAGGTCGTGCGCCATCCGAATGGCCATACCAAGATATAGCCATGCATGAGCCATGGCCCCGATGCCAATCTCGCGATATGCCATTAACAATAGCGCCTGGCATGTGCTGACTCGTGGTGACACGTATGTCGCGCCACGAGCGAGCAGAGTTTTCGCCGCCTCAAAATACTCCTCTCCCGCGGGCCATAGTGCACCGGGACCTGGCGCATGCTGGGCAGCGCCCGGGGCGTGGTGCGATTGAAAGCGTGCGCCTATCGAGAATATAACAAGCAGCAACAAGCGTGAGACGAAGGTGCGCCGCTTGCCGACGTTCCCGGTACTACTGCCAGGCGAAGACCCTGGAGCAGGAGGAGAGCTGGAGGACATGACTGGCGGCGTTCCAACTTGTCTGCAAGGAGATTGAGATATTGTCGAGTTATGTAAGGTACGGAGACTTACCCGAGACGGAAGTCGTCAAGAAAAGCCTGCTTATGTAGAACGGGCAAAGACGGGTGCACGTAGGTGAAGTATAGCTCAAGAAGGCCCTCCTGAGACTGTGCGTCAGGTAGAGAGATAGGTAGAGCCTCTTCTCGCTCCACAGGGGCAAGCCCGTTCGGTAGGGGAGGCCATACACCCGACTTCGGAAAGCGCCATATGCCACCCTCATTGCGTCCGTCTGACCGATCCTTGACCCCGAGAAGATGCAGGCCGCTGGCCTTTCCATGGAAGCGCAGCTCGCTCTCTTCGTTGAGGCTGAGTTGACCAACCTCTGCTGCTAAAGCACCATCTTCGTCTGTGCTTTCGTCGGGTGTGGGCGGTGAGCGACTGTCACTACGCGACCGGGTCCGTGATCGTGACCCGATACGGCGTCGCCTTCGCGGTTGCTCAGAGGGAGTCGGCTGCGTGACCGAAACAACGACAGGTAGCTGTTTTGCTACGCGCTCTCGTGCACCATCCGGCTCGTTCTCTGTGACGGTCTGACCGCGCGACTTGGCAAGGGAATTGAGCTTTATGGTCATGGCGTCCTGCCACTCATTTGATGGGCTGTATAAGGTATCATATGAGCGTCATGCCCGGCCGCCTTGAGAAGCAGGCGGAACACGTACTGCGAAGGGTGGCCGGCCGGTAGATCAGCGTCCTGTTCCAGCATGGCCTTGGTTTTGGCTTCTGGCTTGCCGACACCCTCGTTTGCGCGTGCACGCCCCCTGACGCCGTACGCACTCGCATCGACACGACGAATGATTTCCTTGGCGAGGGGATCCTATACGGCATAGTATGAATATCTGGAATAGCCCGAAATGCGGAAGGGAAAGCAAGGTACCTCCGCAAGATCGTCGAGCAGGCTTTTCGCGCGCATGTCGTCAACGGCTAGAAGAATACCGACCAGGGCTTCCGTCTGGTGTAGCCTGGCCTCAATTGCATCGATGTAGCCTTTCGGGGGTCCGCGCTTGCGTGACGGCCCCAGCGACGTACACGCTGTATGACGAATTCAGTGCATGTCCAGAGACGGAGGACATAACGGGGGAGTGGATTTCTGATCGGAATTTGCCATGTGCCGCCGGCTAGCCCCGATGAGATCTCGGGAAGCGTTCGCCTGACCGACACTCCCGCGCACCGCGGAACAGCGATGACGAAGCAGGACACAGCGAGGAAAGGACTACGCACGAGTACCAAGCATGATGCACGCCTTGCACGGCTCTCCCGGCGCTGAACGCTCGCATTTGCACTTGGACTTGCGGCACTGGTCGCACGCTATAAAGTCCGGGCGTTTAGGGGTTTTGACAGATTCGAAGTAAGAGCAGCGGCAGGTGGCGAAGAGAGGGTGATAGGATCGAGAGCAAATGCGACGTCGAAGAGAGTCGACGGTGAGCTGTGGCAATTGTACTGGGAGTACGTGGATCTCGCACCTTTACTCGAACGTCGCCGAACCACTCTACTGTCTCCAGACCCATTTGACGCCCCAACCGACATGAGCTCTCCTAACTCGTCTCCGTCATCATAGTCGTCCTGTGCCAGCGTGAAATGAGGGTGGGTCATGGTGGGCGATGCGTATGTCTGGGTGGCGTCCCAAGTCGCTGAGCTTGAAGGATGTGGCATCTGCAAAGAGAAAGAGAACGGCTGTCCAGCAGTGGTCCTTGTTCCAAATCGAAGGGGAGGGGAGTGGGAGAGCAGGGCGGGCGATGACTCGCGTTTGACGAAACTAGGTCGGGACTGTTGTCCATATAATAGGTGAGCGCGGTCGGCCATGAGCAGCCAGGGCGGAGAGGGGAGGCGTACATGTACGCTTGGTTCTCCTTCGAGATATAACGACACAAGGCAAGCGGTTTACACAGCACTTCGGACCAGAAAGCTGCTCGATCGATCCGCTCGAGCGTTTTCCGACAAACTGGCCGTTCCTAGGGCTTTGCAACTCAGGTTGCTGCGAAACAGCCCAGTCCTCTTAACCGCTCCATCTCTCTTCCGCCCGGAAGTATTTGTATTCAGAACATAGTAGCCACGTGAGGCCGCTTGTGTGCCCGCCCCTGTGTCTTCTCTTCCTATTCTAAGTCTTGACGTCGACACCTCCTCTCACCGTAGCTGCAGTGTGTATTTACTACACCGCCTTTTTACCATGAAAGCCCCGCGTCGCGCTACTTATGCCCTCCGGAGCCGTTTACCTCATCTCCGCGCGGAACCGAAATCTCATATCTCGACTATCTATAATCTAGGTCCCACCGTCCTCATGTCCATCAACCTTCTCGAGGCGGGAGGCTCACGAAGGGCTTCCTCCACCAACCGTTTACATCAATCCCTTCTTTCGGCGGAACGTGTCTCTGCTACGGCTCCCGGACGATTGACCAGACCGAGAAATTTTGGCTTCCCAAGCCGTTCTTGTAGCGCGCTGGAGCACAGGAGGAGCGCTCGTAACTGCATTCTTTGACATGCGCTCATCGTCACCTGAGTCTGGCCGTTTCTTCTCGTGTTTTGAGTTTCTTCCCACGCCGACTGCAAATCTGCACCTTAAACCAGACGCGTCCACGGACTCTATCGCCGAGGTTCCATGGACCTGTTACCTGTCGTGGCGCCACCTCTTTTGGGTAGCTGCGCGTGGCAGAATCGCCGACAAATGTCCCATGGCGTTTGCAGTGGCTCTCGTGCACAACTGGAGACGTTGGACTCTGTGGCTGGCGCTCAGCGTACAAGAGCTCCCCTGTACGTTTCAGGTACACCATCGTCGCAATCTTTCGGTGTGAAGAATGCCGGAGACCCACTTCGGGAACGTTTTGTCTGGTGGATCTCCGCCGCCGTCACATCGCAGTATCGCTGGATCCGCATGTTCGTCAACTTATAGCTCGATGTACCTACTTCGCGTACCAAATCCAAATCTTGCAGTGCTTCTTACAAGCGCGCGGATGTTCACGCACAGAGACAGCCCCATTTGTCTCGCCCATGTGCCGTGCGGCGGACACGTTTCGGACGATTTGCTAGCGCCGGGACCGCTCGCTGTCCTCTTGTAAGAATCTCCTTGTCTTATGCATGCATCTTCGCTTTCTCACAAAACAAGTTGATACGAAGAGTATCCTCTGTGACTTGCTTCACTGTTGGCCAAACAGGGGGCACTGCTGCTAGAATGTTGCCAGGAGGTGAACCTGATGACGGGGGATTATGTCTTTTGATGATTCATACCTAGGAGAACACCCACTGCACCTATAGACGAGACGACTTCGTCACAGCCAAGCGGCGGGCGAAGTTCACGCGTGTTGTTCCTGAGCATATTCGGTATGTAGAAGATATCCAGGAACAGTAGGAACTCGTGCGTTGCTCATCGCGAGCTACTTTCGTGAGGATGTCTGGCTGGCTTAGCCTCCTGTATCACGCGTGGCTGCACAGGGCGAGATTGTACCAATTAGCTCGCATGCGACCGCTTGGATGGCGGATGTCAGGTATAGAAGCGAAGATGGAGTGCCTTGACTGACAGGCCCTCGAATGTCATGCAGGGATACCGTATGGTGATTGATCTCGAAGAAGTAGCCTCGAAGACGTGTGTCTCCGTGCGGCCTTGGTGAGGCCGTTTGAAACATCTCGATGAATGATCTGACCTGGCCGGTGGCCCTCCGACTGCAGCCGTATCGTCGATTCACTATCAGCCGTGCATCACCACGGCAACTACCGCGGGGTCTTCTCCAGTATATTCCGAGCCTACGGCCGAGAACGTAAAGTTGGTGAGCTGAAGCTGACTGTACATGTCACCAGGTCAAGGCACGCACCACGCTTTTCCTTGGGTTCACTGAGCCTACGCCATCCCGGCTAGTCAATAACATCGACGTGGGTAATGAGCCACACGCCTAGCTTCGTAGCGCATCAATAGGGAAGCGGAAGTGAAAGAAGTGAACTGGGCCGGAGTTGCGCCCACGCAGAATAGTCGTGACCTGGAACGTACTCGGCTCGAATGGTAATGAACCCGGTGATATCCATGCGAGTCAATACGGGCATCCCGAGCTTAAGGTTGTCATCAAGCCCGAGACGCTACGAGTAGTCGGTGATCATGATAGAAGTACTCTGTCCGGAGGACTATATGACCCAACTGGGGATGTCTTCAGGTTCAGGCTGTCAATCAGTATATCTGAATCAACACCTCGGAGAGCACTCCAAAGAACTCCGCAAACAAGGCTACCCAATGCAGCCAAAGTAGTCTGTGCACACATGAATCACGACCTCGCGCGTCTCGTAGACCTTGGGGACATCGCCAATGTAGATGTACACGCATCCGCGCTATTCAGACCGGGTCAAACACGGAGGTTATTGCAGCTTCGCCGAGCAATCCATAGCATGCGCTCCCATGCGGAGAAATGCAAGTCTGAATCCCAACCGAGGAGTATCCAGCGATGGAGGTAGGCTGGGCGAGCGCGAGAGCCAAGGGAGCTCGCAAAAAGGGCGATATCCACAGAGAAGCTCACGCGCCTTGACCGCTACGCCCGTCATCCAAGCATCTCGTCGCATATGGACTTCATCAGTCTCACAGTGGCATCATGAAAAGAGACCGCGACTCGGTCGAGGCACGATGGCGCACAAACGGTCGTAGAGTTCACGACCCGAGCATAGGCGAGCGTAAGTGTGAATTGAGCATCGCCGCCGACGAGTCCGAACAGAGTGGACAGTCATACAGATCTGCCGGCGGTTTGAGAATGCCGCCACCGTGAGTGCGTAGGAGCACGCCTGTGGTACCGTTCAGAACCACCAGGTAACGCTGGACCTGCAAGGCGAAAAGAAGAGAAGATGCGGACTTCCGGCGGGGATGGCTGCACGCCAGTATGCAGAGCGCAGCAGGGAAGTTCGTGTTGAAATGACGATTGTGAAGCAAGGTCTGGTCATACGCTGTATATGAAGCGGGGAGCCGCGGAGGCCGTCTGACAGTCGCTACGAGAAAGGAAATAAGAAAACAGGCACAGTCGAGTACCCAGGAAAACCCGTGTACAGAATGTATTGCATGAAGTTTCACAACACCTTGATAACCTGTTGTTGATGACAGGCGACTGATGAGAGTGCTACGCCCTTTGGACGCCGCAGAGATCCTAAGACTAGTAATGTGGAGTCAAGGACAACTAAGCATATTAGGAATACATGGGCGTTGCCTGACACGACGAGCTCCTCCGTTTGTGAGGTGTAGTACACGGTTCTGCCCGTGTTTCTCGCACATGCGACACGAGAAGGCAGTCGTGGTCATGTCGTGGACGTCTGCGTCAAGCCAGATCCCGTTGAACCCCGCGCGCTACGCTAACCGGCCCGAGCACCGAACCCGCGCAAGACGCGTCGCGACGCGCCCTCAGCGGAACAGCAACATCTTGCCCCTTACTTCCACTCAGTCATCTCGGAGCACCCCGAAAGTGGACGTTACGTGAGGTCACGTCTGCGCGATATATGCCAGGCAAAATCCCGCGCGGCCGAGGTCGTAATTCGCATGAGCCTTCTGTCGGGTCTGCCGATGCCACAGTTTCACCCTGGCCCGACGGGCCCGCGCAGGCGAAGCGCAGAAAGACCCAGAAAGAACCTGCTATTCGCGCAGTCAACTCCAAGGGTCGGACGGCCGGCCGACTGAGCGCACTTCCAACTCTACCCCTTGACGTTCTCTATGAGGTACGTGGCCACCAGCCTGACGCGCGAGTCGATGATAAGCATGTAACCTCCAAATCACGCAGATATTCGGACACCTGGAACCGGTCGACCTGTTAAATCTTTCCCGTACAACGAAAGCCTTTCGGACGGTTCTGTTGTCGAGTCAGTCACAATTTCTCTGGAGAAGCGTGCTGGACGCCTTCGAGGCAGCCAACGAGTTCCACTTCCCTTGTCCAGAGGATGTATCTATTCCTCTGTGGGTAAACCTGGTCTACGGTGGAGAGCACTGCGATGTACGCTTCATGTTTAACGGACATGTCATCGTGTATATTCTGATGCCACGTGTAGACATGTGGCGCTAAGGCGAGAAAGATGCTCTGGTGCCTTCGACGGCGTTTGTGCAAGGGCTGTGCCAAAACATTGTGCGTCATACTCGAACTCCGAGACTCCAGTCATATCTCATGTCTATCTCAAAGATTGGTGAAGCATGAGGAAGCCTTTCACATGCTACCCATCTGCGAGGAGGTGATTGGGTTCAGCTCTGCGCTTCCCAGTGACTGGTGTATGTGATCCTATTCTGACCGCAGAAACATATGTACTGAGTCGGTGTATAGTGACGTCAACTAGCGGAACGCGGTTCCTACGCTCCGACGTAGCAGAACTTGCAACTGAGATCGCCAATCTACCCGTGAAGCTACCCGAGTCGGGCAGCGGGGAAAATCGCACAGAATGGAAAGCAGCAATCGCCGCAATATTCGCCACCAGATCGGCAGCATCAAGTGCTCGTGTAAAAGTATGTTCCTCGTTCGTCGACACTTGTGGTCCTAAGAACAATCGCCTGAAGCATCAACTCTAGCACGCGCATGATTGTAGTATTGAAGAAGGTGCGAAAGGCATAATGCGCGGCCAAGAAATTGGCCTACTCAGGTATGCGCGGTTTCAAGAGTGGGTATACGGACTTTGATGCAGATGCGAAATGGTACTGATGATGATGTGCCAGGATCTGTAAACGCCTAGTAGCGATGGGCTACGACGAATGTGACGTAGACTCACTGGAAGTCCGAGAACACAAGGACGTCTATCAACCTAAGCCACTCACAGAACGAGGTGGGCAACGAGATAGGGCTGTCACATATCATGATGAGACTGATGCCCTCCGTAGTTTGGAAAAGGATTTGTCCCATTCTGTGTGACGTCGTGGAGGAGATCCGGTACGGGCGTGAAGCCCTCGCGAGACATGGAAGAAGGCAAAGGCGCAGCGATCTCATCGATGGAGGCTACGAAGCACTGCTTGTTTCCTTCGCTCCGCCTTCCTCGCTCTCTCTGATGCCCACCCTGTCCACCTTCCGCGCAATGCCTGAGATCTCGGCGTTCCTGGAAGAGGACTTCCTTGACGATGATGATGTCGCTCGCTCTACATACCGCCAGAAGTACACGGATGTCGTGGCTGGCTCGACCCATGCTATACACGAGTGGGTAATGGGTCGACAATCCTCCTTGCGTGCGCTACTTCCGGATACATGGCCTCGCTCTGACTTTTCGCCAACCGACGTCGAAGCATTCTGGCCCATCAACCCGCACCCTCACGCTGAGCGATCTCCACTCGATGTCTTCTCTGAAGTTGCAGATCTTGATCTCGTCATCTACACGTTCACCTGCGTTCGCTCCCGCTGTAGGAAGGCTGATTACCGCGTCTTTTGTGGTCTTGACGCTCTTGCTCATCAGTGCCACTCTGACACCACCGACCATACCTTGAAGATGGAGGCGAATACGACAGCCCACGCCGCTGTATTGAGCATCTTGGGGCTTCTTAAGCTCGAGTCCACCCGCACACGGCCGGTCGATCTTGACAAGAGGGATGATATATTCATTATGCAAGGTAGTGAACCGTCTTCGCGGTCCCTGATGACCTGGCGTCAAGCGGTGTGTAGTCCGCTTGCTTTGGCACCCAAACGTCAAGCTGACTGCCGTCCGCTAGGTCGCGGCCTGTGTTGCTGCACCTGACACGACGCTGCAACTTGCAACCGATCTCGAGCGAATATATGTCACCCTGATCAAGCGTAGGCGTACAGCGGAATATGCTCGATGCGACGTCGAAAGTGGATACAGCTGGGGATGCGCTCACTGCTCCGACTTCCTTAAAGGCCTCGAACAGGAGCATCTGAAGTATACTACCGCGATGAAGCTGCCTTGGATCCGATCTCACATAGAGGCGAAGTAAGCATTCAATATATTCTTATAATGTACTCGTGCTTATTTTATACCCAGGCACGGGGTACGACGGGAAGATGCCGTCGAGGGGCGCGATTATTTCCATCTCCGTCACTTCGCGCGCTATTCCCTTCATGTGCTTACCTCTGTACCGGGTCTCGAGGCCAAAGTGCACTCCATGATGGCGAGCATGGGCGTACGACCCGAGGATACGGATACAGAGACCTAGGCGCGGGATCACTTAGTACTTTACCATATAGCCAGTGCGACATAGCTAGCCCTATAGTACCTACATACAATATATACCTATTTTGACTCCGAGACCGGCGGGCATATGCCGCTGATGGCGAGAACACCTCCCTGGCTCCTACCCAGACCCATACACCTTCTGCCTCTTTCATCGTCATCTATACATGCTGGAGCTTGCACGATACTACTGGATTACATCTCTCTATTGCTATACGGATACTCCGCCCTACGTTCCGCGCGCGCAGACATATCGCTCCAATAACACAAAGATCTACATGGACCAACATCATCGTTATTCTCACGCGTCGCGTCAAGTTGTCCGCTCGCCAGCTCGCGCGCGCGAGCAGCTTGTGGCCGGCCGCCACTATCCTCGCCCACTAGACCTCCCCAACCCTTGCCATCAACTGAACTCTCCGTCCACTCTCCTAGACTGACTCTGCCAATATGCCACCTATGTCATTTATTGGGACTGTCACGCGATGCGGGAAGATGGAGAAGACGGCGACGGTGACTGTGACGCGCCCTATGCTGCACAAACGGACTGGAAAGGTTCGTACAAACCGAAGATTATTTCTTCGACCGCGAATTACTCATGGGAAGTCATAGCTCATCGCGAAGCGCAAGAAGTTCCTTGTACATGACGAGCAGAACAGTACGTGCATCACGCCAAGCCATATTTACTGCAAACCCAGTGTACTCAAACTTGTGTACAGAACTCTTAGAAGACGACCAAGTCGTCATCCGAAACTGCCCACCCGTATCCGCACGCAAACGCTTCACTCTCGAGCGCGTATTGGCCTCACCCGCAGCGGAAGCCGCCGCCATCGCAGCGGCCGCGACACGGGGCACCTCGAATTCGCCGTCAACAGTAGCTTCGGATTTGAGCGCCGCTCAAGCAAGAGCGAAGCAGGCTGCACAGGCGACGGAGAAAGCTAGGCAGGCGTTGGCGGAGGTACAGAGGTTGAAGGCGGCCAAAGAGGCAGCACAGACGGAGGCGTAGGACAGTTCGCAGGAGTTGGTCATGAGTCTGAGTACTTACGCTTCTATTCTAATATTCGCGTTTTCGGCCGAAGCCACATCATCGTCTCATGTTGGATATAACCCTAGGGGGTTTGCGCGGTGTCGAATTCTGTGTGCCGAATATGGAGAAATGCGATAAGAAGTCCAAATGCTGGGTCTACGATGGTCCAGTAGAATACGTCTAAGAGAGGCGACATACAGAGCGAGACGATGAACAGTTCCATGCACATAGCGAATCCTGTAGGTATAATTTATTGCGGGAGAAAACAGACATTATAATGCTCCAGATAGGCTACAGACCAGACCACCCCTCCTACCCACCCCCGGCCCTTCGATCGAGAATCACGACTGCGCAGCGTTTTTTGGGCGTCTACTTCAGTTCCGCCACGCTCCTCCGCGATACGCCCTCGCTGTCCTTCGGGGACATGGGCGAGGTCGCGTTGCCCTCCTCGACATTGTCGAGCGGTACGCGCTCGTAGTCGCTCTTGTGCTGAGATTGCGACTCAACGTGCTTGATCCAAGTGTAGTAGATCGAGCCAGCAAGGATGATGGCGATGGCCCAGATACGTCCTCTGATAAGTTCGCGTCAATTTTACGAGAAGGTGAAACGAGATGAAACGTTACGCACGCAGATAAGATGTCGCCGAAAATCCACATCCCGAGTAGGGAAGCGGCTACGCCGCGGATAGCGGACGAGATCATGTGTGTAATCGGCGAAGTGACCTTGATGCTGAGTACACTGGCGATGCTCATGGCGAAACCGATGCTGCCGGTGATGGCGCTGCCCCACGCGAATGTACCGAGACCGACACCTGCGCCGACGAACAGATCCCAGATGGCGGGGCCCTCGCCGGCAAGGAGGATGCACGGGATGAGCATGACGGCGGTGATGAGGTTCGAGTACCACGAAAGGTGGAGTGCGTTGTTGTTTACGACGCCGAGCGAGCGCTTCATGACCACGGCGTGGAGCGCTGTCATCAGCGAGGACAGTAGACCAAAGAAGATGCCGAGCGGCGAGATGTAGGTGCCATCAAGGAAGATGCCAACAAAGAAGCCGGCTGTGACGACCGCGCAAGCGTAGAGGATGTGCAGTGACGGACGCGCGGCCAAGAGGAGGTACGACGTGAAGACGGTCAGAGGGAGGACCAGACCGCGGACGACTTGGTAGAAGGACGCGTCGACGTATTTGAGCGTGAAGTTGTTCGAAGTGAGGCCGATGAGGTTCAGGATCATCAGCGGTCCCAGGCCCTGGATGAGCTCCTTGGAGACGTGCATGGGCACAGACACGACCTTAGCCGCGTGCGCAATCAAGAATAAGACAACAGCAATGGTGAGCTGTGTCCACAGGAAGAATAGCGGGACGGTTGTCGTGTTTAGCACCCATTTGTTGCTGAAGTAGATGTAAGCGAAAGGAGCCGAGTAACATGTGAGTTATAGCACGTACGCCATGACCATCTACGAGTATGAATCAGCACGCTGCTATCTGATAAGCGACATATGAGACTACATACTGCTAGCGCCGCCACCAGGTAAAAGGACACTGTCCCAATCTGCGAGCTGGTCAGCACCTGTCTATCACCGAAATTGGCGCCAGCCAACGTACCACCTGGCCTCTCGTCGCCTCATTCTGTTGCGCCATCGTAAAGTAGACTCAAGAAGGAACGACACGAAGAAAAATGACTAAAGTCAAGATGGGCGTAGAACACGAGCGAGGTGCACGCTGTGCGCGGCTAAGACGCGCCGCGGGCACCCAACTTGATCAACCCCGCGCGCTAAACCGGCGGCATGGCGCGAGCACGTGCCCCCTGAATGAACGCCGGACGCGACGCGACGCGTCTTGCCAGACCTTTGCTCGTCGCCACCATGTCTGACAACGAGGAAGCCGCCTTGCCTGCGCCAACACTCACGAACCATGGTAAGCTCTTTCTACACGCGAGAAGCCTCTTCTGACGCGTCATACAGAGCCGGACGATACGATACGAATCATGCTCGCGACGGACAACCATATTGGGTACCTCGAACGTGATCCTATTCGCGGGCAAGATTCCATCAATACATTCAAGGAGATCCTTCAGCTGGCTAGGAAACACGATGTATGTGAGCATCTGAACGTATTCCATTCGGTATCTGACGTGCACAGGTCGATATGATCCTATTAGGCGGCGACCTTTTCCACGAGAACAGGCCATCACGCGACTGTCTATACCAAGTAATGGGTTTGCTACGCGAATACACATTGGGAACGAAGCCTGTGCAGTTGGAACTCCTCAGTAGTCCCGACGAGGGCAAACCTACGAGCTACAAGTAGGGTTGTCTATCTCGTATGACCGGGGCCGTTATTGACGTTAGCTGTGGCGCAGCTTGCCCGGCATCAACTATGAGGACGAGAACTTGAATGTCGCCATTCCAGTATTCTCCATACATGGCAATCATGATGATCCGCAAGGCGCAGGGCCGGTAGGTCGCCCTTTCTAGTGTCCAATGAATACTCCTCACCACTATTGCTCAGGAAGGTGCCCTGTGCGCTCTCGACATGCTGTCCGTCGCCGGCCTCGTGAACTACATAGGCAAACTCGACCTTTCTCTTCATTCCACACCGCAAGGCACGCACGAAGGCATAACCGTCCGACCTGTCCTCCTCCGCAAAGGCGATACCAAGCTCGGTCTCTACGGCGTCGGTAACGTCAAAGATGCACGGATGCACTACGAGCTGCGGTCCAATCGTGTGCGGATGTACATGCCGCGCGACAAGAACGAGTGGTTCAACTTGATGGTCGTGCACCAGAACCGCGTGAAGCATGGACCGCAGGAGTTCGTTCCGGAGGGCCTGTTCGACGATAACGTCGACCTTGTCATATGGGGCCACGAGCATGACTGTCGCATCATCCCCGAACCCGTCGCGGGCAAACGGTACTTCATCTCGCAACCCGGGTCTAGCGTCGCGACTAGCTTGGCCGAAGGCGAGAGCAAAGAGAAACACGTCGCGCTTCTCCAGATCCAGGGCAAGGAGTTCCAAATGACGCCTCTCCCACTACGCTCCGTCCGCCCCTTCGTGATGTCGGAAGTATCCCTATATGAAGTTGCCGAGGAGGAGAACTTCGACGTAGCGGACCAAGATGCGATCTCCAAGTACCTCAAAACGCGCGTAAACGAGCTCATAGCACAAGCGGATGACGAGTGGGATGCGCGGAATGCGGCTGCGACAGCCGATGGCTTACCCCAGCTTGACCGCATGCTCCCACTCATACGGTTGAAGGTCGACACGACGGGCGTCCCGGGCATGACGAACCCCATTCGCTTCGGCCAGGAGTTCTCAGGACGTGTGGCGAACCCTCGCGACGTACTAGTCTTCCACCGTGCGAAGCAGGCCGCCGCACGACGCGTTGCAGCAGATGCGCCCATTGATGTCGACGACGACGATGCGGATATGGACCCCGAAGACCGTAAACGTGCTGCGGAACGCGTCCGTGTGCATGTCCTTGTACAGAAACATCTTCGCGGACAGGAGCTGCAGTTACTGGGCGAGGGCGGGCTCGCGGACGCGATCCAGAAATTCGTGGAGAAGGACGATATACATGCGATCCAGACACATGTTCAGCAATACCTGACGGGGTTGATGAAGGGGGTGAAGGTGCATGGGGAGATACCTGAAGAGGAGGTGGAGGATGTTGTAAGCGTCTTCCAACATCCACGGTGTAGCATTCGCTGAAGAATATCTCAACAGCTGGAGAAGGTACGCGACGAGCGTGCGAAAAAGTATAAGGAGGAAGAAGAGACCGGTAAAAAGGCTGCTAAGGTGCGCATCCTCGACGGTTATCGTGAAAGGGTAGGACCTAACGCTCTTTGTGGGATACAGAAGGGCAAGGGCAAAGCTCGCGCTCAAGAATCCGACGCAGAATCGGCAGATTCCATGGCTATGGATGTCGACTTCGGCGGCGCCGGCTCCGAGTTCGCAGAAGATAGCGAGCCCGTTCCTCCACCGAAGAAGACGACACGGACGACGAAGGCGGCGGCTACCAAGAAGGCTGCACCGGCAAAGAAGCCTGCTGCTCGAGGGAAAAAGAAGGCGGTCTCGGAGAGCGAGGAAGAGATTGAGTTGCCTCCGGATGAGGATGACGAGGAAGATGATGAGCCGCCGCCGCCTAAGAAGCGGACGAACCGCGCAGCGACCCTAAGGTTCGTCTTCTGCATGACCATTTGTGCAGCCTATTGACGGTGCTGGACAGTCAACCTGCGAAGAAAGCGCCCGCGAAGAAGGCTCCGGCAAAGAAGGCAGGCGCGAGTGGTATGCAGAGTCAACTGGCTTTCGCACCCACAGGAGCCCGCGCGACCCGTACGGCAGCAGGTCGCTCAAGGAAGAAGACAGCTGAAGTAGTCAGTGATCCTTCAGGAATACCTCCCCTACTAGACTGACGTCTCTTTCAGATTGACCTCGACGACAGCGATGACTAGTACAAGATTAGGGTCGCATCCGACGTGTTGACCTGGCGCCCACCCGTCTCGGACAAGATTGATCTAAGCTATTGTCTGATACTGGCTAATTTCCATGCTCTGCTTTTGAACTGATCTCATATTGCTTTCATCTGGTGCTGCCCTTCGTTCATCGTTATCTTTCCGCCCCTCGCCCGTGTGCATGTGTATCACGTAAAGTGTCGAATACAGTTGTCTATGCAAACTTACATCAAGAACGTATACCCGATATGCGTTGCGTTCCACTGGTTCTCTTCCTTTCACCATGTGCTACCCATCGCTCCCATCGCTATCGCCCTCATCGCTATCGCCCTCATCGCTATCGCCCTCATCGCCATCGCCCTCATCACTATCGCCCTCATCACTATCGCCCTCATCACTATCGCCCTCACTATAGATCTCAACAAGCCCCGCTTCAACCCTGCACTCGCGACCCCAGTAAATCGTCTCCGCTCGAAGCTCGAGGGCGGCAGCTACATTCGCTGTGCTGTGGTCTTCATTGGGACGGCTGAAGTAGGGGAGTGACAGGACGCGCAATTTCCGATAGCCGACCTCCTCACGATGCGTCAAAGTCTCGACGAGCTTCGGTAGAACGCGGATTTGGTCGAAGGAGGGATCGCCAATGCCCAACACGTCGAGCTGCGGAAACGGACACCGGATACGGCGCTCGCTATCGTTCGCGTTGTTCGCTGCGGCGGGGTGCTGAGGATCGAGAACGGATAGAAGGTTGTTGCAATGACTAGTGAGATCCTCGTCCAGCAGCTCCTCCCCAGAAGTGATCCAGCACGAGGTAACGCTCGGTAGGGCACATAGGACGAGCCATTTTTGACTCGGCTCGCCATAACAGTCAATAAAGACACGAAGATCGACCTTCGTAACGTGATGGAGCTCCGGAAGGTTTTGGAACATGTGGCCATGGTTTTCTATCCAAGAGTGACCTTCGTCTAGAAACCCGACCTGCAAGGGGGAGACCTCGCTGTAACGGGGCGAACGGTGGGGTGCTTGACGCCGGAGGGGCCACATTTCCCAGTGCGCCCCCAAACGCAGAAACTGCAATGGTCTACGCTTGAATCCGGTGTGCAAAGTTATGGCGAACAACGGAAAGGATATCCCGGAGGGCAGAGTGACTGCCAGACTTCTGGGCTTGATACACAGGTTATCGAGAAGACTGTGGATGCTCTCGTGGTTTTCACCAAGTCCTTCGAAGTCGTGGTCTACATGCATGTTCTCCAAATGACGAAGACTGAGAAGGTTCGGGCGAGAGGGGTGGAGTGATGCTCCGTTGGTTGCGATGTCTATACTCATTTGGCAGGACCAGAACTCGAATACTTCCAGCAGTGGCGCGCTGCGCAAAGCGTCGAGGAGTTGAGATATAGTTAGAGTGCAAGAACTCAGACCAAGTCTTGTAAGACATGGGGTATTGAATGGCACAAATACTCCGCGGAGACGTACATGGTTCAGAAGGGGGGCTTTGCCTATGGAGTCCACCAGAGAACGCAGCTTGTCAGCGTAGCGCGGGTTCCAGATGACAATGTCGAGATCGATCAGATGCGAGAGATGACCTTCGATCAGCTTGTGCAGGATGGCGACTGACGAGATCTCAACGTGTGCTTCGTCCTGCACCAACCAGCAGAGTCGCCGCACACGAGAGCAATTGATAGAGGGCGTGGGTGTCCACAGGTCCGCATCCGGAACGTTACATACAATGTCCAACAGAGCATTAGCAGAGCGATCAAGGAAGACGGCTGTTGCTTTGGGGAGTCTCCCGATCTGCCGCGCCCATATGGTTGTGGTCCCGATACATAGTTTACGCCAGCTAAAGCAGACATGCGACGCCGCTATGGCTGTTCCAAGGCGCCATCCTGGACGGTCCTCATCATGGGCATCTATGGAAGATGACGCATACGCAGCTACTGTCGGGTATGGATGGAGTTCCCTATCAAGTGCTAGATGGATGATTTCAGAGAATAGTTCTGGGATCAATAGGCGAGATATCGGTAGGGTGGCATTGTAAGCAACCTGTATACGACACTCTATCAGAACAGACTGACGACAGAAAATACTTCACGATGTCTCACCAAGGACTGAACAGCCATCGTCTCGGCGCTGTGCTCTACGTGGGGCGTTTGTGAGGCAGGTGATGGTCAAGAGGAGAACTCGAAGTTTCGCGTCATTTGCCGCCCCCGGTGCCTGCCGTAGTCACCCACGATTCAAGCAAGGAGTTGGCTTTGTGACTTCAACAGGAACCCCAAAGATCTTGGCACAGTGATTCTATTGGCTAGTGTCTATCTGCTTAGAAACTTCCCTACAGGACTAACACCAGTCGTACATGCGAAGCTCCACAAGTAACGTGATCGCGTCGCCTCGGCCCGGTCTCCCGGCCGTACCTTCACTCCTACTGCGAGCGGATGTCTGTCTCTTGCTTCGATGACCAACATGGTGCCCCATGGCGCAGCACCAATGCTACTCGACCTCCCACCCGAGCTTCTCCTTCCCATCCTGACCGAAGCCTTGGCAGGCCACCCCAGCCCAATAGCCGTCCTTTCTACTTGCAGAAGGATCCGCGAACTCGGAGAACCCTTGCTTTACAGACACCTGACATTACGCTCTACCAAAGCCCTTATACTCTGTGCACAATCTGGTGCTCTTAGATATCCCATCAGAACAATTGACATACAATTAGCTGGCGGCGAAGTTGGTTCTGGGCAGATGGCCATGCTCTGCCCTATCTTGTATCAGCATATTAACGCGCTGACGCCCGGTGGATGCATATGGAACGAACACATCAGCGTGAAGGAGAGACTGAGACTAGACAGAGTCGGGCTCTGTATGAACTCTCAGTCATCACCTGCAAAGGATGATACGGAGCTTAGTGCTCTGGGTATCATCGAGTACGTCTAGTATTCGGCACATACGTCTTTGCTTGCTCAACATTACGCATGAGCAGTCCTACATCATTCACTTGGATAGGTCCTGATCCACCGCATCAGTTCTCTACGGCTGTGAGTAGTATGGCCCACACATATCGCGACCCTGGCTGACTCGCGTGTCCGTCCAGATTGTCCCTGACGCATGTACCCGTGTCTTCGCACATGCAGTGCATTGGTCCTCACTACGAACCCTATTCTTGTCAAACGTCGCCTTCCCCTCTTCACGTTCACCGGACATGTCGCCGTCGTCTTCCCCTCCGACATCCATCTTCACTTCGCCCGCCCCAGTGGTTCAAGAGATATTCGCATTTCCAGTGATGCCTGCTCTCGAGCGCATGGACCTACGAAACGCCACCTTTCTGCCTATCAAGGCACTCGCGAAGCTCGTCTGTGACGACCGCACGCAACGATTGTCACACGTTGGGCTGCAGGACTGCTACGTGGAAAGCATCTGGGGTGAACGTGTCAGACGAAGCCACCTCGAGCGTATTACGCAGGAGTTCGAAGGAGGCCGCCAGCCAGAGCGAATTGGGCGCGTGCGCGTTATCGTAGTCTGCTCGGCTATGTACGAGCGTATCGAGGGCGGAGACCGAGTGACAGTACGTGGTGATGAACAGGGAGCTGCACTTCTTGAGTAGAGATACATACACATGTAACATAACATGTACGATAGAAAGGAAATAAGGATAAGATATCGGATGGAGAGCATTAGATGTGACATGGAAGCATCTGTCGGGCGCCAATCATGGCTTCACGGTAGCACCTCGCCCTCGTCCTCGACTTCGTTTCGCGAATCCCCTTGAACCTTCCGAGGCCCTCGCATCATCAACGCCCGAAGAAGGCCCCAGTGGCTGTCTAGCCACCGCGTTTCCTTCCGATAGCTGCTTCGCGGCTCCCTTGGTCTGCTCATTCGCTGCGAATATCCGTTGTCTTGCGGCATCATATTGGGCTTTCTTGTCTGCATATGTTGACTGCTGCAAGTCCGGAGCAGGTGTAGCGGCATCCGTGGCAGCAGGGGCGCGCTTCAGGATGCGGATGGGGGCTGCGAAAGCGCCCGAGGGGAGAACCGGTGCGGAGGAAGTTGATGCGGGTGCCGCGACGAGTTGTGGCATCGGCGCCTTGGTGTTCCTAGTACGCTAGGTATAAATCGTGTGTACTACAGAGGCAGATCAAGAAGTACGCACGCATCCTCCCATATCTTCCTGCTGTCCTCGGGTTCAGACTCGTCCGAATCATCCCAGTCGTCCTTGATGGCGGCGGCAGGGCGGGGGACTGTTGAGGGCTTCGAACTGGACTGGTATTATTAGTCCAAGTAGCCACGAGAGAACAAGCGCACATACAGCAACGGGAGAGTCCCACGAGTCGTTTGTTGCGATAGTACTCATGGCACAACCAGCGAGAGAGATGAGTGGCGAAGTCAAGGTCATATGAAGCGCGTGAAACCCTAATAGCGCGAACAGAATGATATGGACCGATGTCAGCTCAATCACGTAGCATTGTTCACGTCAAAGTTGGAAGCGGGATTCTCATTTGCAATATGACAGAATGTTATGATACTGATACATCATTGCACAGTGGTCAAAGTAGAGCTACAGGTCACCAAGTTCACCGGCAAAGAAAACGTCTCCATCTTCCTCGTCGTCCTCGTCAATGAACTGGAAAGCACCGGCTGCACCATCCGGGGGATCCTCATCCTGTCCAAAGAAGCCCATCTCGTGGAAGACATCCCCGAACCCCTCGTAGAAGAGAATCTGGTCCTCGATGTCTTCCCCCTCCTCAAGAAACGAGATGGCTACTCCGTCCTCGACGTGAGAATCGCGCTCTTGCACGCGGTTGTAGAAGTAATTGTCGCCTTCTTTGGCCGCCTGAGGCTCGATATTATGCCTGGCCTGGAGATGGTATTGCAGTTCGTCGACGTACATCCAGCACGTTTCGTTGAAGCCCATGTCCTTTACGAACGAGGAACAGTGCGCACAGCCCCACCATGCAGCGTCTTCGTCGGGTTCTAGCATCGGCAACGCGCCATACAATGCATGATGGCGCGTCTCGACGAAGACTTTCTCGCGTTCGGTAGCGAGACGTAATGCGGCTGGGTTGACCGGTTCAGCACCGGTGGCCTGGGGAGCACAAGCTGCGACCTGAGACGTCATGAGTATCACACAGTCAAGTTTGCTGATGGTCGGACTTGCCGCTTGTCTCCAAGTCATGAAGGGCCGACCTCCAGCACCGGACTGATAGTGATCCACGGTGAATATCCGGCTTGCCTTGTCAAGTTCAATAGGGCGTGTTTTCGTTGGATCCATCCCGAGCAACTCTACAATCCGCGTCGCCGCAAGGTGTGAGCTGGTAAGAGGTTGGGCATGTAGACTGTAGTCGATAGGCTTCTCGTCCAACTCAACAACCGTGGCTGTGGAAGCGTCCGGATGCAGGCAATCATGAGCTAGGATGTCAAGTCCGTAGAAGATCCGGGCCCCAACGCATGAAGGAGAAGAGCATTTGAAGGTATAGACGGCTAGGTCTAGGTCGGCGATCTCAGAGTACCGATCATAGGGCGGATCGTTCGTAGGCGGCGGCCAGTGAGCTGCGACATCTTCATTGGTAAACGACGAGCGAGGCCATGCACCGGGAAGTGCTTCGCGCATTGCGCTGTGACGTCGGGAGACCCACTCATTGATATGCCCAACGACTCCCTCCCTGAGTATGGTGCAAACAGCCTGCGTCGACAGCCTGCTCGCCGGATTTTCGGGAAGTATGTCCTCAGCGAGATAGTCGGCGACCTGGGGTATCTTGTAGATGACGGAGGCATTCGGTACATAGCATAACATCGAAGGCGCAACGCGTTGTAAGGCCTCGCATTCGTACTCTTCTCGAATGGCCAGCTGACGTATCTCGAGTCGATCAAGCTGCTCCTGCGCGAGCCGCCGATCGCGTATCCTGGTAGCCTCTGATCGCAGGATCGGCCGGATGCGTGTCCAGACTGATTCCACATCAGATAATCTGACAAAACGCCTGCTCCAAAAACGCACCTCGCTCAGTCAGAGGTTGAGACTTGTTGACCTCCTTATGTGCCCGCATCAACGGCGAGTGGGCGTCGACCTCATCAACTCCCATAGCCATCAGACGTGTCTTGATCCTGCAAGAACCCTCAGTCTATTCCTATAGTAATAGAAGAAGCTGAGTGCACATACTCGTGGAATCGGTCTTCCTTAATCTTCCATAGCTCATCTAGACGCATCTCACTCCTGATCCTTTCTGCGTCTTCACAAGCGCGAGCGTGCTTCAAGGTATTCAGTGGTGGGTGGGTGTGTTGATCAGAATACACTCACCGCCTTCCGAGCAACCAACGATGCCGCCTTTCTCTCGTGCAGATCAGCCAGAGCCCGATCAAATCCAGCGTTATCCGCAGAGCCGAAACCCAGAGGCTGAGTCATTCGATAGATCTGCGAGAGTTCTTCGATCTCGTGGGCGTATGCTTGCACTTCTGAGAGCGAGTAAAGCAACGGAGTTTTATTGCTATGTCCCCGACTCGCTATGCTGCTTTCAGGAGGGTGAATGATCGACATTGGTTGAAGTACGCACTGTAGTCACAAGGCAGAATATCGCATAATTCGACCGTCATCAGGAGACAATAGTCGTCCAGAATATCATAGGCTTCTAGAGCATCGACAAGACTACAATGCGTTTCAGAAGGCGTTGGTGCGTTAATTTAGAGGATGATACGACACGTACACTTCGGTTGCGCAACTTTTGCAGAGGCGACGTCGCAAGTTCCACAGTACTTTATGAGCGCGCGCCTGACATCCATCTGCCTGAAGAGATATCAGTCAACATGAAGAAACCCTCTGAGACGTATACTGACGTCACACCATGGGCCGCCGTACGCAAGGTTCGCCCAGACAGGTAACGAGACTCCTTCAGGGCAAGGAAACCTCTCCATCTCGTTCACGCCATCGCAGACAGTATTCCACAGGAACGCAGATTGACGAGAGAGTAAGACAGCCCTAAACGCTTTCGTTGTCCGAGAGAGATGGAGAAGATCCGCCGGGCCGAGATGCGTAAAGATCTACAATGCCGCAATGGGTGAGATGAACGCGGGTAAACAGAGACCGGCTGTTTGCTGACTTCAAAGAGGACATCCAACGGCAAAGTAGGAAGCACGCTCAACCGCCCTTTCTTGCGACTGCGTTGTGCAGGAACGACTTTCTTTGGGTGCTTTGATGTCTTGGTTCGCTTCGTAGGGCGTTTCGAAGTGCCTTCCGGCGGTGGCGGCTCGTTTGTTCCTGTGGGATCACCCACTCCTTTGCGAGCCTGAGAACGTGTGACCCGTGATGGCATGGTGGGTTATGTGACGATTGGAGACCAGTTGTCGGTCGAGAAGATGAGGGCGGGAAACAAAGGATTGACCCACGGCGCGTCGCGACGCGCTCGGTGGCTCAGTGACGCAGGCGGTCAAGTCACGCAGTCTCGGTGCCGACTCGGCGATGCGAACGCGCGGACGCGCGCTGAAACGAAACTTGAGCTTGAACAACAACCGCCACCATCGTGATGGACACCAAGGATACACAGGATTCGAAGGCAAGACAAGCTGATATGGAGGCCTACTTCTCCAAGAGCACCGAGCGTGTCCGCTACGCCTTTGGTCGGTACGCCTCTGTCAAGCCTATTTCCCCGCATCCGAGCTCATGCCGAGCCATAGCGCCGAGGAGCAATATGTTGCACCGTTCCTATCCTTTTATGTGGAGGCTTTCACACAAAGGCCTATAATCACTGTACGCGCGTGCTGTTCTGCCTTCCAGATAGCCTAACTCATGTGTCCTCAGACGTTTGTTACCGTCTTCACGGCACTGTCGTTTTGGCCAATCGTAACTTTCGTGTAAGTCTCCTCGACAGGGTTCTGGGCACTAGCACTGAGCCTGCACAGTGGAATGGTGATTGGTGGCTTTGCTGTTATACTTGGGCTCGGAATATGTATTGCCCTCACCATTTACGCCGCCTTGTTCGCACTCGCAGGTTCGTCATATCAGCTGACGCGATATTGTCGGCTGCGCCCTGACGATATACATAGCCGGAACACTCTTGGCGATCCTTCTGCTACTACTATTCGGCTCTGTCCTCATCACTGCGGGCATCCTGATTGCGTTCGCTACCGGGTATCTCACCCGTCGCTTCTACCAGCGTATCCGCGATCAAGGTCGAGAAGGCATTGGCGCCTTCGTCGAAGATGTGACTCAACTAGTCATACCCGCAAGACGCACCTCAGCTATTGACAGAGACGAAAGCTCTGACGGTTCTGCTGTGGTTGTCAACTGAATGCTCCCGACATCAAGCGTTCGATCATACGGGGTTCAGTCTACTTACTGTAACTCATTTCTCGACGGACATTAAATTTGGTCTATCTTTATCACTTACCTCATTGTACTACCGCATCTGCATGACATAGACATCGGACTTTATCCAGAGCTTCGAATCCACCTCGTGCTGTCAAACTGAACATGTCAATGTACTGCATTATACAACTTCAGGGGTTTCAGTATTCACGACGTATGGTACGGCAAAGGCGGAATTTCAGGATCGAGCTAAACTACAGAACTACAGGACTGTCTTCTTGTATGCTACTCATATCGTACATAGGAATAACGTAGTGGGTGAATCAGCAACCCGTGGCGCGTTAGAAGTCCATGAAGTCGTCAGAGTCATCTGAGAGCAAGTCAGCCATCATGCTCGCCAACAGGAAAGCAGGAGGTCCAAGAGCGCCCGGCCACATCGATTGCAGTAAGTCGAAAGGCGAGACGCCGCCGCCATAAGCATCGAGCGCGCTGAGGGCCGTATCAAGGTCAACGCCGTGCGGGAGGCTCAAGAACGCATCCCCTTCCCCGCATTCCCCCGCCATACGGTCCCTGTACCGGTCGTAGAAGTAATGTTGGCCTTCCTCCGCGTTCGCGATGCCGTGTACCAGCGAGATATGCGCGCGTACATCGTGAAGCGTGGCCCAGCGGACCACCTCACTATCGGCCATACCTGCCGGGTCCGCCACATGAGCGCATCGCGCGCAGGTCCAGTCATGATCATCTTCAACGGGGTGTAGTGAATCTCCATCACGGAAAGTGGTGTGATGTTCGTCGATATACGACTTCTCGCGCTCGTCCACCACTCTGACAGTGTCAAGTTTACACCAGGACACGCTTGCGACGACCGCTTGCCTCCATGTCAAGAACGGCTGCCCGGTGGTATCGAGTTCGCGCGGTTCTGCGGTGAGGAACTCGTCCGCCTTATCTAAGTCCAGCGGGCGAGCCTTTGTCGGAACAAGTTCAAGGAGCTGTACAACACGCGACGCGGCTGTGTGATGTTCCTGAAGTGGCAGTGCGTGGACGGCGAAGTCGATGGGTTGACTGAGCGCCTCGTAATCGTCCATGTAGTAACCCGGATGACGGTCTGCGGCATAGTTGACGCAGTCGTGAGCGAGGATGTCCAAACCGTAGAAGACACGTTCTCCGTGCGGGCAGGTGGGCACCGTGCACTTGAATGCATAGACCGCAAGGTCCAGATCTGCTACTTCAGAATAGTGGTCGATCGTGGGGACCACAGTTGGAGTCGGCCAGTGTTTCCCAATCTCTTCGTGTGTAGCGGTAGAGCGGGGCCAGTCCTCCGGCAATATCTCGCGCAGGCCCGTTTGTCGCCGCGAGATCCAGTCGTTGATGAAAGCAAGCACGTCTGCCTCGGTGAAAGCCGCCGCACATGCTTCTTGTTCCTCAGAAGAAAGCCGATCGACATCTTCTCTGAGGTACGTAGCTATGCGAGGAAGTTTGAAGGAAACTTCGGCCTTGGGCGCGAAGTTGATGGTAGACGGCGCGATGCTGTCCAGAGTGATGCGTTCGTAGCGACGGCGCGCGAACCCGAATCGAACGGCCTGGCGTAGGCGTCGCTCTCTTTGGAGCCTCTCATCGCGTATGCGTTCCGCTTCTGCACGCAGAATGGGACTAATCCGTGTCCATACTGTACAGCCTATTAGTAGTGATTCAATCGACATTGAAATGGAATATTGCCTCGGTCGGTCAGCGGCTTCGCTTGTCTGACTTCTTTGTGAGTACGGATTACGTAGGAGCCAGCATCAACAGCATCGAAGCCCATAGCTATCAGTCGTTGCTTGACTCTATAGGGACGATGTCAGGCTAAGCCGCAACAAAGTGAAGAGTGTCTTACTCCAGGAACCGGGCATCTTTGAGTTCGTCAAGTTCGTCGCCACGGAGGACAGCCTTGATCTCTTCTCTCTCTGCACATTGTTCTGCATGCTGAACAGGTTCAGTCTCATGCCTCGTACGTCGCAGCAGTCAGGAGTACGTACTGTATGACGGGCATCGCACATCTTCTTGCGACGAGCTTTGAGAGCAGCTAGCGCTGCCTGCCATTGAGGTGTTCCGTCCGGAGCAGGATACTCCGTCGTGTGGATCGGGTAATCAAAGTCTCTGGCGAGCGCGCGAACCTCTTCACCAAGGGCTTTTATATCCGAGCGCAAGTACATGATCCGGTGGCGGCCACCACGAGTGACTGCAAGCGGTAAGCCTTAATGATGTAGTAACTGTGCCAGTTCAACGCACCCATGTCACGGGGTACTGAGTCAGATAGGTTATCCAATAACATCATGACCTCCGCCCCTAAGCTGCCCCATACGTCCTCTCCAGAGATCAATCTGTCCGACGTGAGTCGCGTTAAAAACACAAAGCACGATGTAGGAACCCACAGTTTTCCTTGACAGGACTTGCACAAGCGACGATAGAAGCCCCATAGTACTTTGTTTGCACGACCGGAGCAGCCGCGCTCCTATATTGATGCATTGGGATTAGCAAAGATTATATGCAGGTAGCCTGAAGTACCTACGTCACAATATGGACCACCGTACACAAGGTTAATCCATTTGAGCAGCGACATCTCTTCAGGGCACGGGAACTTGTCGATTTCGTCAACAGCTTCATGAACCTCCTTCCACAGGAAAGCCGATTGCCGTGACATTAGTACAGTTCGGAAAGACTTCGTCGTACGGGCGAGGTGGAGCAAGTCCGTCGGACCAAGATGCCCAAAGATCTAAATCGGGTATGAGCGGGTGAACCACCGCATGATGTCAAGGGCGCTGTGGTATTACCTCGTAGAGCACATCGAGAGGGAGAGTGGGCAAGACACTAAGACGCCCTTTCTTACGGGTCGTTTGAGCAGGTTTCTTAGCCCTTTGCGCTTTCAGTCGCTTCGCTGGTGGGGGTTGCATATCAGGCTCCGTATTAGCGGAGATCACCGACGGCGCGCCTCCGACACTAGAAGCTTTAGTACGGGACCGCGTCGCCCTTCCAGACATGACTTGCAAGCCAAAAGATGGTCTGAATGAAAAGATTGGGCCAGGATAGCGAAGAGCTGCGATGAGGGTGAAGACCAAGCCGCGGCCAAGGCTCCAAGTGCATCTTGGCGAGGAAACGCGAAACGTCACAGGTGTGACAGTGAGGTTGATTGGCGCTAGCCGTCACACAGCGCTGTTGCAAAGCGCGTTCATCCACGACGGCGACCACCAGAGTCAGGCCAAGCTCAACCTGCCTCGATAGACGCTCTAAGTCAGTGACGCTGATGCTATGACAGTGCTCCGGAGATCTTGACTGTGTCTACAAGGAGCCTATTCCATCTAGTATGATTGACGTCTCTCGGCCCCTCATCGGTACAAGGCGCGTCTCTCCCCACGTGCACCTGCTGGCTTGTCGGACTATCTGGACTTCTCACTCGATCGCATCACGAACGCATCCTGTCCTCGGATTATTGTACTTTCATGTGCTCGCGAGGGATCTGGATGCCTCCGACGCTACGTGCATGACCTAGATGTCGCCTGACCGCAAGTGCACAGGCCGAATATCTACCGGCACCGATACGTCGCGGCATACTCGACCGAGAAACTGCCAGTTGCTCGGTGACCTGGATATCCCATCGGTATATCAATGCCACTGGCTAGTTGGATCATACCAGCTATCTGTCCTCTCCGCCATGAAGTCCACAGTACTCCTGCTTTCAGCGGCTGGCCTCGCACTTGCGCAGACTACGGCACCACAGTATGGTCAAGTAAGTTTCTCTTTCCGCTCAGACCAAACCGAAAACTGACTATCAGGATAGTGCGGAGGGATTGGCTGGTCAGGTATCAATTGTCACCTCATCCATTGGTAACCCGACGTGACACGCGTCTATAGGTGCAACGACCTGCCCCTCCGGTTGGGGTTGCGTTGTGAGCAACGAGTACTATAGCCAATGTCTTCCTGGCGCCGCTTCGCCGACGACATCGGCCGCTACGGGTGGATCGACGGGCGGTGCTGCGCCAACCAGTACCGCCGCGGCCCCGGGTTCTACCCCGACTCTGGTCGCTGGCTGGTCCTTCATCCGCGCCGTGGTGCGTTCAGCACCACTCTCCTTCATCGCTCCGATATACTCACAGTCTTTTCAGGAAGACCCGAACTTCCACAAGTACTTGCGCTCTGAAACAGCCAACACACCCGGACCAGCGGTGCTTGGTGACCCCGTAACGGCGGCCCAGTTCGTCATCCAGGACGGCCAGCTCATCCAGTACGCAAACCTTGACGCCAGCACACCTCTCTACGCAAACGTCGAGGCCCGCGCAAACAGCACCGTCATGAAGCTGGGTCTTACCTGGGAGACCACACCCGACCCGTCTGGTACGTTGCACTCTTGTCCACTCTGGGAGCATCTTACTCACACTCGCGGTAGGCGGAACCTTCGTATGGGGCGGAGACACCGTTGAGTGGTCTTCTCCTACCATCTCTCGCCCTCAGACAAATGTACGGCCGTCATCCAGTCTCTAGACACGTTGACTGGTGCTGACTTGTGGTGCAGGCGTGGCTTGTCTGTCCGGATGCCGACGACAACCTTCTGCTCTACATCAACCTGGGCAACTACGACTACATGACGCCTCCAGGCTGCGCAGACGAGACCATCCACGCGTACACTGGGCCATACCCGACGTCTTGAGTACAGCGAAACATGCTTATCTATAATGTAGGGCGAGTGGTATAGCGATGTACATCCAAGTATGTCCAATATGTAGTGTGTCAAAATACACCCGAGCTCTCACTTCTCCTCGTCCATGTGTACCCATACGCCTCCGTGTGCGAAGAGCGTAAGATGGGAGCGCATCCAGACCTCGTCCTCTTTATCCTGTGCCCATGGCGGCCGCGCCTCGACCGGCTGCTTGAGCTCGACGTTGGCGAACCGCTGAAGCAGGCGAACGAGGAAGTATCCAGCTTCGTTATACGCGAACTGCTGTCCCAAGCAGATCCTAGGACCGGCGTTGAACGGCGTGAATATGAAGTTGTTGCCCGTAAGTATCTTGACACGCTCGTCGATGAAGCGCATAGGGTCGAACTTGTCTGCGTCCTCGCCCCAAAGGTCCTTACGGCGGTGCATGACGAAGACCGAATACGTGCACAAGGTTCCTGCCGGTACGAAGATGGGTTTGCCACCCGGCTGCTGCGCAGGCCACAGTACGTCCTCGCGCGACGCACGGCCGTTGAATGGAACGGGAGGCCAAAGGCGCAGAACTTCGTTGAGAACCGCGCGGAGGTAGCGCATGCTACGCAGAGCCGCGGGATCGAGCGTGCCCGTCGCCTCCATACCGACTGTCTCGGCAATCTCCTCACGCAGCTTGGTAAGAACCTCCGGGTGGTGAGCGAGCTCGTAGATTGTGCTAGTAAGTAGACTGGCGGTTGTGTCGCGTCCGGCGATTCTAAGCTCTGCGTGAGTATGCGGTCTGAACGCAAGATTTGAATGACCACGTACAAGATGTTCAGCGTCTCATCACGAAGAAGGGTTGGGTCCTGCGTCGAGCGAACCATATGCGCAAGCATCGTCTCGCCCTCATGCACCTCATGTGTATTCGCACCCTTCTCTCCGACCGTCTCACCACGCTCCGCAGCATCCTCGCGAGCCTGCGACACCGCCGCACGCACAATGGGGTCCACATAGTTGCGAATGATGCGCCTGTTCTTCGCATGCTCGCGGTCAAATAGCTCGAAGACCGGCCACAAGGGACCAAAGCGTGCGCGGCGGGCCAACGCCATCTGAGCGCCGAGGAATGCATGCGCAAACTCGTCGTTGGCGTTCGTTGGACCCTGTTCAGGCTGACCGGCATACGGGAGAGGGCAGTCGAGCGAGTGCACGTCCTTGCCGAAGAGGAACTCCGTCGCCGAGTCGATCGTGAAGCGCGAGACGAGGTCCTGGAAGTCGACCGTATGGCCCGAGGCAAGGCGCTGGGCCATCACATCGAGAGCCTTGCGCGAGTGACGCTCGAAGACGTCAAAGTCGGAGATGCGGTCGCGAGAGAAGAATGGTCGGGTGATACCGCGGTGGAACTTCCATACATCGCCGTCCGCGTTGAAGACGCCCGAGCCCAATATATCGCCATTCTGTATGCGTGTGATGGGACCTATGCGCCCAGATCAGCGCTGGGAACGACAACTTGCACCGGCACTAGATACCTTTTTCGAAGCTGTTGAAGCCGGTAGCTAGGATGGACTTGATGTAATCCGGCTCTGAAGTTGCGATCTATCAAGTTCGGTTAGGCTATGCACGATGCCTCGGGAATTCGCGAATACGCACCCTATCCGCCAAAGTAGTTTCAAGCATGTAAGTCGGACCGTACTGCTCTTTCCATGCGAAGAGATGCGATCCTGCGACTAGTCAGCAGAGTGAATGCGCGCGCTATGTGCGCTACGTACCAAGCCTTCCGCTTGCCATATTCGTTAGCATCGTGTTGGTGGCGCCCGTTTTGAATAGGGACTCGTCATGAACGGTTGGAGGAAGCTCAGCGCCTAGTGCGGCAGCTCTTCTCCGGTTGGATGCACGCTTCCAAGCTTTGGCAACGAGGAAAAGGCCAGGAGAAGCGAGGATTGTGAGTGCGAATGCAGCGAGTAAAGGGAGTCCGGCAAAGTCCAGCGCAGCGACCAATGCTGCAAGGGGAGCAATGACAGACAGTCCGAGCTGTCCGAGAGCTTGCCAAGTCTGTATAGAAGACATGTTCGAGGGAAAGAGATAGCGATGGCGAGCAGCTGCACCCAGCGGACTTTATACCCTTTGTGTTCTGCCCAAGCGTCATCAGAGATGTGGCAGAAGTTCCTCATCTTTGACCGGCCCTTGCTTCGCCGGGCGGGTTGCTGAGTGGGAAGGCGGCTCTGCATGCGGCTTGGAAACGCTGGGACGGATTTCCGTCAGCGAAGCGCATGTGGCGCCTCCGCCACCACCAAGCGCGATGTGAGGTCGATTGACCGCGCTACATCGTCAGAGGAGCATGCTATGATTTCGGCAATTGATCTGTTATAAGCCATAGATGGGTTCTATTGTTCGACGAATACTTGAGCGAGATCATGATTTCTGAAGCGCTGCAGGAGTGGTGAAAGAAGAGTTGTCCTCATTTCGTCACCTCAGCTGCGTATGAAGATTGCGCGGATGGGAAACCGGGAAACCGGCAACGTCAAGTCCCCGAGCCGGTGACATTGTTCGCCGAAAAGATACGAGCGGTCGGCCCTCCGAGCGTCTCTTGAGGGCGCCGACAAGCGTCGTAATCTCAAAAGCCGGAGTACCGATAAGCCGAACCGCTTGGCAATTCCACGCTTCTATGCCTCGACGGCTTGTTCAAGACACATATATCATGGTGATAGCAAAGTCCCAGCATGTCGGAGAGCGGTATGAGCCTCTCGTATGGCCCACTCGCGTTACCATGATGTTCCTGCCGCCGGTTTGATAAGGACTTGTCGCACTTCTCTACTTATGTGCGTACCGTGATGTATCCTTGGTGGTCCCCGGAGGCTCGTGTGTATGCTACCGAGAGATCAGAGGGAGGTATCAGGGCATGACAACAATTGGGTCTGCTCCCATCGCACTTGAACGCTTGAACGTTTGAACATCCAAACGCTCGTCACTGCGTCGAGGTACGTACCCCAGCGATCGTCTCGATCGCGACGCGGAGCTCCCTCCCAACCCCGAAATAGGCGGGCGATGACTTCCAAACACAGGAAAAGATCAGAAGCAACCTGCCTCACAAGTCACGCAACGAGCCATTTTATGCAGTCGTTCAGGGATCAATCTCCTGGACGATGCTGTCACATATCAAACAGGGTGAAAACTGTGACGTCCGCATTGAGTCCAACACTGGATCACTTCCATCAACAACGCTTTGCTACAAGCGCCTTGAACATTCAAGCTGTACCAGGCCCAGAATATCCACGTAGCAGTACCTACGCTTCAAGATATAGCTCACATGAAACAGGAGCGGGTAGTGCGGAATGCGTTCATGCTCCGCGGGGTTTGACAGACGGTAGTGGAAGTCAAAAGGGAAGTTGGATAAATTGCGCGCGGGCGCTGCCAGAACTGATGGATTAGCGGCGAACAGAGTCCTTGACCTCGTTGCTGCCGTTCGACTCTTGCCGCCCACGCACCTTGCTCCCAACCTCCACCACCCCCTTCGTCCTCTGTTCTCTCCTTGAAAATAATGGCCGCTATCGAGGACATCGCAAAGCCGTTCGCGGCTAAGCACTTGCCTTCTCCCGAGGACTTCTTCGCACGCAAGGTCGCGTTGATCTCTGGTACGTTTATAGCAACTTCCTCCGTCGTGTGACAGCTCACGCCTAAATCGCTTCCCATTTCAGGTATCACTGGCCAGGATGGCTCTTACCTGTACGTGTCTGGCTCTATTCTACTCGAAGGCGATCTTCTGACGCTGGCGGTAGGACGGAGCTGCTCTTGAGCAAGGGTTACGAGGTTCACGGCATCGTCCGCCGCTCGTCGTCCTTCAACACTGGCCGCCTGCACCACATCTACCAGGACCAGCATGAGCGTGCGGGCATCTGTTTTACGTACCATAATGGCGATCTTGCTCACCCGGTGTGTCGTAGGCCCGAACAAGCTGAAGCTCCACTACGGCGATCTCTCTGACAGCACGAACCTGGTATACATCATCGCCCAGGTTCTGCCCTCCGAGATCTACAACTTGGGCGCGCAGTCGCACGTCAAGGTCTCGTTCGAGATGTCCGAGTACACCGCCGACGTCGACGGTCTCGGTACTCTCCGTCTCCTCGATGCGATCCGCACGTGTGGCCTCGAGAAGCACACGCGTTTCTACCAGGCGTCTACGTCTGAGCTCTACGGTCTCGTGCAGGCGCCGATCCAGGATGAGACCACGCCGTTCTACCCTCGCAGCCCGTACGGTGTCGCCAAGCTCTACGGTTTCTGGATCACGAAGAACTACCGTGAGGCATACAATATGTACGCGTGCAACGGCATTCTCTTCAACCACGAGTCTCCTCGTCGCGGTCGCACTTTCGTCACTCGCAAGATTACCCGCGCTGTAGCCGACATCTCGCTCGGCAAGCAGTCCTGCCTCTACCTCGGCAACCTTGACGCCAAGCGTGATTGGGGACACGGTATGTCATCGCATCGCTTTGCGGTCTGCGATTGCCGCTCACACATTGTTCAGCCGCGGACTACGTTGAGGGCATGTGGCGCATGCTGCAGCAGCAGGGCCCTGAGGACTTCGTCCTGGCGACTGGCGAGACGCACCCCGTGCGTGAGTTCGTGGAGAAGGCGTTTGCTGTCGTCAACGTCAAGCTGCGGTATGCATTACGTTTCATCGGAGATTAGATCTTCGCTGATATGCATTTACCAGGTGGGAGGGTTCCGGCGAGAAGGAGATTGGTATCGACGTCCAATCCGGCAAGGTCCTCGTACGCGTTGACCCGCAGTACTTCCGCCCCGCTGAGGTCGAGTGAGTGAATTCTCGGCGTATCCGCTCGCAATGATCTTATCTTCTCCGGCCAGGTTACTTCTGGGTAGCCCCGCGAAGGCGGAGAAGCTGCTTGGCTGGAAGCGCAAGGTCGACTTTGGCTCGCTTGTCCAGCAGATGGTTGAGGCCGACATCCAGGCCAGCAAGGGTCTTGTGGAGGACCAGAACTAATCTCGCGATATATTCGCTTTCAGCATTATAGACTCCGTGGGCTGACCTGATGTCGGCGCGCGCTGAAAAGGACCTGGATTCTGTGGAATAATTGTACCCTGCACGCAAAACAAGCAATATACTGTACTGTTGGAACTTTGATGCCCGATTGTGGCGAGCCTGTTCTAGTGAACGGACCGCCCTTGCGTTATGGCATGAGCGTGGTCGCACCGTGCAGTGTTGGCGATTACCTCGCGCACGGATTGTGGCAGGCCCTTTATCCTTTCACAATCACATTCGTTCGATGGAGCTGATCAGTCTTTGTTTTCTTTCTTCTCTACAGCGAGATAGATCAGGGTGCTAGCTGATTGAGGCCTGTTCCCTTTCAACGGCAGGTCGCCCATGCGTAGTAGTCAACGGATCGGCGAACCGGATTTATATCATAAGAGGAAGACTCGTAATGGGTCAAACCAGAACCCATGGCTCCTCCCAAACGCAACTCAGGTGGTTTGAACCTTTTCCTCGCCCGCAAGGGCAGTGAGCATGGTGTTCCCGTCGAGGTTATGCTTGAGGTTCGTCCGTCCCTCAGGTAGTCTGACGCTGTCTCCCCTTACCTGCCCCAGATTCTACGCCATCTCCGACCTGTAGATCTCCTTCACATATCACGCGCCAACAAGGCTTTCAACGGGATCCTTCTGTCTCGCGAGCTCAGTGGTCTCGTCTGGGCTGAGGCTTTCAAAAGGTTTGCTGACGAAGAAGGGGGGCCGCCGTGTCCGACGGATATGATTGCGCCAGCTTGGGCTGGTTTCGCTTTTGGTGGCGCTTGGTGCACGGTACGTTCTTTACTAGCGTTAAATGATATCCCCACTTATCTATATTTCAGAAGTGTGGGGGGAAGATAAGAGGGCAGGTGGAGACGCTTTGGGAGTTGCGGGCTAGGCTATGCATAGATTGTGGAATGGAGCAGTGCGTACACATGCGCTTACGCTACGGTCCCGTCCGGAGCTGACTATTACCAGTCTCAAGGAGATCCCCACACTATTTGGTGGTGGCTCAACGCGACGTGAGCGTGGACCCCCTGTTGTCTGTGACTTTGGCGAGTCATTGATCCGATTGTGGCTTTTGGCTGTCCATGAATAACGTCCCGTTAGTACGCAAGCGCAACACGAAGACCAAAGCACCCAAATACGGCAGAGACGCTGTCTCCCTCCATTGCTGGAAGGACGAAGTCGACACTTTTCCGAAGGGTCAGACTGCAGATGACGTTGAGACACGGCGGAACATGGAGGCCGCACTGAGAGAGCGACGAGAAGTGAGTCCGCATCTCGCCTTTTTTCGCCGTGTTTCAATGTCGCTTCGTAGCAGGACCCCCGAAAGCCCAGCCAGAGGTCCGATATGCGCGGCGGCTCGGTGGGTA